TTCTGTCAGCTCTGTGATTGGGCCAGTGTGGTCTTAACTTGCTTTGCCATCTTTTGTGGTCACTGAGCTCACCAGATGTACTCTGATAACAAACAGTCCCAGGGCATACTTGGCTACACTGTCACTTTATTACTGAGAAGTTTCTGGGCAGCCAGAAAATGCCCTACGTGACCAGAGATGATAAAGTTGTCTTGGGTGGCATTAAGACAAGAGGAGGAAGTTTATGCTCCATCTGTTGAAGAGGGGAAGGTTGCTCAGTATAACAAAGGGTGAAGTATATCAGATTTCTGTTTAAAATTTGGTCTAATATAGGAGTCTTTTTTGGACTGCCTTTCAAATCTGATTATTCACAGCTGTTCATCAGGAAAGGACATCCAGGGACATTAGTCCATTTTTAGAACATGAAATGAGGAATTTTCTTTGGTTGGCTCTGTTGTTTGTTAGCTGGCTGGATTTGAAATGTCAGTAAACTGGTGTTAATTTTGGACAGAGGAGTGTGGGTCAACATGAGAGGTGGGGGTTAACAGCTGGTAAGAGGGAATGGGCCATGTGTGAGAGAGAGAGGAGATAAAGCTAAACTTTCAGTGTTCAAAGTGTCTGTGTTTGTACAAGACAGCCAATGAATGCATGGTTAATTTCAGATTTGGGTTTTTTTAGATTTAGAGTGGGAAGGCTTGAAAATTGGGAATTTCTCTAATAGACTTGAGATGAGTCATGGAGGGCACATAACTACTTGCTGGGGACCTGACTATCACCCCCATTTCTGCAAAATGTATTGCAGGGATTTCATAATTAACCTTTATCCTTATTTGAAATGTGTTTAACCCTTCCTGCCATTCCCATGTGTTTTTGTGGCTCTCCGGGAGTGATTAGAGGGATTGGCAGCCTTTTTTCCCCGCCATGACTGTGGAGCTCTTTTTTCTGGTCAGGATTAGATGTCAATCATATCACCATGTAGTGAGCGCTGGGCACCCAGTTTCTACTAATGAGTGAAATCTAAAGAATCACGCCCGGAAGTTCAGTAGCATTTAGGATCAAGAAAGTTTTTAATATTTACTTTTTAGGCAGAACAAGCACTTTTAATTTGCATAATTGCTCATATCTAGATACAGTTCTGAGCTGTTTTGGGACAGGAATGCTCAGAGTTCTGCCAATTGCGAAACAGGCCAAAAATCTATGAGATTAAAAATAAATCTGAAGACTTTTTGTTGTTGTTTTTTTTTTTAACTCCTAGTAAGGCAGCCCTCATCCTAACTCAGAAGCAATCAGACTGTTGTTTTTGTGCTCTCCATTTATGAGAACAAGAGGTCACTGGATGACATTACTGCTTTGTAAATTTAGAACAAATAAAAGGAAATGGTACTTCACCTAGCGCGTCGTCATCCTGTGGAATATACTGTTCCAGGATGTTAGTCAAAAGCTGTAGCCGGAACATAAAAAAATAGCTGGACCATACTTGTTTGTAGCCATGTTCACCAAGAGGGATGACCAAGCCTTGTGTTCCAGAGTGGTGTCTCATTACAGCTCTAGCTGAGAGTGAGCTCCGTGGACTCCTGGCTGGGAAAGGACAGCTTTCCAGGGGGAAGATTGGTGGGGCTTCTTTTGAGATGACGAGAATGATTTTATTTTTGTGCGAGATGTTAAATTGATCATTGCTCTTGCCTAGACAGCGCAGTGTATGTAACAGCCTTGCCCCTCTGTCAGTGTCCTTCAGCAGGGGGATGTGTGGAGCTGAAATAGCTGTTTCAAGGAGAGGGGTGGAGCAGTGGCAGGAGGAGTGTGAGTGAGAGCTTCTGTTGCTCAGCAGAGTGCCCTGTGCAGGAAGGAGCGGCAGCTGCTGTGCTACAGGGCAGGCACGAGGGGCTGATGCTCGCCAGGTACCCGGGCTGGGCTGGGGGGTGGGTGTGGGGTGTGTGAACGGCAGAGCTGCTGAGCTGCTCTGCAAAGGAAGGGGATCTTAACACGTTTCTGGATTCCTGATTATCCTCTTTAAGATATTTAACTCTAATACCACTGCATATTAATCAGGAAAACACGTTTGGATGGTTTCTTCATTTCCTCAATAATTGCTGCACTAGTTACATTAAAATCTTGTCTGTCTTTCATAGTGAAGTCTGAGTTGTCCCAGTTTGTTTTCCTTAGGAGAGAGCTTTTTAAAACAGGTTTATTCTTTTATTTCCCATCTCTGGTGATACCAATAAATCCCAGTGCAAATGTTGCTTTTGAACTGACTAATGGGGAATGCTCTTCATATGTTTATCCTGCACAGTTAATTTTTATTTGCAGTTTGTTGTTACACAATAGACTCTTTATTTTAATTCTGTGACTCTTTATCTGGATGATTCATGTATGAAAATCTTTTGATCTCTTTATTTATCCTCTTGTCTTATAAACTTTGACTTTGTTCTTTGAACAGAGGGCTGTCTAACACTGAATGTGGGGATTTTTAAGATGATGCAGTAGGTGACTTAAGAAGGAATTAGTTGCTTTCTATATTGGATGTTCTATCCAATTATCCAGAAAATCAGTAGCCTCAGAAATTAATTCTTATCAAAGGAATGTCTATATTTCTCTATGTTATGTCAGTGTTTTAAATTTCTAGTCTTCCAGTGTGATTAAAAACTATGCTATACTTTGCATTTTCCTTCTGTCCCCCAAAAAGGCAGAAAAATAGGAAAAGGGACAGCACTGAGTAGAAGTGTTCTGAAGCTGTTCCTCCCCAGTGCTCCAGAGCATGCCAGTGACTCAATGAACTGGTGGATCCTTACAGAATTTGGCTGGTTTTACGGCCATGAAGGGTCCTTGGATGCTTCATCCTAGGATGTTTTGACTTTATATGTGCTACTGTTGTATGCAACTATAGATGTTCTTGGCCTTATTACCAGGAAGAAAGTGAGGCTCAGTGGTGTCTGAACAAATTAGTTAACCTTGGTTTTATTTCCAAAGAAAAAACTGCTTCTTCTTAGCAGGACTCAGACATGCCCCTTGTTCTTCTCTAGCTTCACATTGATTTATGCATCAGTGTTTCATGCTCTGGAAAAAGTTTCTCTAGGGCAGCCATTCTTACATAGCTGAGTTTTTAATGGAAATACACTTAACTATACACTTTTCTGCTTTCCCAAGGAAGAAGAAACATTCCTGTGATTACATCTTCTTTGGAAATAAATTTTTTTCAAAGCTGGAAATGTTTAAAGGAAAGTGAGGGAAGAGAGAAGGATTTCTTCAAAGCTTTATTTTTAAAATAGTGTAAATATTTACTTCTGTGTGCCTACAGTTGATACAGATCTGGTCATTTTGTCCAAGATAGAATGCTTCAAATGCTAGAACTGTGTTTCTAATATGAATGGCCAGTCCTTTCTTTACAAAGGGATTTACTTCCTTTCATTGCCTACTTAGTGTGTCTCTAGCACAGGTTTCTAGGTATTGGTCATGGCTCTGGGTAAGGTGGTGTTATTGCAGGGAATCTGCAGTCTGTGAATGAAAAGAAATACAGCTTGAAAATTGAAGACCTTAAAATAAAGCAGAACTTTCCAGGTGGTTTTTTTTTTTGTTGACATTACATCCACATTTCTTCTTGGATGCTCTGTGGCACTTCAACATCAACTAAAAGTTTGGTGTTCAACTTCAGAGGCTTTTATTTTTAATCTGTTTTATGAATGATGATGAGAGAAGTGAGAAACAGACTGGAAAACCGGGATATCAGGTATTGGGGTTATGTGTGTGGGTGTTTTAGTGTTCATTAACAAAACTTCGGCTGAATGGTTGGGCCTCATGAGATTGACACAATCCTAGTTTATTTTAATTCATTCTTTCAGATGTTAGGTACAATTTGCTTGAAAATCAGATGGTGTAGACAATTTTTTTCATGTACAATATGTAGATGGGTGCAGGAGATTGGACTGCTGGAAATTTTTAGAGTTGACATAAAAGGGAGCCCTTTGATTTTTGTTAACAGTGCTCAAACTTAATGCAGCTTTTCTTAAATCTAGGTCTTGCAAACACTTCAGTATTGATCTGATTTAAGTCAGCTTGATGGAAATCAATATAGAGGTGTGAAAAAAGAGACAGTGAGATAACTGCACTGTGGGGAAGAAAGACTTTAGTCTTAGGAAGAATAAGGGTTGGTATATAGTCAGTCTGGACTCCAGCTGTAATGGGCAGTCCTGAGAACAGCAGACATGGTCCTCTGAAAAGCAGAGTTTTTGTTTCTCTCTGCTGCCACCAGCTGACTGAAGGAGAGGGAGTTGGTGGTAGAGGACACAGAGGCCTGGTGCCTCCCTGGGCAAAGGGGAGCTTTGGCCACCCTCCATGTCTTCTGCTGGTTTGTTAAAATATTGTTTATTTAACACAGGGCAACTTATGCATGGGAATTAGCCCAGGGTACAAACACACTGAGGACAGGATTGTTGGAGGGAGGCAAACTCACCACAGCTTCAGCCTGATAGGAGAACATTTCTTAGAATATCTTCTAGGTATGTGGAACAAGCCCTCAGGAAACATGAGGGCTCAAATTGCTTAGTTTGTTTTATTTCTCCCCTCCCCATGAGGGAGACTAAACAAATTGTCATGACTAAACAAATTTTTAGAATGATATTCTAGAGTATGTGATCTGATTCATTAATTGCTGGAAACTGGTATACTATGCTATTAACAAAATGTCTTAATGTTCTTACCAGTTTTGAAAGTACAGTAAGTCCTGTAAAAAGACTTACGCAAGGTCTGCACATAATTACTCCTGCTGCTTGGTGCTTGATTTGTGTTGTGCTATGAGAGATTTCTTTACTCAGTTCAGTATTGGGAATGACAGCTAAAATCTTGGTGGTTCTGTACATTTAGGAAGAAATTGAGGTGTGCTGTGGTGGAAGAGAAACACGGTTCAGAGGTGCAAATAATTTTCATTGTGCAGCTCTGAAAATAGCTTCAGCAGACTGCGCTAGTGGTAAGGTATTCTCTTGCTGTCTGTCACTGACATGTCCACTCCTCATTTTCTTTCTCTTCAGATTATCACTCCATGTCGGAAGCTCATCCTTTGTGCTGATAACAGAAAAGAGATGGAAGACTGGATTGCAGCACTGAAGACTGTCCAAAACCGTGAACATTTTGAGGTAATAGGAAAATGTGTTCCTTTGTGTTCTGTGCTTCCTCTGCTAGACTGCAGCTTGTTTTGAGAATCAGCTTCTAGTGAACTTAATAGAAGTAATTGTATTCACTATAATAGGTAGTAGTGTTGGGACCTTCTGTAAAATTTATCCCAGATACATTGAAGTGATTCTCCAAAAAATGTTTGGCTTTGTTTATGCTCCCTTGGGAATTCAGAGAGAATTTTCGGAGCATGGATAGGTTATGAAGCCAAGTTCCCCTCCCACTGTCTTTTCATTTTTCACTTATCCTCCCTGTCCCAATTCACATCTTGCCTGCTTGATATTCTGCCAGCTTCAATGCATCTGCCTGCTTCCTGAGTGAGACCAGCAGTGCCACACAAAAAGCTGTCTTGTGTTTTCCCCACTCTGATGCTTGCCTCCTTTATGCTGGCACAAGCATTTCTCTGCTACAGAATGAGCCAGGTTGGGGAACTGATCTTTTTGAAAATTTAATCTGACAAAAAAAATGGGGATAAATTCTCCAGCAGATAAATTCTTCAGTTCATTTCCCTAGACACACTTGTAGTAAGACAAGGATGAGAGGTGGTGCAGGAGCTGTAATGAAGGCGTGACTTCTTCAGGTAGTCTCTTTTGCCTTAGAGACCTTCTTGAGTTTCAGCTAATGTGTATAAACTGCATGTGGCCCACTCGTTCCTGGTGAAAAAGTGTTCTGTTTCTGCTTTTTTGACTGCTTCATGCAAGTCTTCTGAGAAAAAAAAAGTCCTGTTGCTCTGCTTTAGACCTTGCTGTAATACGTTTATATGGTCAGTCTACCCAGTACAGCATGGACCATTTCTCAGGGATGCATAACTGGTACGCCTGCTCCCATGCCCGGCCAACGTACTGCAACGTGTGTCGGGAGGCCTTGTCCGGGGTCACGTCACATGGGCTGTCCTGTGAAGGTGAGTGTGTCCTCGTCCTCTGCCTGGGGAGAACAGCCTCGTTTTATTTTTGGTTTTGCCCATATACCCAAATACTGCCATCCCTTGTTAATGTCATGTGTCTGCAGTGAGCAATTACACACTTCTGAGGTATCTTGAGAGAATGTTCATAAGAAGACTCCTATTCATGGGAATAATTGTATTTGTAAGAACATCCTTGTTTAATGTTTGAGTGCCAGGAGGTTACTCTTTCCCAGCTTTGGCTTAGTAGAAATGCCTGGCTGGGCACAGCTCATGTGTCTAACATGAACGTGGTGACACCTACGCTGTGTAAAACGACGGAAGAGTGTGCGACTATGTAAATCATGTTAAATTTAACAAGGTGGTCACTAAGCTTTGTACAAGCAACTGGCAAAAATGACAAGGCAAGAATTAATAGCTAGATCAGAACACTTACAGCTGATCATTTTGGTGATGCTAAAAAGGATAGTGTGCCCATAGTTTCTTCCGGAGCCAAATACACACTGCCACATTAGACCTCCTGAGGCAGGATTAATTACATTCATCTCTTCCTCCCTAGTGTGCAAGTTTAAAGCCCACAAGCGCTGTGCTGTGCGGGCAACCAACAATTGCAAGTGGACAACTCTGGCCTCTATCGGGAAGGATATAATTGAGGATGAAGATGGGGTAGGTGTTAGTCTGAACTTTTCCAGCCTTACCTTGATAAGGAAGCACTGCCTTGTGTTCTGTAGCTTTCTTTGACTTCATAAATAGCAGATTCTCCCTTTACATGGAAAAGATTTCTACTCTCAGAGCAGGAGATTTCGTGTGAAAAGTCCAGCCAGGATAGCAAGGGACTCCTTAGTAGGAATGAACTGCTATGGACTGGGGGAGTTGAAATTAGATAATCGGAGGCATGGGGAACTTGATCTAAATTTTGGCAGAAGAAAAGTAAATGAGTGTTTGGAACAGCACCTTAGCATATTGGGATGTCTCATGCAAGTCAGTGTCTCCTGGGTAGCCTGGGACGAGTCAGCTGGACTCTTTGTGCTTGAGCATGATGTAAAATGCCAGAATTTGTCCTCAGGTGTTTTCTAGAGATTGCCTTTGCTGTCCTTCAACAGTGCATATAAAGACTTGCTTCTCTGTGTATCTCAGAGTCATGATGCCTCCTGTACCTTTAAGCTTCTGTCCCTCTGTACCTTTTGCAGATCTCAATGCCACATCAGTGGCTGGAAGGAAACCTGCCCGTGAGTGCCAAATGCACCGTGTGTGATAAAACCTGTGGCAGTGTCCTGCGTTTGCAAGACTGGCGCTGCCTGTGGTGCAAAGCCATGGTGAGTTGAAAAAGTGTCATCATTGCAGTAAAAGGACAGCTTTTGATCAGCTCTGTGGTAGGTTCTTTTAATGGCACTTGCTTAGAATAAAATCTGTAACCATGCTGTCAGTGTTTGCCATGAAGGACTTTATTGTTCTGCAAGAAATAGGAGTTTAATTTGTGCTCAGAAGTGTTGCTGTGATACATAAAAGCAAGACCTGAAAAAAGTATCCTGCTTCTAGCCAAGCTCATTTTATTTTGAGAGTGAGCTTTCATAGAAGAATCTCAGTAGACATGAATCAAAACTTCTGTCATGGACTACACTGGATTTTAGGGAGCCATTATTTGTTATTTCTACAGGTTGAAAAGGTGCAACAAACTATAAGGAATACTCAGCTATTTTAATAGTAGCAATTTCCCTTCCATTGCAATAGATTGCTCTTGCCTAACCACTGAAGTGATGCAGATCTTGCTGTGTTTTCAGTTTTTTATAATACTAGTAGGATAACTATAACAAAATACATTTTTAGAAGAGGGGGTTCAAATGCCAAGCAAACCCTTTATCTTGCAGTCTTTGTGTACCAGAAAAACCCTGCTGTACTTTGTATTTCCTTTTTTGAGTGGCTTCATTCATTTCTTCTTTTTTTACCTCTTCTATCCCTCATGTTTTCCTGGTTTGTTTTTTGCTTTCTTATTCTTTTGAGTTCCCAGCATCTTCTTTTGTTGCTACTTCAGATCTCTCAGCTGAGGCTGGGATTTTGAAAGCAGAATGCCTGAAGGCTCCTAAAGCCACAGAATCTGGTATCTGGTTCTCTCAGCATTCAAAGTGCTGGTCTCATAAATTCAAATGGTAGGAAAGTACACACTAATGGAAAGAAGAGAATTCATAGAAGGCTCTCATTAGATCATTCTTAAAATAATTTTATCGATAAATTTATCAATTGACTTTTTTTTGATTTTACCCCGTCCTCCTTCTTCCTTTTACAACTTCTTTTGGGTGGCTTTAGGAATTATACCACAATGTCCAAAGGAGTCTGATTTATTCTTTTTTGGTTGTTTTTCCAGGTACACACAGCATGTAAAGACTTGTTGCCAAACAAGTGCCCTCTTGGGCTCTGCAAAGTGTCTGTCATTCCTCCTACTGCTCTTAACAGCATTGATTCAGATGGTACGTATTCCTAGTAAGCAGCACTTCTTTCTCTTCCTCTCAGTCACAGTCACTTCAGCTGGCACTATTAATGCCAGGTTTTGTCACCTGAAAATTCTGCTTTTGCTGTTGCTGAAACTCTCCACTGGAAGCTATTGCTGAGTATGGCAGTGAACTGTTTGCTTTGCTTTTGCATTCAGTTTATTTCCCTCTAATATCAGTTTTTGCTGCAGCTGATTAAATTTATTGACAATAACTGTATTGCAGAAACAGTTTGGGAAGGTTGGGGAGGCTGAAAATTTTGGCAGACTGCTAGGCAATAAGTGTGACATTTGGCAGCATGAGGTGTGGCTCATGCTGGATTCAGGGCTGTGCACATTCACCCAGTGGGTGCCATAAGCACAAGGAAAATACTAGCTGCTTCATAGCGGGGCTGGGGTGTGGGTTGTTGGTTTTTCTCTTCATCCATCCCTCTGGGCAGCTTCACATCTCTTGGCTTTTCCTCCCTCTCTTTTCCCTTTGCCCCAACAGGTTTCTGGAAAGCCACTTGTCCCCCTTCTTGCACAAGCCCTTTATTGGTCTTTGTCAACTCAAAAAGTGGAGACAACCAAGGTGTAAAATTTCTACGAAGATTCAAACAACTGCTGAATCCAGCCCAGGTCTTTGACCTCATGAATGGAGGCCCTCATCTTGGGTAGGCAGATATTTTTTGGAAACAAAAATTCCTTGTAAATACCCAGAAAACATGAGGGATTTACTTGGTTAAGGTCATCCTCAAATATAACAAGGAAGCTATTCCTCAGAGAAAACTAAATGTGAAGTTTGGAGGGGTTTTTCTATCTCTGTGTTAAGTGTTATTGATTAGCTAAAACCAAAAGTGTTGTCAAAAAGGTTATTATATCCATTCATCAGTAATAGCAGGACAGCTTGAGGCATTTTGGGGGAACTCCAGAAACACTCCCCTGGAAGAAGACCAAGCATGGAAAGCTTGAATCCATAAGAAAACTTGTCAGCAAACAGTCTTTTAACAGGCATCCTGATGATGAAATTAACTCTAAAAGGAGTTAATTTCAGTTAACTCAAGTGAACAGACAGATGTCATAGATAGCAAATTAATATTGTCAAGATGAGATTTATTGAGAAATAATTTACCTGAGAAGTCTGTGAAACTTCCATCCCTCAAAGACTTCGTGGTGGTATTTGTGTGGAGAGACTCTTACGAGTATGTTTGGTAAAGTTGGTTCTGCCCGAGGATCTAAGTTATGTTTCAGACTTTTTGCCAAATTATGCTAGAATATCTGTGAATCCAAAAAAATAAGTGAGTACTGTGAAATAAACTTCTTTTTTGTATTTCTGCAGCTCCCACTTAAAAGAAAAGTTTGGTCTTAAGTTTGCCCACTTCCAAATGTTTTTCTGTTGCATCAGATTTGAGCAACTTTTATCATTAATTGGTTCTCCTTATAATAAGAGCCAACACAAGGTGAATTTCTTTCATCTTTTCTTCACAGTGACTCCAAGTTTTGACTAGATCTGTAGATGCAGGGGGCTAAATCTGGGAGTGTCTGTTCCTGGATTAGTGGTCATTGCATTCTGCTCTCCTGAGAACTGTTGTGGTTCTTTGCCATAGCATATTGCAAAACACTGGCATTTAAAACTGCAGTGTTCTATCGAGGAGATGTGTTTGGCTGAAAAATAATTTATAAAAGACTTGTAAAATTGAGTACTTTTCTTGTTCCCCTCCTCAGCCAGACTGACTGTCGTGAGGAATTTTGCTTTTAAGCAGAAATGGGAAGGAGGGAATCAGTTACCTTCTCAAGCTGTGGTGCACACTTCTAAAACAGCTGCTCTTATATATTTGCTTAAAAAGGAAGTGATGGTAAAGAGTAAGGCCTGCTTCTTGACAATGTGAATATTTCCAGCTGACACTAGTCAGACTTGTAGCATAAGATGTTGTCATTTCTGGTAGTCATCTTTTTTGTGTCAGGAATGCTTGATAAAATAAGGATTTTTGTGTACTACAGCAAATCCTGTTTAGGTAATAATAGTAGGCAAAATAAAAGCAGGAGCAGATCTCAAAAATATTCATTAGGGAGCACAATTTCAAACAGGAGAGGTTGTTTTTATTATTCTGGAAAGGGTGAATGGAGAAATTTACACTGGTGAGCTCTTTGCCTGCCTGTGGGGCAGAGAAGGCACCAGAGCAGTGATTTATGTTGCTTTCCCAGAAGGACTAAAACTTATGATGTTTTACATCCTCTTGCAGTTGTCTCATGGCTGATTGACTGCATGAAGACCCCCCTCTTGAAGCTTTGCTTTAATTGGTGTGGTTGTGAGTGTGAGGGCAGTGGCATCAGAGCACTTAGAACTGTGACAAGTAACTAGTGTTAGGCTGGATGCAGCAAGGCTGCAAGAGGCAGTTAATTCAATGGATAATCAGCTACCACATGCTTGTCTCCTCTTCTGTAGAGACAAAAGTGCCCTGCTTTAGTAGAGGAGTATGTCTTGGGAGATATTTCTGTAGTGAATAGCTGTGGTAAGTTGCTTAGCTGTATTTATAATCCTTTAATTATAACCATTTAAATTCACCTGTAATCTGGCAGTGACCTGTATTCATTGCAAAATCAGTGCCTACTTTAAGCAACGTTGCCATGTTTGTTACCTAGATTGGAATTATCATTTCTTTCTGTAACAGCTGATTGTTTTTCCTTCTTGCTTTTTTCTTTTTCTTCTCTGTAGTTTACGCTTATTCCAGAAATTTGACACTTTCCGGATTCTAGTTTGCGGTGGGGACGGAAGTGTTGGCTGGGTTCTCTCTGAAATTGATAGCCTCAACCTTCACAAGCAGGTACCTGCCCCAAGAGCTTGGTTGGATGAAGGAATGAAGTAACAACAGCATGGGCTGGAGAAGACTTTCCTTGGTCATGCAGATGTCATTTGCCCCAGGACTGAAGCTGCTGAAAGTTTATCATAGCAACGCTCTTGCACTGGTTTTGTGCAAGAAATGAATCCATACTGGATTACTTCTTTATGCCTGTCTCCAGTGTTCCTCCACAAGATCCAGCTTTTGGAGTAGCTCTGAGTACACCTACTCTATCGCCAGCAGAGACATGCTCTGAAAGGGCTGTGGTTAGGAAACTTGGGAGTTGCACACGGGTTATGCTCTGTTCCCTTTAATTCTTGTGGTGTAGTATCTGAGTCTTAGGGGTAGGCAGAAACTTCACTGGGGTAGAGATACCATACACTGTTTTGCGTGGGAACTGTCTGTGCTAATTTTACAGAAACACAATGGCACCACCTGATGGCTAAATATAAACCTCTAGGAGGTTTACTATAGCAGGGTACTCTGTGAGATGGTAGCTGTAAAATGCTTCTCTCTCAATTCACAACCAAAAGTAGAGGAAATTTTTCCTTAATTGTATGCTCTTCTGGCTGTTTTCCCCATCCAGTTACTTTCTCCCAGCCTGGGATTAGCTGTTTCCCAGTGACTGGTGTGTTAAGGAATCAGTCATGTTACTCATGGCTGTTCCTGGCTTGTGTTTCCCCATTTGAATATCACTTTTGTTTTCCTTTTCTCTAATGCAGTGCCAGCTGGGAGTGCTGCCCTTGGGAACAGGGAATGACCTTGCCCGTGTTTTAGGCTGGGGTTCTGCTTGTGATGATGATACCCAGCTCCCACAGATCCTGGAGAAGCTGGAGAGGGCCAGTACCAAAATGCTGGACAGGTGAGTAACCATCACTAACATCATCTGCTCTTCAAGACTTCTGTGAAGATCTCCTTCCGGGAGAACAGGGCAGTCCTGACTCTGCCAAGCTTCTGGACCTCTTACTAATGCCACATAACATTTTGTCACTGATACCTTCTCACAAGAGAAAGTGGTCTGGCTTTCCATGCTCTGCTGACGAACAGTAACAGGTGAAATTCTCTGGGTTCCACTGTCCTCTGTTCTGTCCCAGAGTCCTCATCAGTTGAATTTCTGATTTCTTTGTCCTAGTTTGAAACCAAACTTACTTTGTAACCTAAGACAGCCTTAAAATCATGACTTTTTTTTTTTTAAAGCAATTTCTTCTTCGTAAATCTAAACTGATTCATCTTGAGCTTGGCTTAGAAATGAAAGCCAAATGCAGAAGTGGATGTTAACCCTTGGTATTGATACCTCCTTTATATGTCTTTGTACATGATATATAAGACTGTCTCATGTTTTTAAAGTTGTATCTTGGTGTCTCTTATGTTGAATCAAGTAATGCCAATAGAATTTTTGTAGAGAGGGAAGAACTAGAGATGTTCCCTGTGCTGTAGAATACTTGTTCATAGTGTCGTCTTTCCTTCTTCCCCAGTTCAGCCCCTCTGTATTTCCATTGCCACTCTGTGGCTTCTTTATATCATTGATGGCTCCCCAAAGTACAGTTTGTTTTGCTTTGAGGTTCTGGCCTGTTGCATTTGGATAACAGAGGAAACGATCTGCGTTGTAGTGACAAGTGTGATTTTCGACAGGTGGAGCATCATGGTGTATGAAACCAAACTCCCTCGCCAGGCCTCCACTTCCACAGTCACTGAAGATTGCACTGAGAATTCAGAGGTACCTCTCAGGAGGGGCAGGGGACTGGAGCACCAGCTTTGGAGCACACGAGATAGGAGGCAGTAGCTGGCTCCAGTGGAGCAGAGCTGAGCCATGGGTGTAGCCAGAGCTGCAAAGATTCGGGGCTTTAAGTCAGTGTATTATGGAGAAAGATGGAGGTTGGGTCACCAGAGTCAACAACCATAATGAGGGATGGGGAGAAGATACTTTGGAATGGAATGGAAAGGAAATTACTGGCTTTTATTTGCTTCATGATGTCAAGTTGTTGAAATAGTGGCAAACTGCATAGCAGTCCTGAAGACTCCCAGTGCTTTTAGATTTGCAGTTGATCAGAGACTCTTAAGAACTGCTGATGATTTGTAGGTTCAGAATTAGTTTCTTCATCAGATTCAGGTCTTCAGTGAGTAACAGAACCCTGGTCTATGGAACTTTTTCAGGGCAAAAAGAATCTGTAGAGTTATAGGTACTCTTAGAGGAGCCAGAATTTCACAGCATATGTTGTAATGCTGGGAAGTAGCACCCCAGTGTTTCTTTCTGATGGTCAACAGGTGCAGAAGATTCTCTGCTATGAAGATTCTGTGGCTGCTCATTTGTCCAAAATTTTGACTTCTGACCAACATTCAGTGGTGATCTCCTCAGCCAAGTGAGTACTTAGAAGACAACTGTACTAAATTGCACTGTGAAAATCCTGCAACAATCCTTACATGATTTTGTTTTCCTGCTTTGTCTAGAGTGCTTTGTGAGACAGTGAAGGATTTTGTGGCTCGAGTAGGAAAAGCCTATGAGAAGGCAACAGAAAGCTCGGAGGAGTCAGAGGTCATGGCCAGGAAGGTGAAATTTGAAAAAATGTTGGGGTTTCTACTTCTGAAGTGTAAAACTGCTCTGTTTTCAGAGAACTGGGATAGCAGCAGTTCAGTTAGCACTAAAAGAATGAGCTACACAGGCAACTGTTAGTTCTACTCAAATGTCGTTCTTCTTCATGTAGTGCTCTGTGCTGAAGGAGAAGCTGGACTCATTGCTGAAGACACTGAATGATGAATCTCAAGCGTCTTCCTCTCTGCCCAACCCTCCTCCCACCATTGCAGAGGAGACTGAGGATGGGGATGGGTCGGGCAGTGCTGGTGACTCTTCAAGTGAGCTCTCGGTGGGCTCGGCCTGCACTGCGCGGCCCCAGATATTCCGTCCCCGAGAGCAGCTCATGCTGAGAGCCAACAGCTTGAAAAAAGCCATTCGCCAGATAATAGAGCATGCAGAGAAAGGTAACCGTCAGGAGTCCTGCTGGTCACTTCCTACAGCCTATTAAGAAGTACGAATTTCCTTTATTCTGGAGGGCAGCAGGCTTCTTTATTGAAAGCAGCTTTCCTGAGCTAGAGAAGCTATTTAGTAACTGGCCATTTGGTTTCAGTGTCATCTCTGCCAAGCCCACCTTCTGGAAACATTGCTTGGTAAATGAGTCTGAAGTTCAAGGTGTGTTCTCTCCAGCGGGCTGGTTTAGGAAGTTCCTGCCCTCCCACACTGTTAATTTGCATTTCCTGCCTGCCCCCACCCATACCGCAATTGTGTCAGTGCAGCTCTTTGTGTGGCCTTCCTGTAAAACAGATCTGAAAATACTTGAAGAAGGGATTTTAAGTATTTTAACATTGTTTTAATCTCTTTATAGAAGGTCCTAGGAAAACATTGCTGTAGTACAACTGCAGGAGAGGGCAGGAACTTCTTAAATGAGCTTTGTCCCTGGAAAAAACTTATAATACTGCACTTTGGTGCAAGTCAGTTCTATTCTGATGTTAACTTCTTAGGCAGGTCACCCTCTTCTCCATATCTTGACCCTTGTCTGTCCCCAGGCACACACCCCCAATGCTCCAAGTTTCTTTTCCTTTGAAAGGCAGTCAGTCTTCAAGTGTTAGTCATAAAGTCGGGGGTTAACTGAGATGAGAGGAGATACTTAACAAATTGTTACTGGAGATGAAAGCATTGAAGTTGCAGATGTAACATCCATGCATCCAGGTGTGCACTCTGAGCAGCTGTGTAATAAGTTATAAATCATTGCAATGTTGCTTGGATTTCCAGCACTGCAGCATTGTATACATCATTTGCTGGAGGTGAATAATGGAAGTTCAGCAAACAGCCTGTTTCTGGTGAAGTAGGAGGCCTTAACCTCACTGCTCCCTCACTTTGCTGCTGCTTACCTTAGGCCAGGTTGATGTTTGTGAAGTCCTATTGGAGCCCAGGCAATTTGCTTAATCCATCCAGAAGTGTTCCTGCTGCATTAGTGGGTTGGATTCCTTCATGGGCAGTTCTGATGAGCTACAGGGTTAGCACAAGGGAGAGGAAGAGACTGAAAGAAGGGGGTGAGCTGTGCAGGCAGTGAGCAGGTAGAGCAGCTGAGGGCATTCAGAGCTGAGCCCTGGCATGGGCTGCTGGGGAGGAAAAGACCTCTTGATTGCTTGCAAAGGAAGCTTTGATTTCTTTAGGCAGCATGCTAGCATTTAAATCTTACGAGCTCTCAAGCAAAATCTACTTATGTTTCAGATGTATTTGTTCAGCTTTTCCAAACTGTTTTTTTCTTCTTCCAGAGTGTGCAATCTGATTCTTTCCTCTGGTTGTATTGGTTTTTACCGACTGCTGTTTTCTTCCTTTTTGATTACATGAGTCTAAGTCCCCTTTTCAAGTGCCTTATGTTATTGCACCACTACAGATTAAACAAACAGGAAATTCATTAATCATTTCATGTCTGTCTGGTTAGAATTCCTGGCAACATCTAAATGCAAATAAATGGAAGCCCATCACCTCTAGCACAGTTTACATCTCAGGATGCCTGAGTACCTGTGGCATTAAAAATAGACACTTCTATTTAGAGCCTCACTGCTAAAGAGTTCAGCAAAGTAAACAAAGAGGCTAAACCAGTCTGGTTTCAAAAGCTCTCCAGAGCAGAGCTCAGACAAATGATAAAGGAAAGCTTTGTGTTATTCCTGTTCTTTCATTAAAGGAATCAGGACATTTAGAGTCCCATCCTGTTGTTATTTACACAAGTGGGAGGTAGTCCTTGCCAGGAGAGCTGTGAGGCACTCACCTACTTTATCTTTTCATACAGCTGTAGATGAGCAGAACGCCCAGACCCAGGAGCAAGAGGGCTTCCTCCTTAGTCTCTCAGCCTCTGAGGAAGGCAAGGAACTGAGGAATGAGGATAAAATTTCCATGCAGTCATCACACAGCAGCAGCTATGGAGTGTCCAAGGGGAGGAGCCAGAGGAAAGGTACTGCTCTGGGACTGCCACCATGCAGGTCTTGCCTGTGGATTACAGTTCTGTTAGTTATAAAAAGGGCAGGAGGTGTTATGTGTATTACCTTCTGTGTTCTGTTCTTTTCAAATGTTTTCATGACTGCTCTACAGCCCTTGCACGTTTCTGTGTTCTAGCCTATGCATTATACATCCCATTTTTTGCTGCATCTCTCATGGCTGGTCCATGATCTTAGCATATGAAGCCTAGGATTCAGAAATTTTCTTGCACCAGTAATCTGGCTTCTCTTGGCTTTCAGTGCTTGGACAAGGACAGTCTTGAGCACTTTTCATGTCATCCTTTGCAGATGACAGAGAACAGCAGCCAGTTTGCTTTAATAACTGTGTTATGTGAGTAATTTATTAGAAACCCCTGATCACTGCTGATATGTTTGGAACTTCCCTGAGTATTCATTTGGAGCCAAATACCCTATCTGTTGTGCTGCTGGCACCAGCTTTTTCTCATCTTTGTTTCTAATAGTTTTCTTGTAGCATTTTGATACTTCCAATCTGTGGAGTTTTCCAGCAGCACATATGTGACATCTCTTAATGACTGGTTCTGTCAATTCTTTGTTTTCTGGGATCTCATTGTGTTTTGCTGTTGAGTGATTCCTAACCCAGTCTTGCTGCTTGGCCTGTGTTGGTCTGAATCACAGCACCATGTTTGTCAATAGCCAAGTTTGTGTTGTGTTTTACAGCCTCCAAGTCTCCTTGTGAAAGACTAATAAACAAAGGAAGTTTGTCACTGGGCAGCTCTGCATCTCTTCCTCCCCAGACAGGAAGCCGGGACAACTTGCCAATGCTGAACACAAAAATCCTCTACCCAAGTAAGTGTAACACCCACCACTTCCCACTGAGGCAGCCAACTGGAGCATGGGCGACTGCAGCACATGCTGCAGTCTCCATGTGAAAACATGAAATTGTCCTGCCAGATGCCCTTTTGTGCAAGGTCAACCATGAGAGAAATCCCTTTGTGGATAACTGCAAGTGGAGGCTTGGAATGAGCTGTAGTAGTTTCCAGTTTTCTGTTGCTAAGACTTAGAGACAGATTTTTATTAATGCCATGAAGTGGCAGAATTTAGATGCCAATTGCAAAAGGATACTTATCTCTAAGTAAGCATGCTGTTGAGAAAGGTTTCTGAAGAATGGCAGCCATAGATTGGAAGCAGCAGTTCCTTTATGTGAAGGCTGAAGTGACTGGAAGTGCACTTTCAGCACTTCCAGACCCAGAAGAATTCCCACCTGCCACATGATGTGCAGCAACTTCTCCCTGTTACTGTAGCAGTATCTTTCCATCTCTTTGCCCAAATTACTTGTTCAAATTGGTCCTTCTGGAAGCAGGTTCCTTTCTCTCTGACAAACCTACTATTTGTGGGTCACCAGTTAATAATTTAAGAAGCAGGAGACAGTAATTCTTAAACAACTTGGATCATAGCTTCAGTCCTGCTCCTTTCTCTCTATTCACTGTATCAGGGATATTACTTGTCTCACCCTGGAACAAAAAAGCTGCTGCAGAGAGAACTCTTATTTCTCTTATCCATGTTTCTATATAACTGTGCTGCTAGCCTTAGGCAGTCCACTGTCAGTCAGAAATCCTCCAGGCAGCCCTAGAAACCCTTCTCCTTGTCAAAAGAACTAACCTCTGGAGTGAAAGAAAGCACTAATGCTGTTTGATTTCTTCATGAATGACAGGGAAGAATGTATCAACTCTTGTTATCTTGTCTTTGAGATTGAAGTTACTGGTTTTCTGCTTACTATTAGTCATGCTCTTCTCCATGGTCAATTTTCCTACAGATATCCGTGCTGGCATGTCAGGTTCTTTGCCTGGGAGTTCTGTCATCAGCCGATTGTTGATCCATGCTGATCCCTTTAACTCTGAGCCTGAAAATCTGTGAGTATGCTCAGGAGCTGAAAGGGAGGGAGTGGCTGTTTGCAAATGGACCTCAGCAGAGAGGGGGATTTGTCTATGGACCAAAGTAATGGACTCCAGTAGCCTGGAGTTACATAAATAGATCCATATGCTGAATTTTAGAGCTTAAGGATCAACTTATGGAGTTACACATGCAGTGACACATATCTGACACAGTTGGGCCTGGTGGTCTTTTCCAATCTAAATGATTCTGTGTGAGATACACACCAAATGGTGCCGAGACTTAAGAGTGGAAGTTTTGTTCTTCTGTTTGGCAGTGAATGTTACACTGAGAAGTGTGTCATGAATAATTACTTTGGAATTGGACTGGATGCAAAGATTTCTTTGGACTTCAACAACAAACGTGATGAGCACCCAGAGAAATGCAGGTGGGTTTGGATCAAACCTTTGGATTGATGCCAAAAGTGACTGAACCACTTCATGCTTCTGTGTGGTTTTGAAACTGATTGTGTACACTGTGCTGAATAGGTGTATTGTCTATATAATGCTCCTTCAGGGCTTGAAATCATGATGGAAGAGATAAATTACTGATTTATTATGCTATGAGGTATTTAAGTTGCTACATTGGTGCAGTAGCCCATTGGTTCTACTTATGTCATCTCACAGATTTTCTCCTGGGCTTGCTATTTAGCTATGAGAGAAGCACATCTCAATTCTAAATGCAGCAGAGGCTGGTTTTGACATTGATCCTGACTCAATACAAGCCACAGGTTTGGCCTTTTGAATGCCTGAGCAACTACAGGATGCTTTGTGTAGGCTGGGATTGGATATATTTGCTGTATATGAGCTAATACAGCTGAGCACTGTTGATGTCCTGGTGTATGAGATGGACAAGTTCTGTGCCAGGGCAGTCTGTGTATGTTTCTGGTAGTGTCTGTTCCTCATACTTCATTCCTACCTGACGTTTATATAAAGGGATGTAGTTTCCTAGCACAGTGATCACTTGGAGCAGTTGACCCTTTTGGAAGCAGAGCACCTTTGTGGTTTAGGATGTAGCAGGTACCATTTCAGTGTGAAGGTTTTATTCCTTCTTAGTGAAAGGATAAATGTCTGTGCTGACTTCTCTTTTTGTTTGCCCCCTTAGAAGTCGTACTAAGAACATGATGTGGTATGGAGTATTGGGGACCAAGGAGCTGCTGCACAGAACATATAAAAACCTGGAGCAGAAGGTCTTGCTGGAGGTGAGGAATTAGCATGTTCTTATGTTCCTGAGATTGGGATGCCTAATTCCATCTCCTTCAGGCACTGTGATTTTTGACATGATTTGGCTGGTGATATTTGCCTGCCTGAAAAAATGTGCTTGGCTATGTGTCACCCTGAGGTAACTAAAAGTGGCTTTTCCTGGTTCTGGAGCATAACTTGTCTTCTAAGCCCATAAGGGAAGAAGTATCCTGCTGGAAAGTATTTGCTGTTTCCAATGCAGTGTTCAGCATGGGTAAGATTGTTACGTTCCATGTGGTATCTCACATGAACACAACATTTTAGATGATGGGTGCAGTGGAAAGCTCTGAATTTAACTGTGCTATAATGTGTATCTAACTGGAAAATAAATATTTTTGTATAGGTCATGTACTGCGTAAACAGGTAACTTGCAGGAGAAGACTCTCATCACATGGCTGTTTCAGGAGTTTTATTCTGCTTTCTTGAGAAATAAATCAAGAGGCTTTGCCAAGCCTCTCAGGTGTGCCCTGTTTCTGTTAGAGGAAAAGAAGCAAGAGTATCTCTCTAAAATCCATGTCTGCCAGAAAATGTGTGGCTCATGAGGCTTGAGTGGATACCTTCTACTCTTCTAGGCCAAGAATGAACAGGAAGAAACCCAAATTAATGTATTACTAAGAGGTGCTGGCTGTTTTCTGTTCACAGAGCATGTGCTCTGGCAGGAGGGTTTCTCTCCTGCTGGGCTGAGAGTAGTGTTGCCTTCATTTCTGTGCAGTGCGATGGGAGGCCAATTCCTCTGCCCAGTCTCCAGGGCATTGCTGTACTCAACATTCCCAGCTATGCAGGAGGCACCAACTTCTGGGGGGGAACCAAGGAGGATGATGTGAGTATTCTCTAAGACCATACAGGAAATGTTTCTACTTACTGTTACTTTTAAGGTCACAGCCTCTGCAGATAGTGCTTGGAAGAGGAGGGCAGGGGACTTGTCTGCATGCACTTTCTGTTGGATGTGGCTGAGATACTGAAATCGAGCCTTGAGCAGCTTTCATACCCAGGCAGTCTGTAAGGAGTCAGAAGAAACATCACCAGAGCATTTGGACCTGCAGGAAGTTCTTTAGGTTGACCTTGTCCCACAGAGAAGTAAAGCCCCTTGACAGCAAAGGCAGCTAGATTCACTCAGAAATGTGGTTTTTTATATTTTTTGGAGTGCCTACTCTCAAAAGAATAATTAATGCCTTATGGCCTACAGCCTTCATGTCTGAATTATACTTTAGACATTGGAAGCCTCTGTTTTCTCACTCCTAGCTTATTCCAGATCTTCACCTTCTAGCCTTGTTGTTAATTTTATACAGATTAAAGAGCACAATTAAAAGCAAACCCCCAAGTCAGCACCAATAGGGGGTAAAGGAAACCTCTTCAAGAGAGCTGTGCCTCAGCCAGATTCTCTCTCCCTTGTATGTGGCAGACATTTACAGCCCCTTCCTTCGATGACAAGATTTTGGAGGTGGTAGCCGTGTTTGGTAGCATGCAGATGGCAGTGTCACGTGTGATAAACCTACAGCATCACCGGATTGCACAGGTATCGGCTGCTTTTGTGAGCTCTTCCTGCCTGCCCCCTCTCCAGCTGGTGACTTTGTAAACCCCTTCTTTCTGCTCTCTCTGGTCCATGGAAAGAACAGCCACCAGAGGTGGAAATGGACATGCTCAGGGGCAGTTTGAGTATGGAATTGTTTGCTAGCATTCATTGTAGTAGGAGTTAGACCAACAACTCAAATACAGATTAGTCCAAAGAAAAGCAGGTGTTCTCTGCTGCTCAAGGGTGAGGTGTGTCCTGTTGCCTAGACATGTGTGCCTCAAGTAGCATCAAAGCTACAGCACCTGGGGAGGGGCTTTGGAATGACAGAGAATGGCTTATGCTTTTGGAAAATCAGCATTTTAGAGCTTTTCTGACCCAGTCACTCCTTGCAGTGCCGGACAGTAAAGATAGCAATCCTTGGAGAAGAGGGAGTTCCTGTGCAAGTGGATGGAGAAGCCTGGATCCAGCCTCCAGGTTACATTTGGATTGTTCATAAGAATAGGGCACAGACCCTCACTCGAGACAGGGTAAGAGCATCCTGAATTGCCTGTGCAGTACACATGTTTCGATGTCACATATTTCTGGAGAGCATGGAAAAGGCCACACCTGAACATTATCTTTGTGAATGCAAGAATCATATTTTATTACACACCATAAACTTTTGGGAAAGAAGGTGATTAAACTTGCATTCACCACTTGGGAAATGGCATAAAATAAGGTTGTTTATACAAGCTTATTTTACTTCCTTTTCTAGGTGTCTTGTGACAGTGTTTCTTAACATGCTTGCATGCTGTTTTTTCCACAGGATGCCTGCTGTGCCACGTGCTGTGGATTGTCTAGATTCAGACGGTCAATGTTTTAATTTGTCATTATTGTTCAGTATCTGGCTTCATTGACCATGTAAAACAGTGTCTTATGCCTTGTTCAGAAGTGTGTGTCGGTCTCATCTCATAATTTTCAAATATATCTGACGAGTACCAGCAGATAAGGAAGACTTCTTGCTCTTTTGCTGTATGATTGAGCCGTGGTCAGACAAAGGAAAGGATAAAGACCCTGCTGTGGCACAGACAGACTTTGAGTCCTCCCAACTGTGTGACTGTCCATGCATAAACAGTTCAGTTGAGAGCAGCTCTTCATGCTTTCCAGCATAACACCCCTTTACCCAGCTTCCAGAGCAAATCAAAGTCCTCTGCAAAGGGACTTACCTCCTGAATCACAAGAAGAAGGAGTACAACAAAGGGAAAAAGGGAAAGCAGCCTGATACAGGCCTGTGGCACGTTGCCTGGCAAGGGTGTTACAAAGATGATAGTATGAGAGGAAAGCAAAGATGGGCATACAAAGCCCCTGTCATGGTAGGACAGGGCACCAGAGACCTCTTAACTGGGAGAGCAGTGGGTGTTGACCATAGAACCACAGAATGGTTCTTTGGGTTGGAAGTACTTTAAAGGTCATCCAGTCCAGGCCCCTGCCTTGGGGAGGGACACCTTCCACTAGACTAGGTTGCTTAAAGCCCCATCCAGCCTGTGGTCTAAATGTTGCCAGAGATGGGGCATCCACTACTTCTCCGGGCAACCTGTGCCAGTGTTTCATCCCCCTCATCGTATAAAATCCTTCCTTGTTGCTTCCTTGCTGAATCTGTCCTCTTTTGAGTTCAAAGAGTGTCCTATCAGCTCTGATGTGAATGTTGTGGAGAGGAGACAGGAGTAGTGCACACAGTCTTTTGTGGCGGGTAAGAGAGCTTCTGCAGCATCACACTGACACTTGGAGGGAGAGTGACTGAAGGAGATAGCACAGAGAGCAAGAGAGACAGGATTGCTGCTGTAAAGGTAAAGGGAGGGAAAAAAGGAGAGGCAACCTATGTGTGGGCATGGTGGGAAAGGTAACATGAAGCACAAGAGATAGAGAGGACCCTTGTGAGTGTGCTATGTGTTGGGCCATCAGAAACCATAGCTATGATTGTGCCAGTCCATTCCTAATTGCCTACAAACTTGGTCTTGCAGTCATGGGATTGCCACTGAGGAAGAGGTTCCAGTTTTGCAGTTGCACACTCAACTTTTTCTCAACTTACCCTTGTTTTTCCTGCTGTCCTTTTAAAGACCTTTAAAAGGTCTTGCATGCCCCTTCTTTCACAGAGCAAACGTCCTATTCAGTTGAAGGGAACTTCATGCATGTGACCCTCTACCTTTGGTAACATTTTTCAAATGTGATTTGGGATATATAGTTTCCTAAACTGAAGATGGAAAAACTCAAATTCCCTTATTTGTTTGGCCTCATCTGGACCACTAAAGAGTCATCAGCAAGAGTGAGATCAGCAGGTAGCTTGCACTGAGCTGACAGAGCCTGGTTTTCCAGTATCAGGGGCAGTAGGGGAAGGGAGTGCTTTACCACAGGGCTCCATAATTTTAATTCTCACCATATTCAATATCAATCCTTCTGCATTGGATCTCTTTTTCTTCTTCCTACACCACTACCTTCTGCCCCCAGGAATATCAGTAAGGTTTCAAATGTGTCAGGTCCTAGCTCTGAGTTCAGATGCTTGGCCCACCAGTTCCTAGGGAAGCCCAATTTACTTCCAGAGAAGGAGGAGCCTTGAACATTTTTAATTTCATGCTCTGAAGTGTCACAGTAATACTGAGGTGTAAAGGTGATACAGCTGCTTAAAGAAAAGGCTGCCACCAGTAGGGAATTGTTGGATTTTCTTTAGTCTGGCCCTCAGAACTGCCCAGTAATTTTGACTAAAACTATGCATAGGCAGAAATTCAGTCAAGGCAAGCATGTGGCATGGAAAACTTTATCCCAGCCAGCTACCTAGCAAAGTTATAAGCAACTTAACTGCTGGGCCCTGCAGTGAAAAGTGCCTGTACCACATCTATATGTTTTACAGGCATAGGCACATTAACTGAGTTTTTATAGGAGTTTTACAAGGTACCTTATTGTTCTCTTGCTGTGTTTTTAGGCGTTTGAGAGCACCCTGAAGTCTTGGGAGGACAAACAGAAGTGTGAGTTGTCACGACCCTCCTCTTTCTCCCTGCAACCAGAGATCATGTCTGAAGAAGAGTCCACCCAGATCATCCAGTTTGGTCAAGCTGCAGGTGCTCTGATCCACAGGTGACTCAACTTGCTTTTGGTGAATAGAGCCTCCTTTAGTGCCTGAAATTCTTGTCCTGCTTCCTGTTTCTGGAGGTGTTCCTGTTCAATCTTACCTGCTACATACATTGCTGGTCCATGTCACTGAGAGTAGCATCATTTATTGTTCAGTGTCCCAGCTAAACAAGGACTAAAGCTGAATAAGCTTTCTTAGGCCATTTTGAACAAAATATGTTACTTTCATGAGCAAACATGGATCCTTTAATCCTGAAAGAGTCTATTGCCTTTGAATATAAAGTAGTTTTTTCAGAAAAGAAACAAAAGCCTCTCAAGGAGCTCAGATGACAGCCTAGGTGTTGTAACCCTGATGCCTAGCAGAAATTTTTGTACAGTGCCCAGAATGTATGCTTACCTGCCCATCCTTTAGTCAGGCATTCTGTTGGGCTTCTGAGAGAAAGTTCCCAGAGTCATTAGAGAAAGTTGCTGTAAGTGCAGCTGCCTTTCACATCACTCTGCTCATACTAAAATGTCTGGGTTGTATTTCAAACTGATCCAAGTTTGTGTGCAGAATTGAACATGTTGTGCCTCTGAGAGAGCTGCATTTCCTTGCCTGTGCATGCTCATTGTGGCAGGAGAACTGTGCTGCTTTGCCAGAAGCTGTGCCCCTGCCCTGATCCTGGCTTGGCTTATCACTTGGGTGGGTGTTTAAATGGGATACCCAGTCAGGAGAGATCTCCTGATTTGAACATATGCAATGTGATATGCTGATGCAATCTGTAATTCTCTCTTTAGCATTCGGGAAATAGCTCAGTCCTATCAGGACATGGAACAGGAGCTTGCCCATGCTGTCAATGCCAGCTCCAAGTCTATGGACAAAGTCTACGCTAAATCCAAGTCTACAGAGGTACTGCACTCACTTGGCATCTCCCATTTTGTCCTTGCTCCAGAGCTCTTGGTTTTCCATTCTAGCTGACCGAAAGTAGGCTTGCTAGTCTAAGACTTCTTCCTTTTGACTGCTCAGACCTGTGCACTTCCAAGCTTAACTTGTACATTAATTGCTTCCCTGCAGGGTCTGAACTGCAGCCTTGTTGTAGAGATGGTGAATAATGTCAAAGCCCTGCACAATGAGACAGAGCTGCTGCTGGCAGGCAAGATGGCACTGGTAAGGAGCACAAAGCAGGAGGAAAAAACAGCCTCACTTCCCCTCCTCCTGTTGCCTTGGCCTAGCATTTTGCTGGTCTTGGACTCTCTAGGTCAGTTTAGATGTTATCATCCAGGAATCATTTGCTACAGAAAATTTTGCTACATGGGTGTGCTGTGGAGCTTGGAGCTCAGAAAATATAAGAATTGTTAATTTGGTCTGAAGAGTACCTGCTCTGCACTTCCTTTCAAAGGAACTGCTTTGTTAGCTAGGAGTTTCAAGGCAAGGGTCTGGCTGTGTGTTTTACCATGAGGCTTTTAACTCTTCCATTCTTCTATTCCTGATCCAGCAATTAGATCCTCCACAGAAGGAGCAGCTCCAGGCAGCCCTGGCAGACATGGACCTCCAGCTGAGGAAACTGGCAGACATCCCTTGGCTGTGGCAACTTATGGAGCCCTGTGATGAAGAGGTGAGGAGGACCAAGGCTATTTTTCCCTAGCTGTTCCCTTTTTCCCTAGTTGGCTCTCTGTGTTTGATTTCCTGTTACTATATGACTGAGAAAAAATTATTAAGAAAGAAACTTGACTCCCTAGGGCTAAAGAAAGTAATTTCCTGCCAAGGTCCCTTGCCTAACATGGGATCAACTTTCTCTGCTTCCTTTTGTGTCTTGGTCAGAATGAGTTTAGGTTTTTTTTTTTCCCTTTCTTTACGAGATCATGGAGCTGAGCTTGACAGTGCTTGTTGCTCTTAGTCCATTCTAATCAGTTTATATGTGCTTGATTTTCCCTTTCTGTTCTTGCAGAACCAGATGCTGGATTATTCTAAACGCAGCCGCAGTGGCAAATTCCGCCTGGTGACCAAGTTTAAAAAGGAGAAGAACAACAAAAATAAGGAAACTCACAGTAGCATGGGATTGCCGGGTACCAAGTCTGCTCATTCATTGTGTCTTTTTGTCACATCAGTATGGTCACACCACTACCTGTTCTCGGTCTGTTTCCTCACACATCCTCTCCTTCTGTTTCACCTGCATCTGCCTCTTCTTGCAGGTCTAGTCAGTCTTTTTCATGTGGCAAATAGCTTATTGCTCCCTTCTGAGTCATGGTCCCCCTGTACCATGCCAGCATTCCTGAGCAGGAACAGGAGGTACCCTCTGAAGAATTCTTCCCTGCACTGTACAGATTTTCACAGATATTTCAGAGGGTGCTTAGGGAAGTGAATTTGAGGATTTCGGCATTTTAAGTATAAAAATGATTGCGGGGCCCAAGTCCGCGTACCTCCAGTCTTTTCATTGCTTATTCTCTGTGATACAGTAAATTATATTTTTCTCATTGATTCACCTTCAGACTTTAATCAAGTTTCATGTCTAATTGGCTGGGAATCAGCATCACCACAGATGTTTCCTGACCTTTAATCCTATTGGTCAGTAGATAAAAACTGGCCATGAATCAACAAATTACCATTCAAGACACTTTCTCTCTAAATTGGTCTAGCTGATTTTTGGTTTATGCTCTCCTTATGAAGGCTTTCTTCCAAAATTCAGAAGTATGACCTGTTCTGTTGGCTCTTGGGTCCTGTCCTCTGCCATGGAGTTGTGGGTACAGTCTCCTGTCTGATAGGCTGGTGTTCATTCACTGCCTTCCAAAACTTGGAAATTCATTATTCTCTTATTTAGAGACTGCAAGAAAGTGGAAGTCTAAACTCTTCCTCTCTCCCTCAGACAAGGGGGAGAGAGGTTGCCATTTTGTTTCCTGAATGCAAGTGGTTGTACATAATAATGTGCAAATAAGTGCTGTGATTCTCCATCATATATTTTATGAATCTCTTGTTTTGTACGCAGAATTTACACAATGTATGTACTCTTCTTAAACATGGGGGTAAACTTGAAAAAAGTTATCCCTATCAAAAGATATGTCATCTCATCAAAACAAATACGCACTTCCTCCTGGCTGTACTGCAGCAGGCTCTTCTTAAGAGAACATCTCTTACCTTTTTTTGCCCTACCTCCTTCATTCGAGATTGAAGGTTGTGCTGCCCTCCCCTTAGAGGCTGTGATCCTGCTTACCCTCCTCCTTTGGCACTGAGTGCTGTGGTGTCCTCATCTCTCCCTGTCTCCTGGGATTCTGGGTACTCAATGCACTCCTGCTTTTCCATCTCTAACAGTTCACCTCTGGGGAACGGAGGAGGTTGCGGCGTGGCTTGAGCACCTCAGTCTTTGTGAGTATAAGGATATCTTCATCCGCCATGACGTCCGGGGCTCTGAGCTCCTGCACCTTGAACGGAGGGACCTCAAGGTACTTTCACGGTCGGCTCATGAGAAATAGCCAGCTGCATCTGCATGACCTCCTGTGCTGAATGTGCTTGGAAGTGGGCTGCCTGCTGTTCATTCCAGGTGCCTTGGCAAGATGAACAGGTTCACTACGGCCTCATTGTATTTTCTCACCGTTTGGGGTCACCTGGTTTTTAAGAGCAGGGATGTAGAAGAGTTGGTTGAGGGACCAGCTGTCCCGTTCTGCCACAGCTTGCTGGAGACGTGATACAGTCCAGCACACAGATTGCCAGTAGTGCTCTTGAGAGTCTCTGATTTTAATGATGGAAGTTTTTCTCAGCTACTGTACCATCTTTGCAGAAGGTGCTGTGATTGGGAACATTTGGTTCTTACTGTGCAGTGACTGGACAAATGGATCATCATGCTTCTTTGTTACAAGAAAAAGTGATTGTGCACTTTGATGAGGCTTATGGATGGAGAGGATCTTTTTTAAGAGGGCTCAGTAGTCACGTTGCACAACTTTTTATCTCCTCACCAGGAGACGTTGTTTCTACTGAGAGAAATTGAAAGTGGTGGCTCTTTGCATGTGCAAGAGCCTTGTGTCATCATTCTGGTGACTTGCATAGAGCAGGAAAAGACAAGTTTTTTTGAAGTAATTTGTGGCATTTGTTTGATGCCCCTTGAACCTTTATTTATAATTTTTACCATCTTCCCATGGTGAGGTTTGCTGTAACCTGTGTAACTGACCCCTCTGCATGTCATCCACCTACAGCCTGTGTTTGTTGCATGGTACCCATCTATCAGATGTGACTGGTTAGTTCCTTCTGCATGTTTTGGCTTCTAGACTGGTCCTTGACATCTGTGTGCTCTTTCTCTTCTCACAGCCTTTGACAGCCAAAACAATTTGTGTTTCTGGCTAACAGTCTGCAGTTGTTTCTGTGCATTGCTCTGTGCCCACTCTGCATTCCTTTGTAACTTTTTGACATGTGGTTTGAGGCTCTGTACATAACCCTCAGGTTTGGATTTTTTGTGGTTGGTTTCCTCCTCTTTTTGTAACTGGCTGACTAGTTTGTAACTGTTGCTTGGCCACCTGGAGTTTCCTTCTGCCTTTCTCTTAGTGTAAGGTTTTCTTTTTTCTTCCAGGACCTGGGTGTGACCAAAGTGGGTCACATGAAGAGGATACTGCACGGGATCAAGGAGCTGAGCCGGAGTACTCCTGCCAGCGAGGCTTAGCCTCTGTTTTCACAGCCTGTGTCTACCATTCTCCCTAACTGCACAGCAGTCACCTCACAAAGCAGATGTGCTCACAACTGTCTCTGCTGAACAGCCAAATTTTAGCTGTTCAGAGCTCATATCAACCAAGCATGGTGCTACTTTTTTCCTGTGGGGTATGGCTGCATCCTTTGGAGAAGGCACTTCCTCTGCGGTTGGCAGAGCCTCCTGGAGAGAGCTCACTCACTGTTTGAAGAGCCATGTCCTGTGTTGTGGGAAGTTCTGGTTCCAGGGACAGTGCAGGACTCCTGAGAACTGCAACACAGATACCTTTACTGGATAACTTCATCACAGTAGAATCATTCAGGGCAAAAGATATATTGGCCAGTCTTAATTCAGGAGCATCTGACAGTCATTTCAGACCCAAAACTTTCCTGCTCATCCATGTGTCACACTTGTATTTAGCATATTTAAGTGGGACAAAACCTCTCCTTTGATCTTACTATTCCCTTTTTAATGCATCTGTAGTTGTGTGTAATTTGCATCCGAAATTCAAAGCCGGTTCAGACCTCTTCCAATGAATATCAAGTGATTCTCATTCACTCATACTTTTGCAACAAACAGTGCATGTACTTCAGACGGGGTTTGCACCAGCTGGCAGAGCCTTCTGCTGGGCCTGCTCTCCTCTACCAGCCAGGGGCATTGGTACAACCTTTAGGTTTTCACAAAAAATGTGGCGCTAGTCATCACAGACAATTGTTCAGAAATTCTTGGTAGTAAGAAAAGAGAATCTGGAGAACCAAATAGTTACAGGAGATCAGCTCTGACATTCCTTCTTCTGGATTCATCTTTGGAAGATCAGATAAAAGGGAGAGGAAAGCTAATGAGCTGTTGGTGCTGCACAAGAATGGAGGTACAGGACAACTTGCTTCATCTTGGAGGAGAAAGCAGCATGACTGGCAATGGCCAGATGTAGCTTCCTACCTGTTTAGTACCACTTCTGTGGCCACAAACATGAGAGCTGTTGCTTTACTTCACCTTGCAGTGTAGAAAACTATTTCTGTCACAAAATATGTTATTTAAGTCTAGTACTTGTATCTTTTCACCTGTCTAGGTTTCAGTAGCTTTTCCACCTTGCTTCTCTTTCTTGCTGCCTTGCTCCTTCACTCCAGGGTGATACAAAAGATTAGAGTAGCTCAGTTCTCCTGGGATGTACCCCTAAAAGATTCCTTGTGCTGCAAACATTGGGGCTCCTGTAAGAGCACTGAGAGGAGGAGGATTGTTACCAAGCAAATGAGCATTATAATGAAAACTGGAATATGTTGATAAATTGCTTTTGGTACCAGCAACAGTGGAGCATGGAAAAATTAGTGCCTCTGAATCAGAGTTTCTAGATGGCTGACCTCAGTTGGGTGGCTGTTAAAGCCCAGGACCAGCATGCATAGTTATATCACCATTTTTATCACTGCAAAGGGAATTTGGCAACAGTCAGTGCTGTAAAACTTGAGAGACAGCAGAAATTATTAATTACTCTGTAATTTTCTGTGTATGTATTTAATTTTTTTATTATTATTACAGAGTGGCACCTGTCTGACTATGGCTGCAGACAGAAAAGCCCACATACACAGTGGCATAAAAGATGATTTGCTGAGGACATCATTCTTTTTTTACTTGTAAGGATTTTTATCAAACTGATATCACTTCTCTAGTCTAATAACAATCAGTCAAGTTAGCAAGTAAAGATTTGTCAGCTTATAAAGGCTCTGGGCTGATTTTGTTTCAGCTGGGCAAACTCCATTGAATTCCCTAGTATTTCACCAAGGATTGTTCTGACTGTCTGTCTGTTCTAACCAGACACATTCACCCATGTGTCTCCTTGCAGCCTGGCGAGTGTCAGGGTTTGTGTTAAAACTCATGAGAAGGTGAAAGAAGATTATAAGTGCTTGATCCAGCTAGAAACACAGTATAAATACTGTGGGGCCTGAGCAGGAAATATGTCCAGCCTTGCCCTGAATGTATTTCTCCTATGTATATGTTGGCAATTACTTCCATAGCTGTGTTTATTATTTATCAGTACAGACTCCCTCTAACCCTATTGAATTCCTGAAGTATCAGGTAAGAATTGCAAGCATATTTTAATGTCCCACTTGCTTGTTGAGGCACAGAGCAGCATCTGGATGAAAATGAGAAGTCTCCTCAGGAGACCCCCAGGATGCAGCCATCCCCAGTGGTGGTGTGCAGTGACCTCACAGTGTATGCATCCCACTGTTTATCCCAGAATTGTGCGTGGCTGGGACATCCATGTGCCTTCCCAGGAGAGTGCAGCAGGGGGTGAGGCAGGTGATCACTCTGGAGAACAGGTGAGATCTGTGTTTGTTCCTATATTCAGTGAAGGAGCTGTTCTGTGGACTTTCCCCAGCAACCTCATGGTTAAAGATGCATAAACAATAAGCTCTTGCCTTGCATAATCCTTGAGGGATTAAATTCTTGCTTTCATTGAAACAGCTCCTCTCTACTCTTCCTGCCCAGAGCAACAGAGGAATCCAAAGAGTTTTTACATTCAGGTGTGTTCCTTAGTTCATGCCATATCTATCAAGACCTGATAGCCACTAGCCATTTGCATGAGTGATGAGGCCTGCACAGATGCATCTTCGTTTCTTTTGCTTTTCTGATCTGTGTCAATGCCTTCAGATCCTTTTTGTGCACATGCTTATCTGTCAATGGGTTGACAGCCACTGTATTCCTGCCTTATTTATCCGAGGCAGCAAGGGAGTTCTTCCTTCTTCTGAGACCTAGAAAATGGGATCCACATTTAACCTGAGTGCCTTTGGATATTTATTAAGGTTTAGATCTAAGAAAGCCCAAAGGGTTGTAGTTCTGTGTGTTTCACTGGGAACAGTGCAGATTTTTATTGGCGAGATTTTTGTGAATAGATGAAGACAATTTGTGTTGAACATCAGTGAGCTCTATCTGCAAAGCAGGGAGCCAGGTAGAACTCCTGGCCTATTCTGAGTTTCTCTTCTGACATCTGATAATTTTTTTTTGTGGGAGAAAAACTCAGGAAAGACAGTAAAAAATGCTGCTTTGCCAAAAAGAGACTGTCCGGCAGTCTCAGGAGCACCAGCCTGAGAGAAGCTAGAGCTGCACATATCACACAGGTGTTTAGTCCCTGAAGAAATGCAAATCCTGTGAAAGCCATGTGGCACCTTCTGTTCACACCCCTCACCCCTGGCAGTGGCTGCAGTGAGCTGGGCATGGGGTTTCTCCTGCTTGGAAGACGCTTCAGTCCATTCTCTCACATTCTGGCAACATCTGGGATATTTAATGGCAGATTCTGGAATGATGGCTGGGGCTAAGTGAGATTGTGTGCAGTGGAGACTGGAGGGAGGCTTGGCTGTTAGCAGTGCCCTGCCCTGGGCTGCCTCGGGAGGGCTGGTACAGCCTCTCTTTTGTACCTTGTGGGATGTTGGCAGGAGCCAGCACAGTGGCCAAGGGGAGCTGTGCCACTGGGTGCCTGGAGGTGCTGGCCTGGCACCTGGGAGCCTCCAGCCCTGCTGAGGCCTTCAGTGCCCGTGCTACATCTGCTTCTGCACCCAGATCGTATGGAAAGCTTCAATCATTGTTTTAGTGTTATTTAAAAATGTGCATAATAGCGATGTGATTTATAAAACAGACTGTTTACAAGACATATTTTGTATCTTAAGATGTGTGTACTGTAAAAAAAAAAGGAAAGTATGAAAAATGATGTTTTTCTACAACTGTCAGCAGTGGCTGCATGTCTGTATCATTGTCCACCGACCGTTGTTCCTCAGGGGTCTCCCCACCATTCCTGCGATCCTGTCAAAAGCATCGGGAAGCAAGTGAATCCCTGTACAGTCTTGGGAAGAAGGTTTTGTGCCTTAAGAATGGGACCTGCTTCCCTCCTATTTATTTTGTTAATTTATACAGTGATTACCATGGAAATGTCTCTTGGGGTTTTTTTGTACATAGTTTACTTGTTGTAAATATGTTTTTCTTGTATATAAAGTAAACATGTTTCTGAGCTTCCAGTAAGGATTTTCTGTTGCTGATTTTGTTGTGAGAGGGCTGCTGTGCCCATCAGGTGGGAACCAGCTAATAAAAACCTGTGCTGTGATTAAATGGTTTTATCCTGGCTTACATCAGAAGTTCAGAGCTTTTCCTTAGAGAGGAGTGAAACGGTAAATGTAAGTGTTGTAGACTAATTTTGTAGCGTTTTTTGTGTCGGTTTAATTGGCATGGAGTAGAAGACATCAGGTAGTTTCATTTTTTTAGCTATGTCGTGTAGTGAACAAAAGATGTTTTAAATGTGGTGCTTCTACTGGTGCTCATCCTGATCAGAGCTCTGCTGGCAGCAAGCCCACAGCTCGGTGGGAGCACTGTCACACTCAGCAGGGCTGTGTTGGTTACCTCTCCTCAGGTGGCTGTTCCTGGCCATGGTGCTACGGTGCCAGGATGAGACAGGAGCAGTTGTTCTCTCCTGCACCTGGGCCTCTGTGTATTCCATTTATTGCAGGCAATACGTACAGTGACTTGAATAAGTGAAAATGCATTTACAGAAATGTGGGAGAAGTGAGTTTTCTCATGGAATGTGGAAACTGAGTGCCATAAATGACACCTGTAAACTTGAAACAAAAAAATTTGGCGTGTTTGGGTGAGCAGTCCATAGAGTGGATTGTGACAAGCTTTCTCTTCTGTTTGTACAGACTGGTGTGTTCATAAGATGCTGATAGGAAACTTCCAGCAGATTTATTTAAATTGAGAGGATGGTTGTAGAGTTCTACAGTACTGTTGCAAAGTGGGTGGAAAGTAAGTTAAAATGGTAATGAATGTTTTCTGTGTGAATAACATCTTTGTACATGATAGTTAAACAGAACTAACAGTGTCTGGAACAGGAGCATCATTCTGATGTTACATACTCTTGCATGATGAAAATGGTAAAAATTTCATTTTACGATTTTTCATTGGTTACCTGGAGCCAGAATGAGAAGAAAATTAGAACTACTGTGTTTACTCACACATGCATCAGACCCTGAGTGTCAGTCTCTGCTTTAAGTGGCACTATAGAAAACATGCAAAGAAAGCAACAGCAGAGACAGAAGATATTCTTACTCCTCTCATACAGGTTAATTCATTTTGGTCTTTTTTTTTAATAATGTGGCAGAAGCTAATAGCAAAAATCTTACTGCCCCACTCAGTGTGTCATTTCAGAATGTCAGACCTCCTTCCCAGGGCTGACATTCTCTTGGTTTGATTTAACTACCGAATGGATCTCAGGGTTGGGAGGAAGGTGTGCTGTGAAGATCTCTACCAGTGAGTTTAAATACAAAAGTGTGAATAACTGTGCTCCCCCTAGCTGGGACTGGAGTAGCTTGAGGTGTTTAATTCTCATGTGGGCAGAATGAAAAGGTCCTGAGACTGACTGGAAAGTGACATTCCACATTGATAACAGCTAAAAAGAGTCATGGCAGTTCTCCAGCAACTTCTGTCTGAAGAGTTCTAGCATTTTGCATTTACCCAGTGGCCTGGGAGTGTTTTTCTTCACATGCAAGGAGGAGCTGAGGCAGTGTGCATATGACCTAGAAGACTCCTTTGGTTGACTTCATGGTAAAATGCAAGCCAGTTTTGGCCTATGGCTTTTCTTCATGGGAGCAGGGAAGGGGATGGCCTCGGCCCTCATGTCCTCCTCCATGAGCAGTTTGGTTTGCACTGATGGGCTGCTCTAGAGCAGGAGTTGGAGCAAGGTGATGGTCTTTCTCTTTGCAGAGGCTGTACAGAACTGCAGCCCCAGCAGCATTCCCAGGTGTGAGCAGATCCCAACCAGGGAAGTAACAGGCTGGGATGAATTCGATATCTGCACAGGTTGTTGAATTCCTCTTGTTCCCAGGTTGCAAACTGGATTCACAGCAGCACTTCCCAGCAGGCTCTCCATGGAGAGGTGTTCTTGCCTTTCTGGCACATGTTCCAGTGCTCCTCTGAACTGTGCAAAACCTTGGACTCCAAGGACCTTTTCAGAAGAGCGACCTGAGGAGACTGATACTTCAGCTTGGGTTTCCTAAGGAAGTAAGTGCAGTCTGTTTGTCTGGTGCTGTGTGTATGAGCCTGTCTTTCCCCCTTTAATGCCTGTTTGGAGCTGTCTTGTTTCAGACAGTTCACAGGGAGAGATGATGGCTCACAGAACACTGTGTTTCTGTAACACAGGACTTGGGATAAGAGGAAGACTCTGATCGAGTTCTGGCAGGTAGAGGCTCCAGTGTTCACGTAGGAAGTAGGCTTGGTGCTTTTATTACTCAGTGAATTGTTCATATTGTTGCAAATTAAAAGCTATGAAATAGGAAGCACTGATGCATGCTGCACAGGATGACTGCTGAAGAGCTGTAGGATTTGATTTTTGTGATTTTTTTTTTGCCACTTCAGTTTCCTTCTTTATAAAAATTTACATATGTCTATAATTTATTTAATTTTCAGAAATTTACATTTTTAATTTCAATTTAGAAAAATTTGAGAGGAGCAATTTGGTGCTCCTGGCTAAGAGGCTAAAGGCCAAGAACACATTTGAGAATTTGCCTGAAGCTTTGCTGTAGAAAGGCAAAAGCAGAGCTTTTGCCTTTCTTTACACACAGGGGTGTGTAAACACTCTGGTGTGCTCTGTCCCTTGAAGCTGCAAGCGGGAGTATCTTTCAGCTGTGAAAGCTGAAACATCCATGATGCCTTTTTTTACTTCAAGGAGGTGGTTTCTTCAATTATTAATGCCTGTTCATAACACACTGAATCAGAAGTCTCCACAGTGCTAATTTAAATTTTTGGAGCTTCTGTCTTGCCATTCTCTTGTGAGGTTTCTCTTTCTCCTTTTTACCCTGTTCTAAGCCCTCCTTAGAAAAATCCTATTTTTTTAAATGAAACTGAAGTAGAAAACAGCCCAGCACTGTGATTTGTGATTTTTTTTTTAGATTGAAATTGGTTCCCTGGCATGCAAAACTTGAAGTACCTGAACCATCTTTTTCTTCAATCCCCTGCACCTGAAGTCATAAGATCACCTGAGAGCCCAAGTGCTGGCTTTTAAAATACTTATTTCTTCACTTCAGTGGCAGGAGAAAACAAGAAAACCAAGCCCTCAAAAGAAAAGGTATCATGAAAAAGTAAGTTAATTCTTGCTGAGTATCAGTACAGGGATTAAAAAAAAAAAAAAAAGGATGTTTTTAGGAGACTGACACATTGGTTTGCATGTTTGAGGTTGGCAGCTGGTGTGCATGTCCTGAATTTCCAATCTTATTTCTGAGACTATACCAAATCTTAGAACCAGACATATTCAAAACCACGTAACCTACACGGTAGCAAATAGCCAGGTCAGCTACAAATATGAATAATACATGTAATACAGGGTATTACCTGTATTTCTATTAACATTTCCTGTTTTACATTTCCTGTCTTCAGATGTGTTTCATAAACTCAATTTGCAGCAAAAACCTGTTGTCATTAATCTCAGTTGAAGTTTTCTTGTTGAATGGCTGAAGTGAGGATAAAGAACATACCAGCAGAGCTTTGTAGTGCACACATCTTCCCCAGCTGGGATATGGATGCAGCAGTCTTTTTAGCTGAAGTCCCAAACAGATGAACTGCAGTTAAAGAGAACTTCTTTTCAAGAAAGTCCATGGCCAAATTTGTGAGGGGAAAAAAAGGAAATAAAAGTTTATAACTCATAATCAGTGTCACAGGATGTGAGCTGAGATGCTGGGGGGGGGCCCATCTTTCCCTAACCTCTGGTGGCACTTTTCCTGGTGAAGGACCCCAGAGGACTCCTGGGTGCACAGGTAGTTTGCATGAAGATGCCATATCTTCAACATCAGGAAGAATTTCTTCCTGCAAAGGGCGGTCGGGCATTGGAAGGGGCTGCCCAGAGAGGTTTGGAGTTTCCATTACTGGAGATGTTCAAGGAACGACTGGATGGGGCACTCAGTGCTCTGGGCTGGGTGACAAGGTGGGGATTTGGTCACAGGTTAGACTCGATGGTCTTGGAGGTTTTTTCCAACCTTAGTGATTCTGGAATTCTGCTGCATGGCTCACAGAGGTGCCCTGCAGACGCTGTTTGCAGAGAACTTGGACATGCTGGTTCTTACCACCTCCAATGCAAGAAAATTTCTGAAAAGGATGGGGGATGCTTAGTGTTCAGAATTCGATAGAATACTTTGTTCTGATGAGAGCTAACCCAGGACACCAGAAGATGCAATATGCTGGTACAAGCATCTGGTGTCTGCTCATGGCTGTCAGTGGGGGTTAGTTCCCTTTGTTGTTTTGTGGTGGAAACTTTGATGAGAAAGTGAAGTGAGAGGATTTTAAAATTGCAGTATGTGTCTCTTTTGAGTGGTTGTGTGCTGTGAGAAGAGGGCAGGATCTCTCAAGAGACTGCAGCACTAGGTATGTACACTTGCAAATTATATATAACCGTTTCTGCTCACCAGAGAATCAAAAGGAGAAAACGGTTTGAGAAAGGCGGAGTGGGTGCCTCAGCTGTTTTACTTTTTCCCTGTGTGTAGGTAAATGGTCAAGCTCTCCCTGAGCACTGTTTGTTTAACAACTGAAAAGAAAGCACTTCATGTCATTCCAAAGAGTAAATATCTGAAGTTATGGATTAACTAAGTTCCAGCAGAGCTCATGGAGGAAGAACAGATCACGCTGATTCCCACTGAATAAAGCAGTAAGTGCTTCAAAAGTATTGTATCCTTTGAGATTTCCAAGTACAACTTGCTTTAATGGAGCATGAAACTTGTGAAAAATGTCCAGTGACAAGGGGAGGGTGTTGGGACAGGCCAGAAGTTTTCTGGGAGATCTGCTGATGTGTTAAAGGGAATGAGCAAACCAGTCTGGAGGGACCCTAGTGAACAGCTGCTCCAGAGCTGGGGTCAGACAGGGCGCAGCAGACAAGAGAAGAGAAGCGGCTCTGAAAAGTGAGTGACCTGGCTGAGCTGGATGGGTGGGAGCTGTCTGCAGCAGGGGCTTGTCACTCGGCAATGTGCTCTTCTTGACACCTGCCTTCTCCTCCTCAGGTGACTCCTGCTGCAAGATGTGGAAGCTCCTCACTGTGGGGCTGCTGCTGGCTGCCTGCTCTTCCTGGGGCTGCTGCACCTCCAGTAAGCATTCTTTTGAGAGATGGCCTTCAACCCTTCCCAGTCACTGCAGTTTCATGTCCTGCTCCTCTGTTAGAGGGGGTGGCTGGAATCATTCCCACTGGAGGGGGTTGACTTCCTTTAGCAGAGGTTGACAGACAGTGCTGGGGCCATGGCAGCTGCCTGGTCAGAGCCCTGCTGAGCCCCATGAGATGTCAGAGTACCACAGGGCAGAGGCTGGAGCTTGCTTCTGCAGCACAGCACAGACAGCACATGGTGTCTAGGGCAGCCTCTCTTGCTGTACTGGAGAGAGGCTCTTGCTCTCATAAGTGTCCTTTGGGAAGCACCACTGTGAGTTTTCAGCCAGCTCTTTATTCCACTTCTGCTCTCACCTTTTTGCTTGCAGTATTTTACAGCAGTAAAGATGCAAACAAAGTCCTGAGAATCCAGAAGCGGTCAAACACTTTCCTGGAGGAGCTCAAGCCAGGCTCTGTGGAGCGTGAGTGTGTTGAAGAGCTCTGTGACTTTGAGGAGGCCAGTGAGATATTTGAAACCAGGGAAGCAACAGTAAGTTGGTTTTTTTTTTTTAAGGATAAGATAACTTAGTCAATCAAAGATTTTCTTAAAATATTGCAATCCAGGGCACAGGAGATCATGCTGTCAGTACTGAACACTGCTCTTTCCTGACTCCTTAGCTGTAGGCGTGGTTTTGAGTGTCACTGTGTTACAGTGATTGTCAAGTTACCCTCAATGGGCCACAAAGCTTGGCTACTCAAGCATGTCCCACCTGGCCCGCCTGGTGAGGTTTAGGTCCTAGACAGTTAATTAGAATCCTTGCTTGACTCCATTTGGCTATTCTTGCTGCTACTAAGTTTTTCCTAGTACTTCCAGTCTTTCCCCTTTGTTGTCCATTCATCAGTCCTGGCTGCTTTTCAGTGTATCTCCCAAGTCTTCCTGTTATGCCTGACAAACATTTCTCTATCACTATATTTTTTCTCTCCTTCTGCAAACTCCTATTTTGAATTGGACACTATGTTTACTGTCTGGTGATTCCTGCCCCTTTCTACACGCAATTGTTGCGTTGCTGTTTTTAGCAGAGTAGGCTCAAAGCATAGGGTTATGCAGTCCTTGCTGTCCCTCAGATCCCAGAGGAGAGAGGGGCTGTCCTTAGAATGCCTGTGTTTTGTCTAACTGGGCTCAAGTGAGCTCAGGTGACTTACCTGGCAGTAAGTGCCAAGAAAATAGCCTGCAAGCAGAGATGGGGAGTCTGTGTTTAGTACAGGACTGCAGGAGAGTCACTGGCTGGTTTTCTTGGTTCATAGTGCCAGTCACTACACTGCCAAGAAGAATGAGACCGATGTTACTGACAAAGTGCTGTGTTCTGTTGGCCAAGACCACAAAACACTTAAAATCCCTCACTTGTGAAAAATGGTTTTCTTGCTTTAATACAAGTTTCGTTTCTCCACAGCTAGAATTTTGGAGCAAGTATGTAGGTAAGTAAAGATTTTCCTCATCACTTCTCTGTGCTTCCTCAGGAGTTACTAGTACTCAGCCTTCCTCCTGCCATGTGTCATATACTGATTTAAATTCTCATTCTCTCTCATAAGGGGTGTGCAGAGGATGTTTTCCTGTTCTATCATACAAGCAGCCTTCCTAAAACACTTGAGGTGCACCTGTACCTATCATCAGTCATCTTCCCAGAGTTAAGGAATTGGTGAAAAATGGTTTGATGCTCTAACCATGCCTGACGTGGTCCAGCAGTAACCTGCTGCTGCCCTGCCCGCTTCAGGCTTTACTCTTTCCTCCCCTTCTGCCCACTCCACTCACTCTGCAGAGGGAATTGAGAACCCAAACAGGTGACCCTGTCTCTGCTGCAGAGGTGTCACCATTGAGTGCCAGAAACATGGCTGATACTTGGGAGTCTGGGGAGGGTCTGTTTGTGCTGATGTTTGATCTGTGAGCTCTGTATGGTTCAGCAGCTGAGTTTTCCTACCTCTGTTTCAGATGGAGATCAGTGTGAGCACAATCCTTGTTTCAACGGGATCTGCAAGGACAGTATTGGAAAATTTTGCTGCATCTGTAACAAAGGCTGGGAGGGGGTTTTGTGCAATTATGGTAACACTGCATTTAATCCACTATAAAATAACATGCTTTGTGACAGGGATCTCTGTGTGATAGGGATGGACACTTCAGTCATTGCATGGCATATTCTTTCTTTACTACTTTCTTTACTAATGTGATTTCTCTCTTGCTTCTTGATGTGGTAAGAGGTTTATCTGTGCTTATCTAAAGCAAAATTAACTTTGTATTACCATAGGATAATTTTAGAGGTATGAGTTATCTAAATTTTGGACAATACTGGAAATAACTCTGTGAAGCAGGGGTTTACTTTAGAATTGGGGATTATGGTAGGGTTTTTAAATATGGAGGAAAACCCAATCCACTGCGAATATTTTATCACTGTGACAGTTCCTTCCTTGGACAAAAGTGGATAGCATATTTAGGGATGAGCATTGTATGTCATGTATCATCAACAGCTTTCACTGTGGGACTTGGCACACAGTAATAGGGCATTTTCTGTTCTCCAGTGTACTGTAATTTGTTTCCTCCATCTCCCCACTCCCTGATTCTGGACCTAGGTCTGTTTGCTGTCTAGGGGCCTGAGTGTCATTGAAGCCCACAACTGTCATTCCAAATCCATTGATAGCTGTTACCCACTTGAAGCATGATGTCACTTTGCCACCTTACCTTTCTGTGACCCTGACTTCCCAACTCCACGTCTCTTGTTTTTCCCACAGAGGTCAAATACAGCAACTGTTCCATGGAGAATGGGGGCTGTGAACATTTCTGCAGGGAGGACCCTGCTGAGCAGCATCGCTTGTGCAGCTGTGCATCAGGGTATCGGCTCAAGGATGACCACACCACGTGTGAGCCTGTAGGTAAGAGCAGGATGTTTGCAGTCCAGCTTTGACATAGGATTATTCAGGATGATGCAAAAGAGTTTTAGGGGAGATTTGTCTGCAGTGCACTTTGTACTCATTTTCAAAACATCTATTCCATGAAGAGTAACTCCTGCCTGCATTTCCCAGCTCCCACTTTATGGCCCTTTATCCATGTTTCTCTCAGGGAAACATAAAGGGGAGTGAGGAGACTGCCTCCTCTGCCAAGCACTGAGGGACTTCCATGAAGCCTCTCAACAATATTGCCTAGGTTAGACAGAGGAAATCCTCTAAAAAGAGGATTGGGTGACCTGGGCTAGTGAATTCTCTGCATTTTCTGCAGTGGAGTTCCCCTGTGGAAGAGTCAAGTTGGACTACATTGAAGCCAAAGCAGACTTCAATATTCGGCTCATTGGTGGAACAGTTGGGAGAAGGGGAGGCAGCCCTTGGCAGGTAAGGAGAAGGTGATTCTTTGCCACAAATAGTTCAGGCTCTTCCTGAACTGCTCTGCCTCCCTCTCTGCTCCAGAAAGGCTCTTGCGTTGTTACTGATGGTGTCATATGAAGTTAAGATTCCCTTTGCTTTTTCAAAAGCATCCCAAAGGTTGGAGTAGCAGGAAAAAATAATTTAATATCTGTGAGAATTCTTGACCTTGTTGCTGTTGCCAAGCTTTTGACCTGAATATGCCAACACCACCAAGAGAGAAGATGGTGATGGCAATCATCTGCTCTGTTGCTCCATCCTGGGGAACTCATGGTGTGTGATGTGTGCTTCAGCTCCTGCAACAGCCTTCCAGTGGGAGGTGATCTTCCTGCCCTTTCTTATAAGCCTTGTCTGTCATAAATTCAAGTTAGCAGACTTAATCAGCAAAATATGCCATGGCAGGTTGGCTTATTGCAAAAAAAAGGGAGACCTCACAGAGCTTACCATGGAACTAATGAATGCAAATAATGAGGGCCTGGTTCCCTTTGATATTAATGGGCCTATTACACCACAGCATGAGAGCTGCAGCCTGAGATGATGCACGGTCTCTGGTGTGGGACACACCCCTCATTTGTGCTCTGTATTTCAAAGCTTTGAGTACAAAGTGCTTCTTTGCAGTGACCAGCATCACCCCATGCTGATTTGGATGAAGCCAGCCCTCATTGAGGAAGGACATACAAAACTTTTTTGTAGGTATTTCACAGAGACACTATTTATAGAGCTTTTGTCCCTCTGTAGAGCTTTGGCTTCAGTGAATGTGACATGCTTTGGTGCTTGATAAGTCTGGGTATTTGGCAGCACCTAAGAAGAATGAGTACAGTATTCTGTGAGCTGTGCTCCATGCAGTGTCACACCTCCCTTGTCTTGTTTCAGATTATGCTGCAAAATACCAAAGGGATGTTTCTCTGTGGGGGTGTTCTCATCCATCCAGCTTGGGTCCTAACAGCAGCACACTGCCTTGAGGATAACGAGGGGTTCAGAGTTAAACTTGGTATGGAAAATCACCTGTCCCTGTGCTTTTTAAATATAAATGTTTATTTCCTAACATTTATCATCTCAGGAAAAAGACTGGCAGGTTCTGAAGACAAAAGTCCTTGGCTGTAGGAGTGGTCTGTCTAGGCAGTATTTAATATGCACCTTAGCTTAAAACAAAGTTTAGTAAAAATCTGATTTCATGTGAGCTATTTGAGCCTCGCTCTGGAAGTAAGCTGATGTCTACTGAGCACTGCTGCTGGTGTGTAAAGTAGAAAGTCTTGGTCTCTTCTGCCTCTGTTTTTCTGGTGATGAAAATATTTGAGACCATCCCAATACTGAAAAAAAAGTCTTGATCCCAGAAGGAGAACGTCACAGGGTCTCTTCCTGCCTTTTCATGTATTTAAACACTGTTATTTAAGAATGTTTCACTGGAGAGGTGCTGCAGAATGGCAACACTGCCTTTACTTGCTCTGCTGCTCTGGAGCATGAGAAAATGTCACTGTGTCAAGTAAGTGCTTCTCCTGAATTGACAGGCAAAGATAATTAGCGTTTCATTTGCACTTAGATTTTTTTTTAACAATGTTTTCTATCTAGCATTGGTGCTGAGGCATAACAGCTCAACTGCTTGCTTTCCATTAGTGAAAGGATAGATTATTCTCAGTATTTGTAGAGAGTCCAGCCAATATATTGTTTGTGTATATAGCCTTAAAAATAGATGTCTGTGTGCATGTTCCATACACACTGTGGCTGTGCAGATGCTTGAGAGCAGAGACAACAAGTTTATGTACATCCAACATAAAGAATGAATTGAAAAGTGTGTGATCTAGCCTTGGGTCCTCTTAGTGCCAGAATATTCACCTTTTCACAGAGAGACTTCTGTCACCACAAAAGCAGTTCTCATCAGAAAAACCTGGAGACGTCTGTGAGTGACAAGGAGGAGAGTTTTGGATGAAGACATTGCCATATCCATGTGGACAGCCAGGGAAATGTACTGAGCCTGCACAGGTGCTACTCAACCTGTGTCTGTCAGGCTGGGATACCCCACACCCTTCTGGACTTGTCTCACTGCAGCTTGCCATCCACAGGAGCAAAACTGGAGGGGAAACTTGCATCTGAGTTACACTCAGCTTGGGAGAAGTCTTGTCGCAGCACTCATGTGCTTTAGTGTCTGAAATAGAAAGTTAGTTCTAAGAGTAGTTTTGGAAGATGGATTTGAGAATAACACAATATTTCTGTTTCTGGCTCTTGTTCCTGCATCACAAGCCCAAGAGCATCCAGAAGTGTGTTCAGAACTCCAAGACAGAGCAGATAGGTGGATGTAATGACTTAATTTAAAATCGTGTTTCTGCCTTCACAGTTAATATTTTTATGTCAGCAGCAAGGATTATGATGGTCCTTATTGTGTAGAAGGAACTCAATGTGTTTCCACAGCCTCTGGGTTCAGTACCTCCAGGTGTACATCCAGGATTTTTGAAGTTGCAAACTCTGGGGGTGGATAACCCACCAGAAATTAAAGGGCGTCCCCCTGGCAGTGAGGGAGTCTGTCACTGCAGTGCCAAAGGTGTCACCCATGGGTTGGTGGGTGCCTCAGGATGGAGACAGCTGGTGGCTGTGCTGGTGTACAGAGCATGTACCCACAGCAAATGTGTTCCTGCACAGCCACTCTGCCTCCCTCAGAGGAGATGGTCTGACAGTGCTTGAGTCCAGAGTTATTTCTGAGGCCTAAAGCAGAGTTTGTATCAGTGAAGGCAGGAATAAAGCCAGCCCCCAGCCACAGTGGCTTCAGGCTGCCTTAGGGGTGCTGCAAACACTGCAAAGAGATTGTGATAGGAGAGAAAAACTGGCTTGTGCTTGTTGGCTCAATACTAGCAAACCCATGAGGTGCCACTCAGTACAAGACATCAGAGCAGTTTCAGCTGTCTGCTCCAGCCACTGTGAACTGTCCATTGTCTGTCTGCAGAGGAGCAAGAAGAGAGACTCAGAAATAAATGGTCTGGAAGACCAAGATCCAAAGCTGGGTTTAAGAGATCTTTTGAGAATATATTTCTGTAACTACTGTGCCTTGTAAGTCCCTATGCTTGGAGATGCTCCTTACAGAAAAAACACTTGCAAGACCTCATTGACAGCCTGGCAGAAAACCTAGCTCTGCCTTTCCTATTGCAGTGTGTCACGAATGCCTTCTTACATTTCTGGCCCTTTTCAACATAGATTCTTGCTTGCTGTTCCATAACTGCTTGGCCCATGAAGTAGCCATGATGATGTAGCAAAAATAGCAACTGGGGAGTCTTAAGAAGTGAAAAATTCCTTAAAATACAGATGTAAGATTTCAGAAAGGAATAGTCTTACCTGACAGTCTTACCTGTCAACTTTATCTTACAAAAACTGACATTCAGCTATTCAGGCCCTGGCTACGTGGTGTAAAGCTCATGTCCTGTTGTACATGTCCTGTTTTGTGGTGTGCTTGCTCTCCCAGCTTTGAATGCTGGCTCCAAGAAGGTTGTTTTCCTCCTCACTCACATTGCACAAGTGTACTGAAATATGAACACCACAGAGCAATTTGGTTTCTCAGCTGATGACCAGAGCTCTAGATCTCTATAGATATTCATGATTTCTGAAAATATGAAAAGTTTAGAGATTTGTCCATCTGTTAAGAACACTGTTAACTTATGACATAAACAGTTGTATTGCAACAAAGAGGAGTAAAAACATGGAGTGCAGTCCTAACACCCAGTGTAATCCAAATGCTTTTGGATCTTGCAGATGTCTTTCAAAGTAAAGGAAGCTTTGACAGCATCTGTCATCTTGCTTGCTCTTCCAGGTAAATTCCATTTCCGTCCTGAGGCAGATGAGCAAACCATTTGGATTGATAAATGGGTGATCCACGAAAATTACACCAAGAAGACCTCAGATAATGACATAGCCATGCTGCACTTGGCTGAGCATGTGATGTATTACAAATACGCGCTCCCAATCTGCCTTCCCACCCGCAACCTGGCAGAGCAGGAGCTGATGAGGAGCGGGAAGCAGGTGGTGGTGACGGGCTGGGGCAGCATGAGCGAGCGTAACCACACCTTCGCTGCCTTCCTCAGGTACATCGAAATCCCCATCGTGCCCCGCAACGAGTGCGCCCGGGCCATGAGCTCCCATATCTCTGACAACATGCTGTGTGCTGGGAGCCTGGGAGACAGGAAAGATTCCTGCCGTGGGGACAGCGGGGGCCCTATGTTCACTAGATATAAGGATACTTGGTTCTTGATAGGGCTGGTGAGCTGGGGTGAAGGCTGTGGAAGAAGGGAGAAATTTGGAGTCTACACCAAAATTAGTCAGTACCTTGAGTGGATCCAGCACCACATAGATACGTCAGCTCCTTTGAAAGGTTGATTCTGATCCAGAGTCTGGAATGTTGTGACTCTGTGCTAGTGACAGTATGCACTATAATGTACTGTCAGATCTTCAGTATTAAATATTGAGTATGTGTTAACCTTGTGTGCTGCTTTCCTTGGTATCTACTTTTTTTCCTGCTTTTTTTTTTTCTTGTTTACATTGGTTTGTTGCAGGTTATGTTGTTTATTTGTGCCATGGTTCTACTTCAGCCTTACAGGCAAGAAAATATCCTCTGTTGGCTGAGATGCTGTACATACAGCATTGTAGAAAATAAGGTTGTCCATGGTCAGACAACTCCATCTTTGAAATAAAAATGTCAGTTGGGTAATATCTCTGAAATGGTTGGGGTGGAGACAGGAGAGGACACAAAAGTGTTTTGCAAATAACCCTAGAGATGCAGTTCTGTCATTTCAGCTGTACTGCAAGGTATTACCCTCAGTAACTCTTCTGGTTTGCTCAGTATTTGTATAATTTTTCTTTCAACCCAGTGAAATTTTTATTGCATGATTACTACCTCCAGTTCTTCACACCTTACTCCAGTGTTCACAGATTGTTGATTCAGCAGGTGGCTGGAACTTACCTGTATTTTCCATTCTTTGCACAATTGACGCCAGATTTTACCCTCCCAAACTTCCTTAAAAGAGAATGAGAACTCTCTTTAATGTTATTCCCAAAAACCCCAAACAAACACTGAAACAAACAAAAAACCCAAAAGAAAACCCACTTTAATTCCAAGCTTTTGCAGGCCCTATTTATTATGAAATCTGTATTTCTCTTCTAATTAACAAGCAGGCAAACACTTCTGTTCATTACTGTGCTGGTGGATGCAGTGGGCTGCAGGCTGTGTTAGCATTGCTGATGCTTTTAGTGATAAATACATATTTGTTTGTATCTCTGTGTGTATATCAGTAAACAAAATAAAGACATACAGCACCAATCAATGCATAGGAAGCAGCAATAGTGCAAGTGAAGTTAAATATTGCAATTTATACTTGTTTCTAATCTTAGTACTTGAGACTTGTTAAACATAATTAATCTTGTAGAAAGAAAAACTATCTCTGCTGTAGTGATGTGTTTCCAACATCTCAGTGGGCTTTTTGGATGCATGTTTGGATCAGTGAAGAACTTCAGTCTGCTCTTGTGATGAGATTGTTAAACAAAAAAACCCCAGGTATAACAAAATTTTATTAGAGTTTGTAAGAAATTTAATATTATATCAGCAAGGAGGCTTAATGCCTCTTAAATTCGTTCTCTCAGAAGCTGCCTCTGTGCTTATTACCCAAGTGAGGATTTTGAGTCGTGCACTGAAGAAGCCAAGGGCAGTGTAGCCAAGGGCTTCTGTGTCACTTGCTGGCTCTGTCTCTCTCCTCTCCTCCTCATTTGCCTTGGGACAGGGTTTGGGGATGGACAAATGTTAAAGAATAATGCTTTGAACAGCAGCCTTCCCACCAGGTGTGCACTGGGAAGAGGGAACCTGTAACACTGACTTGCACAGATGTGTTCAAAGCCAGTAAAACACAGGCCTGGAACAGCAGAAATTGTAATGTTGGAGTGGCAGTGGCTGTGACAGGGCAGTATTTGCCTGCCTGCAGGTGACTGCTGTGAATCCTCCTGCACGCTCCCAGCTCTGCATATTTCAGCAGAGGTTTACAGAGCAGCTTGTGTATTTTCCAAATGGGTTTGTCTTACCTGCTGGGAGGTGATGGAGTGTCAGAAATCTGCTCTCAAAATTTCCATATTTTCCTGAATAAATTTGTTGCAAAAGTTTGCTTTTATTACTGAGGGATATATTTAAAGACCTTTTGATTCTCTTTTTAATGCACCTGTGTATGTGTGTGGAAACACACGTGCAATTTTCTTCCTTTGGTTTTCTAATGTGTTTCATAGAATCCAGGTTGTCTCTCCTCTGTCAATATTTGTGATGAGTTAATGATCAACCTCTTGACCTCATGGCTGTTCCTGGTGTACATCCAAATCTCTTTTCTGTCTTCCTCTAAAAAACAGAGAAAAAAGTGAGTATAATTGCATGGTTCTCTGTAGGTGAACTTGCTCTGGGTCCTGTGTTTTTGCAAACATACATACTGCAGGAAGCAGAGGGGTATGTGCTGCCAAATCCTGGTAAATCGTTCAGGGTGGGAAGGTAATGCCAGGAAATCCAGACTTCTGTCTTGTACCTGTGACTCCCAGGTACTTGGTGGTTGTGCCTGGCTGGGATTGGTGTGGATGATCTTACTTGGCAGAACCATCAGGAATTGCACAGTGGCTGCTGGGACTGCTGAGCTCACGGCTGGTTGTGCCTCTGCCCTTGGCAGAGCCAGCACAGCAGGGACTGGGCTGTGGCTGGGAGTGGCACCTGCTCCGCTGGAGTCTGGCCCCTGCACTCCTGTGCTCCCCACGGCTTTTCCAAAGGGACTCTGCCTCAGACCCTGCACCAGAGCCTGGGCTGGCTCAGCCTCTGCCTGTGGGGATTCCTGCTGGGATGGCTTGAAGAAACAAAGGACATGAGGTCAGAATGAACTGGGGAGATTCTGTTTTCTTTGTCCCTGCTCTTGTCCTCTTGCTTCTACTTCATTTTTGTTGCCAGCTGGTTTCATTACAACAGACTAATTTGATTCTTCTTTTCCCTCTGAAGGAAGTCAGAGTGTTCTGAATCTCACTGACATGGAGAGCAGTTCCTTACTTGGGATATTTCTCCTGCTGATGTGCTATATCCACAGCAGCTGCCTGTTTTCATATTCAGGTAGTACTTCTGAGTTACCTTTTTAATTTGTGTTACTCTGGCAATTTCAGCATTTAAACTGAAACTGCATTCCTGTTCTGCACACAAAGTCCTGTGGTGTGAAGAAACACTTTCTGAAATGCACAAGAAAAAAATACTATTCATATATATGTATATATATATTAAAGAGAAATCAGCCTTTCTTAGCTTTCTACTTAGCCCGCTCTCCTGTTGAAAAATATTCTCCTTGTGATACTGAATCCAAAATCATAATGATTTTTGCATGGCAATGATTTCCAATTTAGGAAACTAAAATGAGGCGCTCTCAACCTGTGTTCTTGGACCTTGTGTTGACTGTACTAGATGAGGTTTGGAAATGGCTTCAGAGAGCTGTAGGACAGGCACAGGAGTGTACAGGATCTTGGGGGTCATTGTGGCTGTCCTTGCAGAGGAAGAAGAGCAGAGCTGGCAGTGTATCTACACACCAGGAGGCTCACCACGGGCACCTCCTCTGTGGGGGACACCTACTTGAGTAAACCCTCTGAGATGACCCCAGAACACAAGGGGCAGTGGAGACAAGTTTCACTCATGTACATGAAATACATTTTCTCTGTTGCCAGACAGCAGGATTTGTCCAAAGCCTTTCTTCATTAAGAATTTTTGTGGGCTGTTATTAATTGCCTAGAAATGAAGCAATTTAATATAATTCTAGAATTTCAGGCATTGCTGTGGATACTGTTCCTGCAATTACAAAGAAATGTGTGTTTTCACAGTCCATCTCCAAAACTGGGTTCTTTGTCCAAGGGCACTGTCCCATGACTTGGAAAATGGAGCACTGTTACGTGCACTGCTATGTGGATTTTTGTGGGCTTTGTGGGGATTACAGCCTGAGCTTTCACTTTAGAACACTGGTAGCAGCAACCTTTCCCAGCATCTGCTGGGTGGGCTTTGGATATTGGGCCACACTTCTGGAAATGTAACAAAAGGGCAAAAACCTTCAGAAGCAGCAGGAGGTGTGTGGGCAGGACCTTACTGCATATTGCCTCTTTCAGCCATTCCTCCCTTAATTTACTGATAGCAGTAGCTTCAGGCATCACAGGAGGAGGGCAGGTTGTACAGTGAAGCGAAGCTCAGATGAATTAAATGTAAAACTGCCATTTCAATATTTCTCTTAATGGAGGATTGGTGTCTGTCCTGTTGTGGCCAAGGTAGCACCTGGAAAACTCTGGGTCTCCACTACCAAATATCAAACTAATAATTGCTGGGAATCAAGATGGTTAAGCAGAAAAATATAACCATCTTCCACAGAACAAGCTGCAATACTCAAGAGTCTTGTGGAATAAAAATTAATTCTGCAATTACCTACAGGTCTCAGTAGGGGCTCTTTTTTATTCACTGAAAGAAAGCTTAAACTACTGGTATCTTTTGCTGGAACGCAGGCTAATTTTATTGTCCTTTGGGCTGTTCGTTTAAATTTCCACTTCCCCTATTTATACCACTGTACTGAATACGTGACTGACTGTGACTGTAACAATGCTGCTGCTTTGTCTTCCTGTACCAACTGTTCCATTTTGCTCTTCTAGTGTTTATGAGAACAGACAAAGCCCATGAGGTGCTATGAGTCCATAAACGTGCAAACCACTTCCTAGAAGAGATTTGTCCAGGGAACTGGAGAGAGAATGCAATGATAGAATGCAATTAAAGAGGCTAAGGAGATCTTCCGTTCACAGCAGAAAGTGAGAAACCTGATTTTAGGAGTAGAGGGAAGTTAGCAGTGAGATGTAAATAATCTTGGTTGTTATAGTCCTGTGTAAATGATCCTGTCCTGAGGTGTAAATAAAATTGGTTGTTAAGGCAGGCAGGAAGGGAGTGCTGGGCTTGCTGTCCTGAAGAGGGCCTGGGCAGGCTGCTCCTGGCTGATGCTGCTGACTCAGAGAGAAGGCCCAGCCATGGGCCCGTGTCTGGGCAATAAGCTCTGCACACCCCGGCTGGTGGCCAACGGGCTGTTGAACACCATGATGCCAGAGTTGTTCCTGGGCTCTTACTGGAAGGCTGAGTACCAACGTTGGACAGGAAAAGCACTGTGTTGAGTTCAACATGACACCACATATCCTAAGCTCAGGTCTTTCATTCTTCTGTCATTGCCTCCAGCACCATTTCCCTGTGGCCTGATCACAGCCAGGTGGGCTCTGGAGGAACAGCAGCTGGGGCTGAAATGGCTCTGCGGGGGCCAATGGGAACACTGGGATGTGCCCAAGTGGAACGGGAGCACAGCGGCCATAGTTAGACAGACAGTTACAGGGCTGGAACATGGCACTGGGATGTTGTGCCCAAGTGGAACGGGAGCACAGCGGCCATAGTTAGACAGTTACAGGGCTGGAACATGGTGATGTTGGGGAAAAGGAGACTTTAAAGGATAGTTTTGGACAGAGTGTGTGCACAAAGGGTGACACTGGACAAATGGGGATGGCAGATGTTTTCAGCTGGAACAAAACTCTGGTGGGCTCTGTGACCCAGAAGCCACTGTGGGACAGTGCTGCAGGACAAGAGCTGGCTGTCCCTGAGCACCGTGAGGCCGTGGAGGAGACTGCCAGGCCTGGCAGGGCCAGGGTGAGCCAAGCCAGGGCCCTGCAGGGCAGAACCAGACCACAGCACCTGCAGCCAGGCGGGAAGGAGCAGTGGGAAATGCAGAAGGGCAAAACCAGCGATGGGAGGGCTCTGGCCAGAATGGAACAGGGGCTGCTCAGCCTGGAACTGAGGCGCTGCATCAGGGCAGTGACTGGGGTGATGGTTTGGACATGTCTCAGTCTACCCCTCAAACAACCCAGACAAACATCAGCTCTGCTTTGGAGCAGTATGGCTCCAGGGTAGCGGGAGGAACACTGTGTCGTCATGGACATTGCCCCTGGCAGGTAATACTTTACTTCCAGGCTCACCATAAACACCACACCTAAATGCTTTCTTACTTTATCATCACTGGGTCTGTCAGGAGGAGCAGAGTTCATCAAGCCGTTATAAAGTTGTTTTTTCAGGCCAAGAGCAATAGAACCACATGTATTTCTCAGTCATCTGCCAGGCTTTTTGATAATAGGGACCTTAAATACCTTTATCACTCTTCCCCTATCTTGCTTTTGGATTGGAATGTTAATACCCTCTCTGTTAAGCCACATCATCTGTGCTTTCAGGCTGTCTGCATGTCTTTGGGGAAAAGCCAGGCTTTGCCTCCTTTTGGAAGGCTGGTAATTTTTACAATTCCAGGGCCAGGTGAGGATCCTCAGAATGCTGAGCATGGTAAGGGAGGCAAAGCTGAGGGCTCGACACAGTTCAATTATTTTTCACAGTGTTTCATCTGCCACTATGGCAGTAAAGAATGTCCTGGCTTTCAAATTAATTAAAACTAATAAAGAAACCCCAAACCCCTGAAGGGCTCAGCATGCTAAAAACATACCTGAGGTGGTTACTGCATTATACACATACCTGGAGGAAGCAGGAGCAGAGCTCTTTAGTGCCCCAGCCAGCACAGGTGTCCTGCTTCAGCACAGGTCCTCTTGCTTCAAACTGGTGTCCCAGCACACAGCTCTGTATTACTGTCATTCCCTCCACTCTCACTGGGGCAAATTCAACATGTGACCCCTACACAAACTTGCAATCATCTTCTCTCCATGACTGGTGCCAGCAGTAACTCAGCCAACACCAGGATCCCCAGAATTAGACTACTCATTACAGAGGCTCTGCTCCTCCAGCACAAAGGTGATTTTTCTTAATGAAAAAATACTAACTGCCAATTACCTGTGCAAGAAGAGTCCTCTTATTGGAGGCAAGCTCAGCAGAGACAGCCATTTTCAGCAGTAGAGGCAAAGAAGCCATAGAGTACCAGATGCTATTCTGTTGTCAGTCTGTAGCAGCAGGAACAAAGAAACAGCATTATCCCCCCTAACATAAGAATGTTCTCCTTCTCACTGGTAAAACAGACTTTTGCAAAGTCACTGGTAAGCTACAGTGACAATATAGCTGGAAGCTGCTGGAATTTTCAGTGGTCCTCTGCTTGCTTTCTCCCGAACTTTAGTCTTCATGGAAAGAAAATCCTTTGCATGGAACATGATCAGTACTTCTAAATAAAAAGCAATGGATGTAGATCTCCAAAGACATAACAACTGATTAATAAAGCAATGAATAAAAACAAAATGGACAAAGTCGAACAAAAAATTAATCCCTCAGTTTCTTCCCACATCCCAGGTGGTCTGTGTATACCTTCATCTGAGCAATGAATAGGCAGTCCCCTCCCAAAAAAAACCCAGAAGATGTTTTATTTTTTAAAGTGTTGCAATACAACAAATACATGATCTGTACAAAGGACACAACAGGGCCAGTTTAAATACAATCAGGAGAAAGGAGTCCCCATATTCACAGTCCTCAGACAACATCTTCTACCAGAACCTGAACCAGCAATTTAAGGATTCACTTAAAAAACAAACTAAAAAACCAAACCCACCCCAAACAAGTTAAAAAATTTAAAGGTCTCCAAAGAGTCTGTGGGTGTATTGTCTTACAGCAGAGCTCATGGGGCATTCTGTGAAGGGTCACAATGGCATCTTATTGCCCTCAATGCTGATTTTCACTGCATGGGCCGATCTGCTTTTTTTCCTGATATCTGTGAATTTCCGCATCTGTTTGTCCAGTCGACTCACCCCTTTCTTAGAGGTCCCCTGGAACTTAAAAAATAAAACTAATAATTACCACTGAAAAAAAGCAGACGCCCCAGAGGTCCAAGGCAAGCGGCACATGCGAGGCTGCGCCTGGGCAAGGAGCTGGGGGAGCCACTGGGCCCAGCCGATCTGCCTGTTCTCTTCCCAGAAGGGGACAACGCTTCCCCCAGTATCTGCAGGGCTCAGGTGGAGGCAGTGGCACTCGCAGCCATCACAGCGCAGGGTCAATCACTGTGTAGCTGGATATCATTTGGAAATTTTGTATCTATGGGCTGGAGCTATGTCAGAACCACAGTGCACCAGTGTCACCACTCTGGACTTCCAGCAGGAAAGCTAGACACAGACACACTGTGACTAAGGCTGACACATTAAATTCAGGCTGCCCTTTATTTTAAAGGTCAGGGATTAGTATTGAGAAAGCAAGGGATTACTGAACAAAGGCAGTGTAGGGGGTAGCAAAAAGAAATGCCTAAGCTGACCATACAAACACTGCATTTCATCTCTGTATTTGAACTGCAAATGAAAACCAGGTGGCATGACAGTTATTCTGCACAGATTAATTCAGTGATGGTGTGCTGAAACGCCACTGAAGACAAACAGCAAGGACTTTCCAAGCCATAGCCAGTGCTTCCCAGAAGGCAATTTTCCTTAACTAGACAACAGAAACAGTAAGTGATGGAAACATGACACTTGTAAGTTTGGGAGAAACAGTGATATCCAAAACATGCTACTTAGTATCTGAAAAACACATCCATTAGAAACTTGTTCCCAAGGCTAAGGAAGGTGCTCTTGACATGCTGATTTTAAATAAGGTTTATTCATAAATCTGTTCACTATTCATTGAAGTTATACCTAAAATTTCACAGTGATGTTTAAGAAAATATCTTTTTAAAAACAAATAAATATGAAGCTTAATATGAACCCAACAGTTATCTATGGCTTGTGCTCACCTCTTCCTGTCACTGTTAGCTTGTGGCAGCCCTGCTCACAGCATTGATATGCAGACCAGGAATTGTCAAAACAATTCCCACTGATGCATGTTCTCCCAACCCACACTCACAGCAGAGGAATCTTCTCCCCCTGGTCTCATTCTGTAGCTCCCATCAACCACCCCTATTGTCTCACATCATTCTACTTCCTTGAACGAGGAGGTGTGAAAAACACCTCACTGTGCCCCACTCAGGTGGCAGCCACAGACGCCGGCACACAGTGACACGAGCTCCTGTACCAAGGGCTAAGAATTCCCATGTGTCGCTTCAGGTGAATCTGGAAAACCTAATTGTGTCAGAACAACATTCAAAACCACAGGTGGTGCAAAGCTGGTTTTGAGCACAGGTGTTTTCACTGAACTCCTGTCATTTGGGTACCCTGAAGCTGTGCAGGCAGGAGCCATGGCAGAGGTTATGTGCTAGAGCCTGTTTTCTCCTGTACAAGTTCCCTTGTAGGTCACAGTACAGACACGAGAGAATTCAAGGAGAGTTTTCCAGGTTAAAGTTAGGGTGTACACACTCCTGTCCTGCATGTGCAAACTGCCAACAGCTGGAGCACATGCACTGTTCACACCTCCCTCGAGGGATACCTCTCCAACTTGGGAAGGCAGTGGTATGGCTACAGGGGCATCCTGTTGCCTTCAATGCTGAACTTGATGGCCCGATGCACTTTGCTGAGTCGTTTCTGTTCAGCAAACCGTCTCTTGTGCTTTTCCAAGCGACTAATACCTCTCTTAATAGTCCCGGGCTAGAAACAACATCTCAATTAATGGACAGAAGGAGAAAGAACAGCAGACAGCACAGCAATTGTTACTTCTCCCACTTATACATATTCTACCACATACACCCCTTTTAAATGAAACTGTATGAGTAGATGGATGAAGACAAAGCAACACAAAGGCCTCCACTGAAGCTGTTCATGTTTACCAAAACCTCAACGGTGTCCCAAGCTGGAATATTATTAGAACATGACACAAAAGCTGGGAGAGGTATAAAAACATCAGTGCAGTGACACAGGTACTGAACTGCAGCTTTAGCTCAAAATGCTTTACAGCAAGAGGCCTGTAATCAGATTCTCATCTGAGAGAGAAATTCTAGAAAAGTTAACTCAAAAATCTCTTTATGGTCAGAGATGTTTTCCTGTGAAAACATGTGAAGAGCTTAGAGCAGCCTACTTATCAGAGAATGTACTGTCCACACTCACTACAAGAGGCCCTTAAAGCAACTACCCTCCTGTACAGTAACCATGGCGATGTGGTGACAGAACCCCAGGCTTAGGAACAGTCACCAGGACACTGCCAGTGCTTACCCTGGAGGACTCCATCTCCACGTTCCACTTGGGCCTGACGACGTAGTCTTTGTTGGAGGGCATTGGGACCCTCGCACGGGCACAGAACCCAGGGTCCCCGGGCCTGAGAGCCCTATGGAAAAAAAGGATGTGACTGTTATGGACAAATCTTACCCAGAAAGAAGTAAAGGCATCCAGTGTGCTCTCCTCTGAAACACAATGTATACCACTGCCTCTAAAATCTCTACAGAAATTCCATAGTGATAGCACCACCACAATACTTAAGTAAAGTATGGTGCTAAGAAAAAAAAAATTATATATCCAACCTACTTTTCTTCTCCTGTTAATACTTTCTCCAGATCCCTACGGGGAGTCTGACCACCAGAGCTGCAAGAAAAATAAATATTTGTAGGCATTTATACACAGAGAAAGAAAATTTAGAAGACAAAGTATGTTAAAAGAGAGACCATAACTAACTACCCTTTTACCCTTTTATTTCCTTTAATATTTACACACCACTTGGTTTCTCTTGATGGAGTCTTGGAAGGATTTAATGTTTCTGCCTGCTCCTACCTGCTCATTTTCCTTCGATGAGGCATCTGTTCCAAATCTCTCTGCTCCCTCTCTTCTCTGGTCATGCCTTTGTAGTTTGAGGTAAGACCGAAGATGGGTCGAGACCATTCATCTATTAAAAAAATAATAAGTTAACAAAAGACCAGACCTTTGTTTCTCTCAAACCACTCTGGTGATCAAGTACAGCTTTGAAAGTCTGTAGCAAATATTCATGCTTCCTTTCAACCAAACGATTTTTGAGCCCTTAGTATTTAATGGAAAACCAGCCTTGTGAACACAAAGCAAGAGCTTTCATCCCCAAAGTCTCTTTGTTGCCCTCTCTCTCTAGAACATCTCTAGATGTTCTAGACTCTTCTAGAACATCTCCAAGCTCCCAGAATACTCAGTGTCAGGACTTCCTGCACAGCCCAGGAATGCTATTTTAGAAATATGCAGAAAAGGTCCTAAAGAACATAAGTTTATCATCAGTCTGCAGCCATTCTGCATGGAATGCACTCCACATTGAGTACAGTTGAGTAGGAAACACTCAGCCAGCTAAGTTCTCTCAGAAGTCCACGGAATAAACAGTCCTCTGGCAGCACCTTCCTGCCTTTGCAGCATATTCAAAAGATCTGGACAATGAGCCAAGAGAGAACCACAGCAAAACAAATGCCATCCTCTGGTTTAACACAATGAAACAGGTGCATGCAGAAGCTAACAGCATTTGTTAAGAGCTCTACAAGTTATAGAACACATCAGTGAGGTTCCTACATTGCAGAATCTATTCTACCGACAACAGAAGTGCATCAGAAACTGATGCAGAAGTTCCATTCATCACCAGTGGAATATGAGACAAGGCACAGGCAGGTTTACATACTGATCAGCTTGCCAGCCATGTCCTTGTTTGGTCTCGACTCCTTGGGGTGTTTGTACAGGTACATCACAGCCCGTCCAATGCCGCTGTGCTTCAGGGTCTCTTGGCTCACACTGGGCAGCTGCAGAGAAAAGGAAAAGTCAGAAAACAGCAATAAATTATGTCTAAACATTAATGGTGTCACTGAACTTTGCAGAAAGACCTTTCACTTAAATCAGCTTGCAAAATTTAATGTTTTCATTGTCCCACTAGGAATTGTTTAAAGTATCGAACACCTAAATCTAGAAATCTTCCGTAACATTCCTGGTTTATACACAAAATTAGATAGCTTCCTAGAACTTTTTCCTCCAAATGCTCTCTAGTTTTTATTACCTCAAAACTAGGCTACTGCTTTCAAATCATTCCTTCTATAAATAAAGACTTACATGGCAAAGACACTCAAGCAATCAGCTTAGCCACAGACACTGAAAGCCTACACTGTGTGAGGGACCTTGCCGTGCACTGCACACTTTAACAAAACAGAAAAGAGAAGGGACCACAAGTGAAGAAAATTCAGGCATGCACACACAGCAAGTAACTCTTCACTTAAATTTGGATATAAACCTGAAACAGGCAGACAGGGCCAAATAATCTTAATTCTTTTACACAAGCACACCTTTTGTGCAGGTTGCTTCCTTGTGTGTTTCACTGCACAGCCCACTGGTAGAGCTGCAGTTCATTTATCACCTCACATCTCCCTAAAGCACATGACTGTAAAACTGTGGAGAAGCTCCAAATCAAATGTGGTGAAAAGTCAGGTCCAAACCTCTTGCAGGATCTTCAGAAGCTCCTCTCTTATCTTTAGTGCTGGCAGACTTCGGTCTGGAAGAGGAGAAAGCCACTCTTTGATGGCAGACATAACACCACTATCGATGAAAGTTTCTTTGAGATCCTGCCTAAAAGGTTTAAAGAGAAAAGTCACGTAATACAGCAACATCTTAAGATGTGATGTCCCTTCAGGAAAATACTGTATCTGAATTTGTTTCATGTTAAATTAAGAGGGAAAACTATGTATAATTTTATGTTTTTGAGGTCACCTAGCTTCAGCATTTACTTGGAATAATGTGTTTTACTGCATATTCATTATAGCTGTAGTGTAACTCCATGAAATCTTACAAATTCTGAAATCTACAAATTGCCCAAGGTTACAGTTACAGAAAGAATGACAACTCACTTTTTAAGATGCATAACTACAGTTGGTAGCAAAGTTAATTTCTTTAGTGCTGGTTTCTTTTGTGTATTCAGCTGACGATCCTCCTGCAGGCAGTTGAAGAATCAGCAGAAGTTAATCAAAGAAAGAAATCAGCAACTCCCATTCTGTGCAACACTTACAAGAAAAAGACTAGTCCATTAAACTAGAAGTGCAACTTTGGAGGGATTACACTTATTTTGTCCCCTGCTCCACAGCTCACCAAAAATTATGCAACAATTTCTCTGAAAAAAGGGTCATTGCTTAAGCTACTATTTCCCAATAAAGTATCACATTAGGAGAGGGCTCCTAAATTTACATTTTTTTCCCACTTCATGACAGACTGACTACAACAACTGGAGGTCCTCTGTACTGTGCACAGATAACACTTTGTTAGTAAAGCCTCACCTGAAAAACAGAAAGATAGCTAAGCAGAACAATGGGAAGGGAGAACATTTTCACCTCTGTCATTTCAAAATTACTTCCATCCAAGGCCTGACTGTCTTTATCTATTCAAAACTTGTCACCCATACCAAAAACACCCGATGCAATAAACAGATTTCTGTCCAACTCTGGTAATTCCTTTCTGTTTGTCCTAATCCACTGAAGGCTCTTTCTGTGCAATCTTTGCTTTATTGCAAGGGAGAAGATTCTTCTAATGCATCTCTTCCCTCTTCTTGCCCATGTACTTCAAACTTTGACACCTCATTTGAAACATCTGGCTGTCATCTTGTCTGAGAAAGGCTTTCCTCTCAAGCCCAAGAAGTTTCAGTTGCCTTCAACATTGCTTTCTCACTCTCCCCATCTTTCTGAACTCATTATCCTAATCTTGTTCTCAGGATGATGCTTTTGTTGTTGCTATTTGTAAAGCTCCTCCAGTTTCTAGTCATGTACATCCCTCAACTGCTTTTAATGTGTTTCGCTGTGCTGTTTATCAATTTGATTGCTACTCCAACAAAACAGAAGACACCTGACAAAAGGCAAGATTCCAAAAAACCTACCACAGTAACATATTAAACACTTCTCCCAGAAAAAGGCAGGCTGCCATGACAGAAGGTCCCATGAATGTGTCACTCTGATATCATTACCACAGTACTGACATTCAAACAGTTTGGAAAAGAACTCTTCTCAGAAACAAATACCAAAGTATGATACATACCAGTAACACCATAATGAAATTAAAGCATAGTCCCTTTCTCAGTATTTCACATACTACTAAGGTAGTTTATAGAGCACCCTTTTAATAGAAGTTGATCTCAGCTGATGGAAGTTTAGCCATTTACCTAATTTTTAAAATTATTATTGTATCAAAATTTCAACAGAATGTTTTCATTTAGAATAGCAAAGTAACATTTAAATGGTTATATAGACATGAGAAGCTTTCCATAGTGTACAGATTACTCCTGTTGAATACAAGCCAGATTTTTGTATCTTATTAATCACAAAATTTTCCCATAGAAGGGAACTGAATTTCAAGGTGTGTTTGGAGCCTGGAAAACTTACCTCAGCAGCTTCGTTCATCTTCACAATCATGGCACTGACCACATCATCTGCGTCACTGATGAAAGTTCCCCCATCACGGTTCCGCCTGCGCTTGCCGCTCATGCTCTTCTTCCTCTGCAGCATCATGTCAAAATCTGACATGAAGTCCATGCTGAAACACAACCAGTGTTACCTGATGCTCCTTGGTAGGAAATAATTCTGTGTTTCTCTAGTGTACAAACACTGTGTCTCAAGGTTCCTGTGAGATAATTAATTATCCTCAGTATGCAAAATGCAAAACTAGCAAAGGGCTCTAGTGGCTCCCAGACCTTGCTGTAATACCCAACATGTGCACACCTGTGATATCCAGGGTCCATAATGCCCTTTCACCAAGATCTGCCATTAAGAAAGGAATATGTAACACAATGACTTACTGCTTCCCTCTTTTGATGTTATCATCAGAGTCTGATTCATCTGCTGTCTCCTTCATGTCTCCATCACCTTTCTCTTCCTCCAAATCCTCCTGGTTAAAACCCTGATGAGTACAGACAGTGCAAATCAGTGTATGGATCAGGACTGAGCATAGTAGCAGGTACTCAGGTACCTGACACTAAAAAAACTTCAGGTAAATCTTCAGGTGATCTAGAAAGATGAACAGTGTCTTTTTAATTCCCCCTGTGACTACTGTCACACCAACAATTCTTCCCAAAGATGACCTGCAAATGTTATTTAACCCAAGTGGTTAAACTCCAGTGGGTCTGGCAAATACAAAACTGACCTGATGCAGCATATACATTCTCTTCAGATCTAGCAAGTCAACAGGAGACATCCACAGTAACACTTACCGTAAATTCCTCCTCTTCCTCATCACCAGATTCTCCAAATATATCGGCAATCAGGTTCCTGTGAAGGTAACAGCAACATTTATCTATCTGGACTACAACAACGAGATGTGCCTTTTCTGCAAAATCTCTAATGACAGTATGAAGATCTCCCTTTTGTTGTCTCCTTCTACTGACCTTTCATGCCACCAGTGAAGGTGAACAGTTATTCTATGGTTGGGATTTATCAGTTTTCCATTCACCATCACTCCCCCTGTCTAAAACCCCAACAGAATTCATATTCTTTCCCACTTACTCTTGTTCATTTCCAGATTCACTGTCACTGCCAAACAGATCTTTCCCTTTTTTCTTCCCAGCATTCTCTTTTCCTTCTTCTTCCTCCTCCTCACTATCGGATACAACATTTTTTTTCCTTTTGTCCGATTTCTCTGAAGCAGCGTCACTATCCGATTCTTCAGCATCAGAAAGGATTCGTACCTTCTTTGCAGCTGCCAGCAGAAAGGAGCATTACTACATGTCCAGTAACAGAGGGGACAACTGTTACTCTCAAATTATTCTCTGACTAGTCTTCCAACACCAGACCATTGCCATTTCCTTAAAAGCATATTCATTCTTTAGTGTTTTTTTAGTGTTTTATTAAATCAGCAACTGGAGCTCCCATACACCACATCCATCCATAAACAAATTGTAATTTCAAATCTCTCACCCCCAGTATATGAAAAAAACACACAGGAAAAAATGACTAGAGAAACAGCAATGAAGTAAATAAATAAACTACCATGTCAACAGATGCCACTTAGATCCCTACAGTCTTCTGTTAGACCTACCTATTACTCAGAACTGTTAGATACACATTCACACAGCAAAGCAGTCAGAACAACAGCTTCTACAAATGCAGTTCTGCTCCAAAACTAAATCTGATTTATGGTTTCTCACTTAAGATGCTTTATTCACACAAAAGCAGTGATTTAACTTTCACACCACTGCCTGCCACAGCACATTTTCACAGTATAGTTTCTTACGTGTTTTCTCACTGTCATCCTCACTATCAGAAAGGATGGCTGTTTTCCTCTTCACTGTCTTTTCTTCCTCTTTTTCATCTTCATCACTGTCTGATATTTTACGTCTCTTAGGAGCTTCGTCTTCACTGTCAGAGCCCTGAAATCCTTTCCTTACATGTTCATTATCTGAATGATGAGAGTCATTCTGCACCTTTTCCTTCCTGTCCTCCCCATCGCTATCTTCAGACTCTATCTGCTTGTGTCTGGACACATCCTCGCTCTCAGAGTCGCTGGCTGGCTGCTTCTGAGGCTCTTCACTCTCAGAGTCGCTGGCTGGCTGCTTCTGGAGCTCTTCACTCTCGGAGTCGCTGGCTGGCTGCTTCTGGAGCTCCTCGCTCTCAGAGTCACTGGCTGGCTGCTTGTGTGATTCCTCATTTTCAAAATCACTGCTGTGATCCCTTGGAGGTTCTCCATTGTCAGAGTCACTCACTCGATGATTTAAGGCCTCTTCATTTTCAGAGTCACTTAAATGCCGGTTTGGACGGTCCTCAGTATCAGAGTCACTGTCTTTCTCTCCATGAGTTGCTTCATTTTCTGAATCACTCACGTTGTGATTTGGGGGCTCCTCATTATCTGAGTCACTTTCTTTTTGCCTTGGGTTATCTTCATTTTCAGAGTCTGTCATATGAGGCTCTCCCACTTGCCCATCATCTTCTCCATCACTGTGTTCATTCTGAAACAGAAAAATAATCTCAGACAACTAAGCAAAAACACCTTAAAAAGTAAAGAAAAAATGTTCTGAATTTTTGCTTGTCCTTCCTCCAATTTGATAACCCAAGGTGCTGCAAACTGAAATAATAGAAATATTAGTCTATGTAGAAATAATTAGATAATTTTCATCAAAAGACTACCAAATACTTCACATCAAAAAAAGTATTATCAATGGAAGTATGTCCATCCTGCAGCTCCATGGTACTTCGAAAACAGTAAGAGAATTCATAGAACACTTAAATAAGCATGTCTAAGAACAGTCCAGTTGCTCAAGGGTAAAGCCTTACTACTTTCATTTTAATAGGTCAGGCCTTCAAAGTGGTTTAGTTCAAATTCCCAATAACAAAGCAAGAAAAGAGTATCTTGCATGTGTAATTTTATTTTTCCTGAAGATCTCAAACAGATGTTTCCTGTGTGAAATACATCTTACTGAAACAGCACTCGCAGTACGCGCCAAATGAAGCTAGTGCCTGTTCCTTTGTTGGGAAAACCTATTTAAGAACAACTCAAGACCAAAAGCCCAGCAGAAAACAACAACAAAGTTTTAGTCAGACCTTTCAGAGTAATACTGTTAACCAGCTTTGTGTTTCAGATTCAACAACTCTCTCCCCTATGCTGAGAGCTCCCATGCTTATCCAGACACTCAAGATAACCCATGCACACACACCCATCTGGCAACTTCAGAAATGAAACAATCCTTTGACTTTTCTACACACCCAAAAAATACTGAGGCACATGCTCTATTTTTAAGAGAACACCTCACAAACCACCTTACTAAGTACAATTACTTACAGCATCATCTTTTATCTTTCCAACATCTAAAATCTACTTGGAAAAAAAAAAAAATCTCAATTGCATTTACCTGAGAATATGAAATGAGACTTGAAAACTCATGCCATTAATTCAGCTCTCACAGCTACTGTCACCATAATCCTGTTTTCAGCTGAAAACAACAACATTGTACAAGGAACTTCTCTTTCGCATACTCAATTCAAAGCCCCAGTCAGGCTTTCCTCAGTCATTTTGTCTCAGCTATAAACTTTTTCTACTTGCAAACAGAGTATTTATTGTGACAGGAGATGCTTTAAGACCTGTATGTCCTGATGTTTCCAAGTATTTTTTTCCTGCAATTTAATTTCCTTGGAAACAGACTTTCTATCTATTTTTATTTTCTGTAGTTGTTCTACTCCCACATTCAGAGCCATAAAAAAAAGTAGGTGTAGCTATCCTATACCTACAACAAAGAATACTATTCATCTTTAAAATGCATGATGCAGGAAGAATTTAAATTAAAATTAATTTCAATTGCTTTTAGGAACTACTACCTCCATAATTATTCTAAGTGGCAAAGTGCATTGCTTTTTAAGACTTTGGACTTTATATACTTATTTCTTTGGCTAGCACTTGATAAAGATCTTCTACATTACTGAATGACTAACAAAGTTACTTAACAATGAAAAATAAAACCCAGGACCATGAAATTTAATTTAAAGCATGCACTTCAAATACTACTTCACTATTTCCATGTTATTTAATGCTAACTACAAACAGCTGCTGTGACAATCTAAGTTGTTTTCTCTCTGCTGCTCGTTCCTGTCTCTACAGCGATGCATCTTTTGAATCTTTCGTATCCAGTAATTCTCATTTCTCCTCACAGAAAGGAAACATGGTTCCATTAAAACCTGAATCTGGAATTTTAAAGAAATATTAGTATTAGGAAGTGACAGAATTGAGGATGCACTCAACTGCTCTCAGCTTGTTAATATTTTATTCCCTTACCAAAAAATCACTTTGACTGCCCTTCTCCTGCCTAGTATGTCCCACATAAACCAATCACAGGTGTTTGTGACAGATCTTCCCTGACTGTATTACTTTAGACTAAAGAAAACTGCAGCTGGAAACAGAACGGAAAGCAGATTCCACACCAGTTACAGGCAAGATCACTGAGAAACAGTGAAATCAAATTGGTATCTACACTAACTAACATTATTTAATTCTTGTTTTTCTACCATTTTATTTTGTGTGGGTTTGTCTGTCTTCTCTCAATGTCAGATGGTGAATGCTGAATAGTACTGGTAATTATGTCAGCAGTAATAAAGGATTTTTCTAAACAAACACAAGGAAATTAATAAAAATAGTCCTCTTTAAGATATTAGGACCATCACCTTCCCAGCTTCCAGTTTAGGAATTCTTTGGTGAACAAATAAACAAAATTAAGAACCAGTAAGAATCAGTAATGATTCTTCATATTTCTAAAGTCAGAAGTGTGGCTGCAGGTTATATATGCACCTGTTCAGAATTAATCACTAAATTACAAAGAACTTCTTATGCAAAACCTTGGTGAGAAGACACTGTAATTACAGAGCATTGTTACTGAAGATTATTACAAGATCTCGGATCTTTAATCTGTTACTGCAAACTGACAATCACTCCTGAGAATGAGGATGTTTGGTGAGGGAGAGCAGACACAGCAGTCAGACTCACCCAGTGGTCACAGCAGCTCAACTGCTGCAGTGTGACCGCTGGAGAAGCAGCACCGAGGTCACACGGGTGTCCCTGCACACTCTGGGCACAGGCAGCACCTCCTTGAGCCCGGCAGCAGCACTGTGTCAGGGAGGGCAGCGCTGCCCCAGAGCCCCAGGCAGCATCACACAGCACCTTCTGCAGCAGAGCCGAGACCCTGCACGGGGCAGGGCCTGCCCACAGCCTGCAGCCAAGAGGCTGCTGTGCGCAGTTAATGAATCTGCATGTTTGGGAATATAATTGATAGAAAAAGTGACCAACTTCCCAGTAAAATGACAAAACGCTGCTGGGTATGCTTGATAGTCTTCACTTTCCCTTTTCATTTATCTCTACAAAACTTTTCAAAGAAATGAAGTATGTAATTTTTGAGTTTTCTAGTTTTCATTTTCCAAATGACTGACTGAAAGATCAGACATCCTCAAAACAGAGTAGGTCTCAGGTAATTGCTACTGCATTTTTCTCTTAATTCCTTTGCTTTCTTTTCTTCCTCCTCTTTATCTATAAACATTTTAATTGAGATGTCCTTAATTTTTGTTTAATGAAAGAGTTCTATAGCATGAGGCTTTAGTACAGTATAAGGAATATATCAAAATCAAATTTACAGTGTTACATTCTACATAAAAATTGCAGCTACCAAGCAGTTTATTGGATCCACATGCAGCCACTTTTAAGAGCTACTTCTTCGATAATTTAGTAACTTCAACAAAATGGAACCCATCCACTACAATTTCATGAAAGATGAGTGTTAAACTAAGACCTACACAACCATCATGGGCAGATTGGCAAGTTCCTCCTTTTTTTCCTAAGTGTCACATATTTGTGTTTGTTAACAGTCACAGTCTAGCCACAACTTAATTCATGAAACAGCAGCAACTTGGTGGAAGTGTAAAAACGAAGTTATTACAGATTTCTGTATGAGCCTGACTTGAACAAACACTGTAAACATGATTTCAGATTCATTACTGTACTAAAACTAATTCTAATTGGCTAAAGCAGAATCAGTAAGGACATCAAGGAGAACATTTATAGATAAAGTGGGATTGGGGGAAGGAAAGCCAGAAAAGAATTGTGGAAAAGAAAAACCCACATACCTGAGACCTACATAAGTAATTCCTCAGGATTCCCCTTTTCTTTAAAGTTAAAAACCTGAAAGAAAAGTTTAAAATTTTAAAACTTCAGTTCTTTACATCTGAGTTCTAAATTAGAGACAAAATAGTAACTAAATAGACTTAACTGATTAGGCTGTCTAAAAAGGTTTTATTAGCTTTGAGTGTCATTTCCCCACATACTCCTGAAGACGAAGAAAATTTGAGGATGAGAGAATATTTAGAGTAAATAATATGACAAATGACTGAAAGCGACTCCTTTCAGAGATGGCTGCTCCACCGTACTGCCTTCTGAGCGCAAAGTGAACTCAACGGAGGGAAAGAAAAATTAAGACTTCAGAGCAAAACAAAATAATTGAATTTTGATTTGAGCTGAATCAAATAAAGCATTAAGGCTTGACAACTCTCATGGAGGATTGGTCAAAAAGGTGGCTTAGCTTGACTCTTTTAATTGACTTTTTAATTGACTTAATTGACTTTCTGAAGTATTTTATCTATAGAGGAATATTCAACCACCATCACATAACGAAGTCTTTAAAATAATGCAGCCCATGAAGAGGAGCAGTTAACAATGATAATTGGTATTTTCTGCTCACCTAAATCTGAAGAAGACATGCTGCAGGTGTAAACAAGTCAATTACCCTGCCCCAGTAAGTACAATGAAAATATCAGAGAAGTATAGAAAAGAAGCAATAATCAAGCATAAACCAATGACACAGAAGAAAAAGATTAACATTATTGCAGCAGCAGCATGAGTCTTCACACACTCATCACACTTTTCCTTCAGAAAACAGAAGCACTAAATTCCTCCAGACAGACAGTTACTTTTCCCAGCCTGAGAAATGTGTTTCCTGCCACACTGAAATTGTAATTGTCACAGTGGGAGATGCTGCCTCACAACAAATTTATTTCTTCCCTTGAACATATCAACACCTATCAAAAAAAGTAAATTCCAAATGTGCTTTACAATTAAGTTCAAACACATGGGAAGAACTTTCATTTTATAAAAATACAATCTTCATCTACTTTCTAACTCTGAGGGAAATATGAATTCAATAAAGACAGGAGAAAAGAAAGGGGAAAAAAATAAGGATTGTAAGTTATGCCACAGTGGAGTCAAGCCTTGTCTCACATCAGCCTTTGTCGCATTTTAAGCAATTTCTAAAACGTGTAACACTGAAAACCCAGTCAGAGTAAATCCTGATCTTTACACAAAATACAGCAGAATATGGAGAACACTATGAAATGTGATTTTGGTTACAGTTTTTATAAGTATCAAAAAGTTCTCTGTAACTTTACTAGCTGAATTCACAGGCCAAAATTACTCATTACTCCTTCTAAGACCTGATGTAGCTCTATTATAAGTCACAAACAACTGTTAAAAATTCAATCTCAACATCCCAAACTGTCCTGTAAGTCTAAAGGGAGCCTTCTCTTTCACCAGAATCTCTTCTCAGCCCAGTCAATCCACAAATGAAGTGACTGCCCCAGAAACAACCCTGGACCAAAGCCTTTCCATGCTGAACACTTCTCCAAGTGGGAACCACTTCAGAGGAAAAACAGGTGCCACTCAGGAACCTTAAGCTGCTCCACATGCACACCTGCTCCTTTGTCAATGACAAGGTGAAAACCAGCACAAAGCAGACTCAAGGGTCAGTGTCCCCATCTGACATGGAAGCTGGGAGAGCATTTATTCTGTTTCAAGGAAATCACCACCTCCAAATTGTGTGGTTTCACAACACCGTGCAGAATTTCAGGTACAAATTCCTCATAACCCCATTTTATCTTTGTGAAATCGAGGCTAACCGAGTACAACTTACTCAAGTTCAGAATAGTGTGTGCTATCACAACAAGGAAAAACCCAAGCAAATCCTAGCCAACATACTTGTCAAGAGTCTATCCAACGCTTTTTTTATGGAAATAAAGTTTTGCCCCGTGGAACCCTTAAGAGGAACAAACTGAATAAACACGTCTCGGTTACGAGAGAATGCCACTTTAAACAACAACAAAGAGGAATTCAGAGAAGAGTAAACTTTATCTAGATAAAACTCCCTTAGTACCTCTGAATGGTGCCCTACACTTCCATTCTCCGATCCAGAATGTTGTTCGTTTCCTTCATCTTCCACATCAGATCCTGAGTCTCGTTCGTCTTGCACTGGAGTAGCTCCTCCATCATCTATTCCGAGATGTAAAAAAGAAAGTAAAACTCAGTGTTTAAAGGAACCGCTCGGGAACCGGGCGGGCTCCCGCTCTAACGGGGCAGGGAAACGGGGCTGTCCCAACAAACCACCCCAGACACACCCGGGACTGCACAAAACCTCCTACAGCAAGCGGGCAGCGACGGCTGCACTGCCCAGGCACCGGACTATTGGAGCAATTAACGCCCTCAACGCTGCCCTCAGCCCAGGGCCCCGCCGCTGTGCCCCCGAACCCACGGGCCCTGCCGTGCCCGACGCCCTCCCGGGAGGGTCCTGCGCGCCGCGCCGCTACCTGACTGCTCCCCGCCGTAGTAGTGGGTGTCCATGCCGGGCCCCGCGGTGGCGGCGGGCGCTGCCCCGGGCGCTCCCTCAGCGCGGGCCCGGCCCGGCCCCGCCGCCTCACACAGGAACAAGATGGCGCCTCCCCGCCCAGCGGCACCCCCGCCCCGCGCGCACGCCGCGCCGGATCTCGCGAGACTTCCGGATCAGCGGCCGCCAGGGGGCGTTGGCTGCTCCCAGCCAGCCCCGCCCTGACGGCTCGGGCTCAGCCACAAGAAAACCGGGAACGCTTTGGCCTCTCGGGTTTGCTTCCCTGCCACCCCACAGCCCCACCCTCCGAATACAGGCTGATTGCAGCTTGACAGCTGAAGCGCTGGGGAAACTGAAGGAGCCTTGGAGGATAAAAGGCTATTTGTAGCCCCTGGGTGACCACGCTGTGATCAGCTGCAGGGTGACCTGGCTGTGATCCTGGCAAAGGTGTTGCCTTGTCTGAGCTCTGCGGGAATTTCCAGGAGACCACACCAACCCCTGACACTGTAAATGGCTGCTCGGATGCACTGCCCTGAGCCACACGAGAGTTCCAGCATCTCCCTTCTGCCAGACAAAGGGCCAATCTGGTGCGATGCTTCCCGCAGTGACTTAAGGGTGGGAGGTCTGGAGGGTGATTTAGAGCAGAGAAGATTTTGCCCTTTAAATAATAGGTAAATTTATCTGCTCTTTACAAGCCAAGTCAGCAAGATTAACGTGCATCTCCACAAGAAGGTGGCGAAGCAGAGCTCAGGCGCACAGTGGGCTCTGATGCTGCGAGGGGGTTGGCAGTGTTCGTGTTTGCAGCTGGCTGCAAGGGCACCCACCATGGCCATGGAAAGGAAGGACAGGTTCTCTCAGCAAATTTAGGCCTGACGGTCCGGCTGAAGCTCCAGTTCAATCTAGTTCATGTGTGGGTGGCTCCTCCAGAATTAGCCTTTCAGGATTGACTGAAAGTTCACCCTGAGCTCCCGGGGGATGGTGATTTCCGGAGTAAGTGTGGGCAGGGCAAAACAATGCTCGTCTTTTTCAGGGATTGTTGTGTTCTGTTTCAACGGCCCCTATCCTCTGAGTAGTAGCATTACTCGAGTATTTGGCATGCACGTGATATACTAGTTGAGGATTATTAGGGATGGCTGCTGTCATTCCTGCAGCATTTCAAAATGATGAGTCTAATAAATGCTGGCTACTGGTGACCTGCCCTTCAGTCTGTCACAAAAACACCTTCATTTTCTAGGGAAATACAGGTCAATATGAGACAAATAGAAAACTGCTGCCTGTGTCATTTGGCGTATTTCTGAACAACAGTGACTTTCCTAATTCTGCATGCTGCTCCCTTTTTCAGAGCCATCAAAATTTAGTAAGTTGAGTATTCGGGGCAAAATGAGCCTAATTCTTCTGTGCTAGAGGCACCTTGGAGTGGATGGCAGTGAGGTTAAGCCATTATTAACCAACACTTTCTGTCCAGCAGCAAGCACAGTTTCATGCAGGGAGTTCAGTGTACCAGGCTAAACACAGCTAACTCTCAGGGCTGAATCATTACTTAACATCTTCTACAGTGAAACACTTAGAAGGAGAAATTGGCAATGAAGTCAGATGCTTCTCGGATACAATCCAAAATTCTTAGCAAAAATGCAGAAAACTTTTTTTTTTTTTCCCCTGAAAGCAGCTTTCATAAAACACAAATAATGACACATAATGTCTCTGTTTACAGCTCTGCTGCTCTGGTCTTTTCCAGATAGCCACAAAGATCCTTAAGTGAGTCTCAGGACCACGCTCTTAATGGTATCATGCCCTTTTTTCCTGTTCCCATATGATTTTTACTTCCTTTAGGTCTTTGTGCGGTTTCACTGAGATCTTTTCTGGAAGGAGCAGGCACATGTGGCAGTACGTGATGGGAGGCTCCTCTCATTGCACTTCTCTGACTTCCATAAAGAAATGGAATGACTTTACACAACTGACTAAATAGAAGGCAGGATGACAACTTTACAACACACCAAATAAAGGAATAAGGAAATAACTTGAGAGTAGTATTACAGAAAATAATGAACAAGGGAAAACAGAAATAGAAACTTAAAAAAAACAAAAAAACCAAAAAAACCCAAAAAATCCCTGTTGAATAGTATGTACCAAGGTACCTGGAAATTGTACCAGGTTGCTAGAAAACACAGAAATCTATCCTACACTAAAATTCCAAGAGGATCAGAGTATGATGATAGTCTGCCTTGGAAATTAGTCCTTTATAGATATGTGTCATGTTCTGCAGTGATGGTGAGCCACTGTCCCAAATTCCAGTTGCACTGAGGCAGCACTGATGAAAGATTAGAGATTTTGTGCATTTACTGAGAGCGGAAAGAGGCACAGAGGTTTCTTCCTAATTGTTATGAATTCCAATCTTTCTGAAATGAAACCTCCTAACCTACTTGTGACATGCCACGTGCATCACACAGGAGAGGGAGCACTGTGTCTGAAACAACCTCACCTCACTGATGCTGAATAACTGGGCATCCATTCCAGCCCTCGTTCTGCAGGTAACGTGCGTGTGCACACCAACCTGCACATGCCTTTGCTCCTCATGAGCCAGAGCTTGGCAGTATCAGTCTGCAACATACTCTTGTAATACCAAATCCTGGCTGCTTTCCAAAAAGAAGGATGGAGTGACAGTCAGACCGTAATGGGATTGCACAGTGGGGGAGAATGACCTGTCTTCCACCAAGCAGCGTAAGCAGCGCCCACTTGGCATGTGTGAAGGTGTGTAATGACACAGGTCCCAGAGCCCTGCCAGTCTGCCTCACTGTGCAACTCCATCAACAGGCTGGAATGAAATAAGCCTTTCCCTGAGGAACAGAATGCTCAAGAAAACCATGCGATGCACTTGGAAATCCTTTAATGGTATGTACTTCTTATTTAGTTTGTTTCCTGCACTGCCCCTTTCAGAGTTAACAGACATCAGTGACTTAGAGCTACAAATCTGCTTAGAGGAAGGGAAGGAGGTTAGTGTAGACAAGAGGACTGCTGAATGAACAGTTTAAATTGCAAATTGTTACATCCAATCCACCTTGCTTCAGAAATCTCAGAGAAATAACTAGTTTAACATAAAATGATGTTTGGTATTCAGGACCTGATGCAGAGGTGACAAGGCCACTTTGATTTAGCTGGAGAGAAAATATGAAAGGTAGTGCCATGGTCAAATTAAAGCCTTTGATCCTGACATCAATCTCTTAATTAGGAAGCGTCAGGAAGAGGCAGTTTTGTTAACACATGTCTATCCAGACAGACCTATTACTTTGAACAACAGCAGGATTAAATTCACCAGGGTTCATCCAATTTTATTTTGTTGCTTTTCTTGGTGCAGCATTCATCATAGAATCCCAGAGTGGTTTGGATTGGAAGGGACCTTAAAGCTCATCCAGTTCCGCCATAACAGGGGCACCTTCCACTGTCCCAGGTTGCTCCAAGTCCTGTCCAACCTGGCCTTGGACACTTCCAGGGATGGGGCAGCCACAGCTTCTCTGGGCAGCCTGTGCCAGTGTCTTGCTACATACTTAATTTTTTGAGCTTTATTACTTAAGATGTAATGTCACAATCTTCACTATCAGCAATTAGCTTAAAGGAAAGCTTACAACAATTAAACAGCACAGACCATGCTAGATTACCCCTAATTACCACTACAAATGTTCCTGTGCCCTGCACAGTCCCTCGCCAAACTCTGTGTTCAGCAGTACATCGTGTTGCTCATTCCTGGCAAGTTCCTCTCCTGTCTTTCCCCATCTGCACAGCTCAGTGCCTGCCCAAACCTGAGCTGCCCCTGAGAACTCACAGGTCCTTCTCTGGAGGCACCTTTAGCCTGCTCATCTCATTAGCTGCATGTGCTGCACAGAGCATCTTGGATGCTTCCCCTTGGTATATCAAGTGCCTGCTCCCTCAGCTTTTGTGTTCTACCTCTTGAATATTTCAGCTGTGGAAATAAAAATCTCCCTTCCAGTGCATATTTCAGCTGTATAATGAATTGTACTTTTCTTTCAGATAACCTTGATTTCCCTATGATTCCATTTAGTACAGTGTCTATAGGACATAAATCCTTCTCTCTGAAGTAGCACAGGGCTTGGAGCAACAGGGCTTGGGACAGTGGAAGGTGCCCCTGTTATGGTGGAACTGGATAAGCTTTAAGGTCCCTTCCAATCCAGATCATTCTGGGATTCTATGATGAGTGCTGCACCAAGAAAAGCAACAAAATAAAATTGAAGTATCTTGGACAAAAGTGTTAACAATGCAGTTAATTTTAGAATGAGATTCTCTGCCCCCAAACAGACTCCATTTGGAATTTCAGCAGGTATGTTTTGTTTTCTGAAGGAATATGCTTGGCATTTTTTTGTCCAATTGTACAAAAAAGCTTTGTATCTGCCTTGGTAGTATAAAGGCATGTACTTTGATTTCTTTGCCACTATTTGACCTTTACTAATAAAAACCAGTACTTGGAATTTTGTTAATCACAAATTGTATCAAAAATAAGTCTGCTAAAGAACTACTTTGCAGCCAAATCTTTGAGTAGGAATTATTTGCACAGTTAGAAATTTGAAGAAAGCTCTCTCTGGTTTTCTGCTTCTCTCCAAATGTCTCTAAGCCCTGAAGGGCCTACATTTTATTTCTGCATCTGTATCTGCTGCTGTAAGATTTAAACAAAAACTCAGGTAAGGAGGCTGACATTAAAACACAAATATGTGATGTTGATAAACACATGCTACTCTAAACTATTTATTGCCATGCATGAGTTCTTACCTCTGATTTGGATGTGGAGTTACAGCAGGGGCCCCATTATACAGTGCAGCATCACTGAACCTAGGAAAAAAGAAAATAAGAATTAGGGTATTAGGTGAGCTAGCACGTGCTCACAATTATTGCACATTTACATTGTTTAATAGTGGGTACACAGTTTAATACTGGGTACACAGACTAGTGCACAGTGTTGTGCACAGGGTCCTGGAGGAAGGTGACACAGCTGGGTTAAGGTACTTGGACAAAATTTTGTCTTCACTGTTTGAGCTCATGTTGGAATGTGCTTGATTCCTGAGTTCTTGCTTTGGCTGGAGAAAGCCTGTATCTGCCTCTCTACACTTCTGTTTCTTTCCCATACTGGAATTTTACCAGATTTGCAAGAAGGACACAGAGAGTACATATGGAGTCAACAGAAAGAAGAAAGCTCTTGGCCATCCTGTCCCTATTTTGGGAAAAATAGGGAGTTAACATGCACCTAGATTCTGGAACACAGGGACAGAGTGTTTGTTGAGAGATAAATTAATGCTAGTGAAAAATGCTAGTGCATTTTGTCCCATTATATGGGTGTGTGTATGAATTTCAGTTAAATGTGATGAGTTAATTTTGGTCTGAGGTACTGTGAAACACAGACCAGGCAGAACACAGACTGATGGGCATTTTCTTGCTGAAAAGAGGTATGGAAAGCCAAAGGGAGGTTTTGATGAAGAGATGAGGGTCTGATTTTCTTCATACATAAGAGGGTGAGAGACAGTCCTAGATAAGTCAGTCATGTTGGAGCAGGATAAGACCAGATGCTAAAGGGTTTTCTTCTGGGAGTGATTTCCAGAAATCTGAAAGGATACAGGCCCAGTGGAGAGACTGAAGTTTAAGGTTCACTCAAGCAACAATTAGCCTTCGTGCTCACTGGAGCACCTGACCTGGAAGTGACATATACACTGAACTGGGAGCAAAGTCCTGTAATAAATAACCGTGCTTCAGTCATTTCCTCCTTTGTGCAGTGGAGAACTGTAACTTAATGGCACCAGGGCCAGTTTCACCTTCCTTTCCCTTCTTATGCCAATGCTTATGAAAAAGAGGGACCTGAGCCGCAAAAGCCACTCAGTGAAGATTTCTTCTGGAGAGGTAAATTCCCATCCTATGGGGCGTGATTTGATTTATGGTGCAGCATTACTTTATCAAGAGAAACAGAAGAGAGAGCCAGGCTTGGCCAGGAAGTGGCCATGCAACCAGGTGCAGTGGGTGGCCACTTAGGGTTTCTCTGGGAATAGGAATTTTAAATATTGGAACTGCATATCCTGGGATTATATGGGATCTCCTCCCTACAAGGCTGCTGTCAGACCGGATCTGGAGACAGCTGTCCCTTTCATGTGACACTGTATGGCTGTCTCTGTGCTTGCATGTGCCACTCCCTCCTTGTTTGGGGTCAATATTTCTACTCTTTTGCCATATTCTGGTTTCTGGTGCAGGTGAAAAAGTGCTTGTCAGCTGTGAATCACTGATTGTGGCCCATCTTTAGCCTATGTTTGCTAAGGACTGTGCTTCTGTGCCTCCCTGCACCACTCCCAGCAACAGGCCATCTCAGTTTTGAAGTTGGTGCATAGGTCCTGCCTCTGAGTCCTGAATAAGAACGTGAGGACTTTGCCATAAGAGTAACAGAATATGAAATACCAGCTGACAAATCATCCTCGTCATGGAATCACTCCCAAAATCCAGCTCTGTGGGATACAAAGTTGCTTTGAAGACGTTAGTTTCTTGGTTAGGACAGCCTAAACTGCATCATCCCTTAGCTAAAGCACTGGTGTAGATCTCTGGCCACTGATATTTTGGCTGTTATGTTCTTGATAGTGAGTTCTTAATTTTCTTGTGGTTCCCTCCAGTCCCTTATTTCGTTGTTCATGCCTTAATTGCAATTCCTCCCATTCCAGCCAAGGAAGGTGAACTCTAGGCCTCTGTTTCTGTTTGGTGGTGCGTTCAAGCTGAAGGGTCTGAGGGAACTCACCTTGGAAAGTATGAATTAAACCTGTGTCTCCGGGATAGCCACTGAGCTGCTGGGTCAATGGACCACCTTTAGCTGGTTGTCTTGTGCATCAAATCACATTGCACTGTGGATTTTTTTTATTAGTGAGCCAACTTTGAAGTTCAGACAATAACTGTGCCTAGCACTTGACTGAGAGAACTATTTGGTATGAAAATGTGCACAGTGAAATCTTTAGGGCTAAGAGCATCTCCAGGTTACGTGGTAGAACTCAGAACACCACCCCAGTGCTGCAGGTTCTTTGCTTTGTATAGATGGTGTCATTGTTTCTATATTGGGTGTATCTTAATGAGCTCTTTTGCTTTAATAAAATTATTTTAAGATATTTTGATGTTATTTTTTTTGCAAGGAAACCCCACTGTCTGTTCTCATCAAAGTCCTTTTCTGACCTAACATTATGTTCTTGGCATGCAGGTTGCATACAGTGATCTGAAACATAATGGTGGTTTTCAGAAAGGTAAGTCCTGCTCTTTCTTCTGATTGAGTGATTAGCCTGAGGTCCAAAGAGGAAGAAAATTACCTAACCATCATGGTTCGATCAAAAGAAAGTTGCAATAACCCAGTACCAACAAGGTATAAAATAATTTCAGCCTAGACTAGGGAAGCAGAGGTGTCTTGCCTCACCAGGCCATCCTCTTGTTGAGCAGGTGACCTCTGTCACAAGGTGTGGCAGTGAAACTACACAAGTTACCTTTGGAGTTTTATTCAACACAAATAAGAGCTGTTAGTCTGTAACATTCTTCATAATCTTGTGCAATGTTTATGGATGCTTTACATTGGTTATTTGGTTTTAAATGTAAGCCACAAAGTATTTTGAGAGGAAAAAGAAATTTTTTTAACTAAGAACATTGAAACTATGACATGCAGTGCTGTGGTGTGTAACAAAAGTTATATATGACAAGATACAGCTACAAAGTCCACTGATCTACAACTCTATTCAGTTTTTATTCCATCTTTCTGTTTGAATCTGTATTGGGGACTGGAGCAAGAGAAGGTGTTCCTGAGGGCCTGGAGTAGGGAAGTATAACCAGGACACTGGTACAGGCAACACCAAGATGTTGCTCATTCCTAGGAAAGGGCAGCTGTGGCTCACCCCTTCCTCCGGGCACAGCAGAGCAGTTCTTGCTTGTTCTGCAGAGGTGCCAGATGTTGACAAGCCTCTACCTATGTGAAGAAAGGAACTGGGCTGGATAAAGAATGTTAGTGGCTTTTTTCTCCTAAGAGAGATCATGGGAGCACTCACATTTCAGCTATAGCAGGAAAAAAATATATCTAAAATTTCTCGCAATTGAGGTCTCTACATTTCCAGGCTTATAGTATGTACATATGTTTGTTTGTTTGTTTTTCTCTTTCCTGGTAAAGTCTGTGTTCTCAAGAATGTCTTCTGAGAAAATATCATAGCTCATGTGAGGCTGCCAAGCCAGTTCCCCAGCATTCACTATGCCCCCAGCCAGGCTCTGAGAAGTATTGAAGCTGCATTAATGTTGTCCTTGGAAAAAGTGTTGCCTCATTTCCTCCTTTGAGACAGCTGGGTTTGATGACTTGTCCAAAGTCATGTTTCAGATCAGCTGTGGAGCTGGGAGTAGAATCCAGAGGTCTATAAATGTATTGTCTGCAAGCAGTAAGAACTTACCCAGTTGAACACTGCTAAAAAAATCAAATAACTAAAAAAGGAAGACCAAGAGGTATTTGCCTGTGAGCTACATGGCATCAAGTATGTCACTGTACTTGACAGTAGCTTTTTTCTCCCCAGGGTGATCATGTGTGGCTGGACACGCAACCAAACAGTGAATTTAATGTCCCTATTGGGGCAGTTGTGAAGGAATCTGACTCAGGACGGATCTTGCTGGAGGATGATGAGGGCAAGGTGGGCTATGCCATAACCTTCTGTAAAAGATGAACATGAAATGTAAAAGTGCAAAATACAAAAGAAGGTCCTATTGGGTCAGACCAAAGCTCCATCTGCCAGGTGGTCTGACTTTGGTATAGGTAGGATATACTGAAAGAAAAACTATAGAAATAAGGCAAGTATAGGATGGTCATCTGGCATCTCGAGGTCCAAGCACAAGGAAGATTCAGAGCTTCATAAGATAGAGGTTATATCTACATGGCTAGGAAAAGGAAATGGATGGGCTCCAATCCCTAAATTTGGTGAAGTTTTAGGTGGACACATCATCCCACTGAAATCAGTTCATCCCAACCTTATACAATGCTCTGCCTGTGATGACAGAATTGCAGTCTGCAGTTAACACTGAGCAGTGTTAAAACTGGTGCTGTTCAGAACCCACCCAAATGGCTTCATTCAGTGTTTTAAACCATCTGGTTTTAAACCAGTTAACTCTTATAGGCCAGTCACCTGTGTGCTAGAGCATGCCTGCTTGAGCATGTATTATGCTGAAGCTCACTCCAGTCTAACCCAGCTCTCCTTTGTTTGCCTCTGAGCCACAGCATCACACATTAAAGTCTGTGCCTTGCCTTTGTCAGGAGCACTGGATCACGGCTCGGAATATGCACATGGTGCACCTGATGCACCCTTCCTCTGTCCAGGGGGTAGAGGACATGATCCGCCTCGGGGATCTCCATGAAGCTGGCATGGTGCACAACCTCCTCATCCGACACCAGGAGCACAAAATCTATGTGAGTGCCACAGTCACTTCCAGGAACAGCCGGGTCACTTCCAGGTCACTTCCAGGAATGGCCTCTACACTTGAGCAGCCTGGGAGCCTTTCACACACGGGGCCCTCTGACTTCTTTAATGACAGAGGTTGCCAAGGAGACACAACACAGTTTTTCTCTTCTTTCACTCAAGTACTTTGGCTGCCCCTCAGTCACAGTGCTGGCACAGGTAGTGACTTCACTTACTTTCTCCCAGAGCAATCATTGTCACCAGCCACTGACAGTGCACTGAATCCAGCCCATGTTACAGCTTACTGCTGCTATTACCTGGAGGATCAGCCTAACGGGTATGCAGTGACATGATTTCAACTGTCCCCCAGTCCAAGCCAACATTTACTTGATGTTGATGTAATAAGATTGCTAATAATAAATCTGGATATTTTGTCCATTACAGGTTTTATCTGTAACTGGGAAATTTGACAATTTTATTTTCTTTTTTCCTCAGTTTCCAGTTTGTAATATTATAATTAATATTCAGGTTTTTCCATGCTTCGCCTCCCATATTATATACAGTACTGGAGAGAAGCTGTCTCTTACAACATAGGTGTGATGATATTTAGTGTTAAAAAGGACTTATTTTATATATCCTGTAGTTGCAACTAACAAGGTGTGGATAGATCTGTTATGTTAAACTCTAGCAGCCTGCATTTGTTTCACACAGTTTTTGAACAGTATCAACAGTTACAACTAACAAGGTCTGTGGATAGATCTGTTATATTAAACTCTAGCAGCCTGCATTTGTTTCACACAGTTTTTGAACAGTATCATTGCCTTGCATCTCCACAGCTTTCAACAGCCTCCTTCATTTCATTGGTGTTGCTGTATACAAATGTTTCTAAATCACTGTATGAATAGCACAACTGTAACTTGGCCCATTAGCAAAGTTCAGCTACATCTGCACTAGAATACAAAAGCAGCTAAACAAAACACTGCAAAACACCTTAAGATAACACCAAAGTGCCAGATCAAATTGGACTTCTGTGTGCTTCAGCTTGAAACAGAGAACAACGGAGCTGTCATTAGCAAGATCACACCTAGAACCTTGGGCAAACCTCTCCTTATCCTGGGATGTTCAACAGCAGCTGATAGTGAGGAACTGGGCTCTTAGCCTCACCCAAGTGCTGCTATGATCTCCCAGGCTTCCCTCCTGCCTCTGTTTAGATTTATACTGCAAGTAGCTTTGGTTGTATTCTTGTTTGGAATAATGCTCACAACTGTTTTCCAGACTTACACAGGATCAATCCTTGTAGCAGTGAATCCATACCAGCTGCTACCCCTCTACACGGTGGACCAGATCAGACTGTACTGTAACAAGAGGATTGGAGAGCTTCCACCTCATGTCTTTGCCATTGCAGATAACTGTTACTTCAATATGAAGAGGAATAAGAGAGACCAGTGCTGTGTGATCAGGTGAATGGACTTGGAGAGGACAAATAGCAGAAACCAAGTCTGGCATGGTTTGGGGCACCTTGTGGACACAGGTGGACACAGGATGGTCTCCTGACCTTCCAAATGGAAAGACACAGATAAAACTAGAGACAACAGGAAGGAAATATTTTCTTCCCTGCTCCCTCATTTTCAGTTAGGGCTGGGAAAGGTAAAACATAAGCAAAGGATTTCTGAAGCCTGTTTTCCCCCAGAATCTTTCAATGTGGTTGTACATTCTGCATGTGGTCACTACATATAGAAACATAACACCTGAATGTGTATGACATAGGGCTATCTTTTACCTTGGAGACAGAATATTTATGTTACATGTATTTTCCAAGGCTAGACATTTCCTCAAGAGAAATAACCTCTGCTAACCCAAAGGTGAATGGAAGCTTTCATCCTCCTACAAAGAATCCTTTCTCTGTTTGTCATCAATGTGAAGAACCAGACAGTCTCATTGCAATAGTATCTGATTATATCTGAGTCAACTCTGCTGATGTGCTGACACTAGCACTGACAATCTGGTAATGCAATAAAAAAGAAAAGCAAGTGGTCATTTTATTTGTACAGGTACAGAATGTCTTCCATGGATTTGCTTGTTTTTAATTGGTGGGAGGATCTAGTTATCAGCCTAAGTCTGAAAAACTACTTCAATTTGAGCAGATAAGATGATGAAAGACTGAAATTTTCCAGCCCTCTATGAAAGACAGTCTGATCTGACAGTCTGAATGGCACCCTGTGCCATTCACAGGGTAAACTTAAGTGGGATTGGTTTTTTTTATTGTAACTTGGTCTTCCACGTTACCAAAAAAAAGAAAGGAAGCCTGTAATGATATTTTTTTTTCTTACTGCAGTGGAGAATCTGGAGCTGGTAAAACTGAAAGTACAAAGCTAATACTACAGTTTCTGGCAGCTGTCAGTGGCCAGCATTCCTGGATAGAGCAGCAAATCCTAGAGGCCAACCCCATTCTGGAAGGTGGGTTACTTAGCAAACATGGCTGATTTACCACATTTATCTCAGGATAAAATGAATCAGAAACAGATCCTTGAACCATTGTATCTGCTTAACTGGTAACCCCCCTGAAACACTGGTGATGCACTGTAGATGTTCTCTATACTTTTCTGCCATGCTCCCATACAGTCCAGAGCAGCTTTTCTCTCATGCTGTAGGAGGAGTTTCCTCTGTAGTATACACCCTGGAACTGCCAGGAGCACAAGAGTCCTTGGGACTGCAGAGCCCAAGGCAAAGCCCCCTGGTTTGGCATTTGCCCTAGACAGTGACAGAGTGACTGGCCATGCATAGATGTATCTGTAGGGGAGCTCCCTGAGACACCTATCTTTCTCTGTACAGGGATCAACATGTTCCCAGTAAATTATTCTGAAGGTCCTCAGACTTGCCCAGGTCTCTTGGCTGGCCAGATACAGACCACATTTGGATCATTTGAATATGTCTTTTAGGACCCAATTATCTGGGTGCACAGTATGCCTGCCCCTCTCTTCAGGAGACAGACTGAGACAAGACATTCTCCAGTGCTTCTCAGCGCTGTCATTTGGAACAAAATGTGTAAAATATTAGCAGCAAAGTAGAAGGGGAAAAAAATAGGCTTGATGTTCATGAACTGCAATAATACAGATACTATTTCTGTCTCTTGCTGTTAGCTTTTGGAAATGCCAAGACAATTCGAAATGACAATTCAAGCCGCTTTGGGAAGTACATTGATATTCACTTCAACCAAAGTGGTGTGATAGAAGGAGCCCGGATAGAGCAGTTTCTCCTGGAGAAGTCCCGGGTCTGCCGTCAGGTGAGGGCACTGGCAGGTGTACATTCTGCCTGTTCTTGTGTTAGAAGCTTATCCTGACAAGGCTGTCCATTGGCCTATTTCTTTTATTTTTAGGCTCCAGAGGAGAGGAATTATCACATCTTCTACTGCATGCTAATGGGGATGAATACAGAGCAGAAAAAGATGCTGAATCTGGGCACTGCTTCAGAGTACACTTATCTCACTATGGTAATAATCTCTGCTTTATTCTCTGATATCCCTCTGCCATTTGCTTCTTTCAGTGAGCAATTGCAATCACTAGGAGCTGCAGATGGTAGTTACCAAATATGAACAGTCCTTCCCTTAGAGTACCAGAAGCAGTAACACCAAAAGTGCCGTGAGTATCAGTTTCAGACACTTACTGTATTGTCCACCAGTGGGAAGTAGCTTGTGGCAGGTTAAAGCTTTCTGTCAAAGTCAGACTTAAGAAACATAAAGGACACCTTAAAACAGAATGTGGACAACATCCCCCACTTTCACAGACACTCAGATTTCAAAGGAATGCAAGGGATCTCGTGCCAGGGAGAACAGTAATCACATACGTGTACCTTAGAAGAAAATTAATAAGTATCCTAGTCCTTATATCTAATAAATCTTACATACATAATGCAGGCAGCTGGCATTCAGCGTAACCTCCCACGATGGATGCTAATGACAATGAGTTACAATGCCATTGTGACAGAAGTGGGATCTTCAGAGGTGAGGTTTTTGAAAATAGCTAATTGAGTGGTTTCGGACATGAAAGATATGATGAAAATCCTATCCTTTAGCCTGTGTATATACCTCATATTAAATAGGCCAGCTGGTTAGGTTTGGGCTGTTCTACAGCTGTGGAAAGAATGTGTTTAAGTCCTGCCTCTACTGAAATTAGCTGGAGCTGGGCATCTAATTTCTAGGAAATGAAAACAAGTCTGTTTCTGGAGTCTCAAAAGCAAAACTATTAAATTTGTGGAGATTTTATCAAATGTAATGTTTTCAAAATAACAGTGATCTTGCAGCAAAGCTCATGAGTGCAATTAGTGCAATTAACCCATTGGCCATTCCATGAAAAGGCCCCTGGGTCAGCAGAAGGGCAGTGTGATACCGAAATAGGAGGACTGGATTAAAAGAGAACATATCCATGGTTTTGTAAAGGTCAGCTGTTGGTACAAGCTGGCATGTTTACATGCTGTAAACTGAAATGTCTAGGAATATTTCATTTTTGGGATCATCACACTATATTGTCAGAAATGGCAAGGGTAAAAAAGGCATTTTCCCATCTCCATTATGGCTGAAAATAGTTTCTGTCAGGAGCAGCATCGTAGGACCTGCTGTGTAGACTTTGATGAAGGTGCTTCTGATGCTGCCTTAGATACTTCCATTTGTCTTCCACTAGGACCTAATATTTTTATTTTGAGATTTGCCTTCTAGTACTTATCCAACTTGACTTGCTTTGGTTTGGGATTAGGGCTCTTAATTTTCCATTGACAGGGCAGAGAGAGGAAACCAAAGAAACAGGCATGGCCTTGTAAAAGTAGGTAACCTTGTCAAAGCTTCCTGTCCTTCTATGCTCCAGAGCAGCCTTCCCATCAGCTTTTCCTTTGGCTTCCTCAGTATTCAGCCTAGCCCTGGAGAAATGCATTACTGAGCCCTTTGTTAATGCATTCTTTTTGAGAGAAAATATGAAGGAAGATACAATTATGGGAAGAGAATATAGAATGTTAAATAGCGTTTTACCTTGCATCCTTGTGGACTCACAGGATAGCCACCTTGTGTACAAAGGCTTGTCACTCTGCACGTGCTTTCATCCTTGTCTGGGTAGCAGGAGGATCTTCCTTACCTGTTGGTGTGGTGCTTGCAGGGTAACTGCACGTCCTGCGACAGCCGCAATGACGCCAAGGATTATGCCCACATCCGCTCAGCTATGAAGATCCTCATGTTCTCAGACTCTGAGCACTGGGACATCAGCAAGCTGCTGGCTGCGATCCTGCACCTAGGGAATGTAGAGTTCCAAGGTAAATTCAGCATTGGCTGGGCTTACCTTTCCTTAGACTTGATGGTAAAGGTACTTCCCTTGGGTGCTTCCTGCTTCCACCTGCAGAGATCAGGTTGTGCTGCTCTGACTTGTATTAACAGGTGAACAAAGTTGGAAGGGAAGGCAGATAAGCACAATGAAATTCTGGTTTGTGACTCCACTGCCATGTGTTTTGAAAAGCAGCATCTTATTATTTTGTCACACTGTCAGGTCTCCATGGTTGTAAATAGGCCCTTATCACACAAACTGAAACAACAGAGTAGAATGCCATGCTGCATTTGCTGATTGTTGTTCTACACAGGCCAGAGGACACAGCAGTGATGTTTGCCTTGGAGATAATAGCAGTCATCCTCCTGCTTAAATCTGCTGAACACTCACCTGCATAAGTGCACTTCTGGAATGGACAGGCACAGTGTGACCCACCAGCACATGCCAGAAGCTTTCACATTTTAGAAAAGAGCTCCTTGCTTTGTGATACAGCAGGCCCAATACAGAGATGCCAGCTGGATTCTTTGGATTAATGCTAACTACTAAAATTAGGGATTTCTTGTATTCCTCTTTGTTGTCTAATTTCCCACAAGCTAGATACACAGGAAAAATATTTCCAGAAACATATTTTCTGGAGTCAGCTATCACTTCCCTGGATCCCCAGCAGTTACTATTTTAAATGAATAATCTTGTCAGTTTGGCTGCTGTTTTTAGCCTGATGTTCTACGCACGAGAGAGCCCTGTAGATCCCAGGATCTGGGTGAAATCAGGACCCTCCTTGGTTAAATCACCAGACCAGTCAGTTTCAAATGAGAACTGAGTACCTTGCCACATTCCCAGTGTTGTGGGGTCACAGAAATACAGCTACATTAACAACAGTGATGGTTCTCCCTGAGAGTGGTTGTTTCCTCCTTGCAGCGGCCGTGTACGACAACCTGGACTGCTCTGATGTGATAGATTCACCACACTTCTCCATCGCCACCAAATTGCTCGAGGTAATGGACCCTCATCTTCTGCTGGTTCTTCCTTCTCCCATGTTCCATGAGCACACTGGCAGAGCACGTCTCTGGAGTTTATGTAGGAATTAACATTCAACAGGTATGTTGCCTCTGTCCTGCTGACACTCCAGTCATGCTGTTCCAGATGTCTCTCCAAGATGGGAGACCTTTAAATGGGACAGCAAGTTGCCAGTGGATGCTGCTAGACAAGCAGTTTGTCATAGTCCTCCTCCCGATATAAACTTTGCTGGATTTCCTTTGTTCACCTGGAATGACCAGGTTGCCATGACTGTTTCTCCAGGTGGACTCTAGTGAACTCCAGACCAGCCTCACAAACCTCTCCATCATTGTCCGAGGAGAAAGTGTGTCCAGACCTCTGAATGTGGTTCAAGCTGCCAATGGGAGGGATGCCTTTGTGAAGGTACTGGTGCTCACAGCTTTCCTGTTTAAGACTGGGGATGCTTTCAGAGCTCTCTTCCTGACTGAGGAGCTCCATGTGATAAACATTCACCCAGAGGGCTCCAAGCCCTTGTAGTTCTCAGGCATAGCTTGACAGCACAATAGCAAGCAGTTACATCCAAAGTCTCTAATGATTAGAGGGCTCTAATTCCTCTTTCATTTTTTTTCTCAGGGTATATATGGGCGGATTTTCTTGTGGATTGTGAACAAAATCAACTCAGCCATTTTCAACCCAGCTTCTCAGAAGCCTAAAGACAGACATCAATCCATTGGACTGCTGGACATTTTTGGGTTTGAAAACTTCAGCAACAACAGGTAGGAAACTCCAGATGCAATGCAATAGGAAGCTGAAAAGCAGCTGATGTAAAGGGAAGGAACGAAAAAACAGAGACATACTCTTTCATCTTTACCCTGATTCTCAGAAAAATGGTGAGAAGTCCATTACTGGATTTTCCCAGTTTTGATCATGCAGATTCCATTTTTCTTCAGTCTTGATCATATTTCTGCCTCCTTCCCCAGCCTTCATTTTAGTGCAGCCATTGCACATGTCTATTCCAGATCCTGAGGAATTTTCTGGCCTTCAGCCAGATAATGTTCCTCAGTGACTTTTGGAACAGAATCTAGGATCTCTACAGTGTGTCTTCTATCTTTTGTGTTCTCTCCTGTTATTCTGTGCTGTTCCCAAGACCTGCAGTCCCCATGGGGTCTCACTGTGGTGAGCACCCCAGAGGCACATTCAGTGTGCCACAGCAAGTACAAGGTAATGATACTCAGGTGCAGCATAAAGGAGTAAATAACAGAAGAAGTGGTAGCACCAGTGCAAGCAGAAACATGTCACATGCTCATAAGTGATTTTCACACTTACATATTCCCCTTTATCTCTGGAGTTTCTTGAAACACATAAAAGATCTTTATTGCCTACTCAGCAACATTCAGTCATCAGCTGGCTCATTGCTGCTGGTCTTTGCCACAGCAGAAAATGCTTCCCTTGTATTGCTAAGATTGGCAACATGCAGTGGTGCCAGTCACCAGCAGTGTGGAATGTGGCAGTGGTGTATCTGGAATGCATTTAGTGCAGAGGCTAAACAAATAGCAGAGAGCAGTGCAGCACTGGCCAAGGATGACCATGGGCTTTCATCTTGTTCCTCCCCAGCTTTGAGCAGCTGTGCATTAACATTGCAAATGAGCACCTTCAGCAGTTCTTTGTGCACCATGTCTTCAAGCTGGAGCAAGAGGAATACCTTGCAGAGCACATTGCCTGGAACAACATTGACTTCACTGATAACCACCAGGCTCTGGAAGTCATTGCACTCAAGCCCATGAATATCATCTCCCTCATTGATGAAGAGAGCAGGTTCCCAAAGGTAAATTTCTGGTTTCACTTGTAATGCCTGGCTTTGCACACAGCTCATGGGTAACACTTGGCTTTAGACACACAAAAGTGCAAAAATGGCTTTCAAATATGTTAGGAGAGGCAATATCTTCTTCCCATAGATGTTTCTTTCAAATTAGCTCACTACGCACCTGCTTCACTCTCTGCTGGAATGTGCTCTTCCTGGTGCCTTGCTGTTGAAACTCTTACAGCTGCTCCAGACAGAGAAGGAAGGAGTCTGGATCATTTTACAAGGGCTTCTTGGGAATCTTTGAAATCGTTCATTGTTTGAGTATTGTTCTGCTGTTGGTCTGGCAGCTTGCTCTTTCTTCCCCTTGCTGACAGACTTAATTGAGCAATGTCACTATTGTGAGGAACTGAAGGGGAACTACAGGCATGGCAGCTAACCTTGCTGCCAGACAAGGTCATAAACAGAACATTTTGAGCACCATCACAGAGCAGGTACAGAGCAACAAGTTGATCAGGCCCAGTCAGCAAGGGCCCTGCTTGACCAACCTGAACTCCTTCCATGACAAAGTTCCATGAACTCCTTCCATTACCTGCTTAGTGCATGAGGGAAAGTCTGTGGCTGTTGTCTGCCATGATTCTGTGATTCTGTGAAATGTTATCCTGCAAAGGTCAGTCATTTCAAAGAAGAAAAGCAGAGATGAAAGTAGCATCTGATCTCAGACATCCCTGTAGAGCATTTTCATAGTCTGCAGAGTATGGTGAGGCTAAACTGGAGTGTTGGTGCAGGAATCAGATGACAATGGAGGATGTCCAGAAAAGCAAGCCCCTGCCTCAGCTCATTTGTAGTCATTCAGATCACTACTTGATAGGATCATGTACAGGCAGACAGCTTTCACCTTTCTTCCCTAAGAAGAGGGTGGTCCCACAGATCAAGAAGCACCTCTTCCATGATTCCCAGAGCACATGACTTCTGAGAGCAAAGCCCCCACTACCCTGGGTGCAGGTGAGTGCAGAGAGCTCACATGGCCCACGAGGGGATGGCATCATGATGGCACTCCTTGTAAAGAAGCTCCCAGCTGACTGCCTAGCCTCTGGTCTGGGCATGGGATCTGGGATCTGGGATCTGCTCAGGGATTCTTCCAGGGATCTCTGAGTCTTGCACCAGCTGGGGAGTGCAAGAAGAACTGTGCCTGCCCAGGAGAAGGAGAAGGCATCCCTTACAGCTTTCTAGGTAGCAGGGCGTGAGAAGGTTGGTAGGGGCTTTGCTTGTGAGGTCCAAAGATCTGGTAAATTCTCAGCCCACCTGGTGATGTTGGTAATGTTATGAGGACTTATGTACAGCCCTAGTAAAACCAGGCCCTGTGCTTGATGGTGTGTTCTATCATGATGCTTGAGACAGGGGTCTGTGTAAAAGGAAGAATACTTTTGGCTCTTTCTCCAGATCTACTACACACATAAGGGCAGAATTTGAGCTTTTGTTATCTCTAAATGCCACTTCTGTTTGTTTGTTGAGCACAGGCCAGTGCTGGGGACAATCTGCTTAACCATCCTTTTTCACCTGTACTTGTTTCTAGGGCACAGATGCCACCATGCTTATCAAAATCAACTCCCTCCATGGTAAAAGTAACGTCTACATCCCACCTAAGAGTGTTCATGATACCAAGTTTGGCATCAACCACTTTGCTGGGGTTGTCTTTTATGAATCAAAAGGTGAGTCTACCTCTGCTGGAAACAGAGGGTGAAGGGAAGGGCATGACTTGCCCTGGATACATGAATGCATGATAGGTGCATGACCTGGATATGTAGCTCTCCAGGGCAGTGTTGATCTGAAGTTGATCAGGAGGTCAGAAGGATTACTCTAAACCCATCTGCAAGTTACTGTAAATTAAGTGGATTTTAGGTAGACACTGGTGCTAGAGCCAGCAGGCTGCAGAGGTGACAGGCTAATATTGTTTCCATCCTATAGATTTCTTGGAGAAAAATCGTGACACACTGAGTGCTAATGTAATGCAAGTGGTCCATTCCTCCAAAAACAAATTCCTGAGAGAGATTTTCCAGGTGGAAACAGCCCCACCTATTCTGGGACGTGGGACCATTCGGCATCTTGGATCTGACCAGGTCTACAAGGTTGGTTTACTGGCACTGTCTTGCAGAAACAACTAATTTCTCCTGCCTTCCATACAGCTCTGGCTGTTCTTGATCTCCTCTTTCTTTGCACTGCCTCTGCAAATCTCTGCCTCTTTCATTCAAATTGTTTCTGCCAAGGGGGCTGCAGGAGAAGTCAGGGTCTGGTGTTCATGCTGTAAACAAGTGCAAAGTCAGCCCTGTCAGCCAGGTGTGCACCCTGGATATCTGTGTAGCCATGCCTGCAGTTGTTTCAGAACCACAAGTCGTGATGCTTCCCCACATGTTGTCACTGACTGGACATCACTGTGCGACAAAGTTCATGATGGGTCATTATCACAGACTCCATTGATCCTGTTGTGTCTGTGCCTAGTGAAAATAAGGATGTGAAGTGCAGTGGACTAGAAAAACCGTGGGGCACAGTTCAGGTTCTCTGTCCTGCTCCAACTTCCACATACCTTGATTTCTGAACATTTAGCTATGCAGTGTCACCAGTATGTGAAGGTGCTTTCGCTTGTTTACATCTTTGAGTTTTCCTGTCAGGATACAGAACAATCAGCTTGCTGTCTTACCTGTTATCTGTCTATTCTCCTGGCATTGTTTTCTGATCTTGTCCTTTCTTCCTCTGTCTTTGTCCCAGTGTGGCTTTCTGCTGTCCAGAACACCTGGCCACGGACAGGTAAACATCCTGGGGGCAAAGAATGTCAGAAGTGGTAAAAGCAGCAGAAAAGTGGCTTAGCATCTCTTAAATGCTATGAATACCTCCAGATTAAATATCAGGTTTATTTACATTGCTCTAATGCTCTAACAGGCCTTGTCCCTATAAATAAGGCTGTGTTAATGAAAAAAAAGTACAGCAGCATCTCAAGAAAGGAAATACCAAATGGGCTACCCCATGTCAAAATGCACAGAAATTAGATGTTGATGTTCAAATAAATGGGACCACCATTGGGAAGCCTAAGAAGCAGGCTACAGAAAATAATAATGAATGTTGTGCCAGAAAACACTTTCTTGTCCAGAGGTCTCAGAGTTCCTTTCCTGACACACCACAACAGAAAAGTCACCATTAACTCAATAAAAAAAATTCAGCTTTAACAATGTTGCATGTGAGAGATCATGTGTGGCTATCCCACTGATGGTACTGCAGAAAGGCCACTAAGGTCTGAGAGTGAAAATCACTAAAATAAGTATATATTGTTATTTTACCACTTTGGGTGCTTGCTAGCCCTAAGATGCATCAGAGCTGCAATGAAACGTTCCCAGGAGTTGTTTTCCAATGACACAAATGATTGATCACTGGAGGGCAGCCTTGCCCTGTAGCTAAAGCAGAGGGTGGAAATCTGAGTATTCAAAGCAGCACTTTAGAAGTAAGAACAGCAGGATGAGATACCCTAAAGATCATGGAAGTGAGGGGGAGCCACTGGACTTTAAATTATTTACTTTGAAAAAATTCCAACAACCCCACAACGGACCACACTCCCCAAACAAACTAATAAACAAACAGGCTGTGGTGTGCTGCAATGATCAGCTCATTGCCTGTATGTAAAAGGCCAGTGGAGTCCTTGTGTTACTTGGAATCTGTACTGTTGGCACTGTAATTTAATGTGCCCACACTGACATGTAGAAACTTAGGCTTAATGTGATGATTTGTGTGAAAAAGACAGGTGGAACTGTGCTGTCAGAGAGGCTGGGGAAGTCTGGAGTACCTCTTAGTTTATATTCCAGTAAAAGTTGCCTTTTCACTGCTTGCCATAGTATTAATGGGCAAGATGATCAGCCTAATCAGACCTAATCATTAAGGAATGGGCTGTTCTGGATCTTTAGCATTCCTAGCTATGGTGGCAGCAAAATATCTGGCCTGGAGTTTATTCCTGCTTTGGAAGTGGCTGTTTCTCACCAAGCTTTCAGGCACGCTCCCAGGAATCACAGCTTGTACCCAGGCCTGGCACTAAACACAGCCTTGGATGGAACAGACAGGTGCATGTGGGCTCCTGTGGGTGGAATTACTTCCACCACAGCCACCCCTGCTGCTAGAACTTAGTGCCCAAGTAGCTGAAAGCACTTAGTGAGGGGTTTCTTTACAAGAATAAACTCAAATTAATAAGGTACAGATGGCCAATGTAGCTCCCATATAGGTAAATAATTTTTTTCTGGTGGTTGTGTGATACTGTACATTGTACAAAAATACAAAGGTTTATTCATTGGCCTCTGAGAGCGAATGATGTTGCAGTCAGCATGTGCTTTCTCTTCCCAGGGCTTGGATACCACCAAGCGGCTCTCGACACTGGGAGGACAGTTCAAGCAATCCCTGGAAAAACTAATGAAAATCCTTGAGCAGTGCCAGCCATACTTCATCCGCTGCATCAAGCCAAATGACTACAAGAAACCACTGGTAATGCTCTAACAAGTCTCACCTTTGGTAAAGTTTGTAATGAGAAAAGGCTCTCAGTTTCTGGGTAACATTTTATAGCTGTACTTGCTGCATCCAAGAAGAGTTGGAGTACAGGGTAATCCTGCAATAAACACAATAGGAGGATATAGCATGGTTAATTTACAAAAGCATCTCAAAAAAGCACCGCAGAGTAATGGATAGCAATAAAGCACACAGGTGTATTCCTGAGTAGTTATAGACACGTTTTCAGTGTCTATCTTTTCAGTAAAGATAAAGACAAAACTGAAAAGTCTGTAGCCCCTCAACACAGGAACAAACAAAAAACATCAGGATCAACAATGATCATACTATGAAATAGCCTGAGAGAGAATAGGAGAGCTATGGCAGTTTGTGAGAGGGGTGATTTGGCTTAATCTGACACACAAGGAAGAGCCCATTTGTCATTAGGACACGTGGCTGGGTCTTGGGGGATTTTGACCTGGTTCTACTCTAAAACCTTGTAAGGTATTGGTCAAATGATTTAAAAAGTTTTGAAGCATTGCATGTTGCTTAGTGAGCCAATTTTTAAACTCAGATAAGACTAAATAATAATAAGAAAAGAGCAGTATGCCTGCTGTGCTTTGCATGGTATGCCCAAAGGCCTAAGTTGCTAATGCATCTATTCAGACCTACAAAATTATATGATTAATTCACTGTTCATCTGAAATTGCAGTTCTAGAATGAAAACGGTAGCCAGACTGAAGTAAACAGACTGTTTCTACTGCTGACATACACAAAATTGAAGACCCTTTGGGGTGACTTGTTTATGCTTGTAATGAATTAATTTAGTGCATGGAAGAAAAATACAATTTTAAAAATCACAGTATGCCATTTTGCAGGCCCTCTGAGGCTGGGGGTTAATAGACATGTTCTGAGGAATACTGCAAGTGTACCCTTTGCTCAGGGCTAAGTCTCCTCCTCGTCTGCTTTCCCTTTCAGTTGTTTGACCGGGAGCTGTGTATCAAACAGCTGCGATATTCAGGGATGATGGAGACCATTCAGATCAGGAAAGCTGGGTACCCAGTTCGCTACAGCTTTGAGGAGTTCTTTGAGAGATACAGATTTCTTCTGCCATGGTCTCTTCGACAAAAGGTGTGTAAGCAAAAATAGGGTTTAAGGCTAATCTAACTTTTCCTTATGAGGCTTTAGTCTTTCCCACAGTAGAAAGTTCTTGAATTACTGCTGGCAGGGTTGTGAGAGCTGTCAGCACAAGAGAAGTCAGCACAGGAACTGTTATCACAATAATTATAGCTAAACAGTTAAGCTATACTTCCTTCAACCTTAGCATGAAAACAGAGCTCCTTTGAGGTCCAGCTGTCCTTGGCCTGCTCCTCAAAGACATTCGAGGTAGGGTACTATCCTCATTCCCATTGCCCTCAGATGTTTTTTTACTGTGATCACACAATTCTCAGGTCTCTGATTCCTCCTCACACCTTGACCCTGGAATGTTTAGTCATGTAATCACATTCCTCCTCTTCCTGACCATTTGAGCTGAACCACTTTCATTCATTGTATTGTCAGCCTAGAGGTATGCAGGACCTCATCTGTTTCTGCTCTTCAGCCTTTGGAATGCAGGGCAGTAGATCCTTGCATAGCACTTGCTGTGTTTCACAGCCAAGCCCTAACATCATGATGCTTTTGCACATCAGCTGAAGAATGATACTCGAAAGAGCTGCATCAGCATCTCTGAAGCAGTGCTGGGCAAGGATGAGAGCTGGCAAGTTGGAAGGACCAAGATTTTCCTTAAAGTAAGTAAAAAGGACAGATTATTGTCTTTTCTCATGAAAAACTGGATGCTTCACAGTACAGCTTGGCCTGCTTGTGCAAGAGTGCCTTGTGCAAGGAGGACTGGGTTATCTTACAAACTCTCTCTTGAGTCTGAGGGTGGATCTTTTTTCTTGGAAACCAAATAATTCAATGGAAAGGGTTTGGTGTAGGAGAGGCTGATCCTGTTTCTGTGCTAAAGGGCTGCAGCTGAAACAGAACAGTGCAATGAGTTAGAGCATAAAAAAGAACAGGATACCAGTGCACTGTTGCAGAGGACCACCTTGCCTGTAGCATACCCCCTGTTGAAAACAGTCTTGCTGCAGGCAGATTCTTGCTTGTTTATGGCAATAGCTAGACCAAGTCTGGTCAAGTGGTGTGCACTCTTCCTACTGCAGTTCCATAAATGCATTTTAGTTACATTATGCTGCATCATGCTGATTAGGGGTCTCATTCACATCATGTGTTTCCATTTCCAGAGGTTGTGTCTGCTAAGGTGGCATATCCACACTTTCTTTTACAGGATCATCATGACACTGTACTGGAGCTGCAACGCCAAAATGTACTCACAGATAAGGTTCTTCTTATCCAGAAGGTGATGAGAGGATTGAAGGATAGGTCAGTGATCTTACAGAGGAGAATTTGCTTTATTTTGTTGTAGCTAATCTTTGTGGTGCAGCTTAACACACTCTGTGCAGCATTTTTGAGTATGAAATGTATCAGGCTGTACCTTCCACCAGCCCTAAATTACATGCTCATCAAGTAATAATGCACAGTGTATCTGAGCAGATGTTGGACAAAGATTTGTTTTGGCTCAGTTTTGTTATTTTAGTGATGTTTTTCAAAATGCACAGCTGTGGCATGTATGAAAAGGAAGGTTTGAAAGGAGGACTTGCTCTTAATATTTTTAGTAAACAGTAGACATCTGGAAAGCAGGAAATCCCCATGGAATCAGTGTCCTTCTCAGAGCTACAAGAATTCTCTTATTTAGGGTGCTTCTTGGATACAAGACATTGATAAGAATCAGATGGAAACTAACTAGTCCTTCTCTTTGCCAAAGATGCCCAGTTCTTGAATTGTGTCTGGTTTAGTTTGAAATATCTTCAGAAGTGAAATTTAGTCACTGTCAAATAAATGTTTGTCCTCATTAAATGCTTTACATCATGATTTGTACTCATGGATCTTGTATCCCCTCAATCAGAACCATGATATAGGACTGAGTCCTGGTTTGGTTTAGAAATACTCTTGACCATAGTGAAGGAAGAACCAAAAAATATGACACAAATGCCCCAAAATGTCCCTTTTTTTCAGACTCTGCTATCCAACAGAGTATCCAAACCAAAAGCGTCACCTTGCTTTTACTTTTAATCCATCAGAGCTATGTGCTGCCTTTTTCAGCTGCAGTGTGACAGTTTGTACCATGGGAGGTTCATCTTGCTCAGATGGGCTCCTCATCCTGCAGCAAAACAGAGAGAAAGAGATTGCTAGATGGGGAAGTTAACTTGTACAGTCATGATGTGAGGGGTTTTCAGTTCTTACAGAGTTCTCTGAGCACAGCAATTAATTTGGTCTGTAGTTGCTATGAGTATTTTTACAGCAAACAAGGCTGACATCAGACTGTGGTCATCCCATAAAAGAGAAAAAAAGCCACCTTATTCTCTACTACTATCCTAAGAAGCAACGCAGATAGCCTATTGTTTGTCACCTCACATGTCCGTCTGCTTAGGAAGCAGTTCCTGAAACAGAGGAGGTCTGCTGTAGCCATTCAGTCAGCCTGGAGAGGCTACTGCTGCCGGAAGGAATTCAGAATGGTAAGATGAAGGTGTATCAATGAATATATATTTGTGTGTGTGTGTTTATATACTGTGCCCTGCCAGACTGAGTGGAGTATTAGGAATTAAGATATTCTCAACTGAAGGGAGAATAGATAAGATGACAGGGTGTAAAGGAGCGTATAAAGTCCAAGGAGGGCTCTGGGACCTCTCAGGGCTTGCTGAACCTGTGACACTTCTGCTTTTCAGTGAAATAGGAACCCAACTCACCTCAGCAGGCCTGGCTCCAGAGACCTGACCAGTGGTCCCATGCTTCTTATAATCAAAAACACAAGCCTAGCCTTTGTGCATCATCACCATGCTATGAGCAAAGTGTCTTCCACAACTGCTGCAAGAAAACTTTTTTGTTTGGAATTTTACAAATTTTGGAATTTGTAAAAAATTACCAGAAAAGTCATTATATCAATCTCACATTATTAAAAATTTTGCCAGGTGATGTTAAGATTCAGATTAGATATTCGGAAAAAAAAATTGCTGAAAGAGTGGTCAGGCACTGGAATAAGTTGCCCAGGGTGGTGGTGGAGTCACCATCTTGGGACATGTTGAAGAGGTGCCTGAATGTGGCACCTGTCACTATGGTTTAGGGGTAGTTATGATGGTGCTGGATTGACAATTGGACTAGATAATTCTGAAGGTCTCTTCCAACCTTGATGATTCTGTGTGAAAAATATTGGCTGATCTTCTACACATGGTGCATTTTCTGGGTGAGGAAAACTGGGGGCACTCACAGATTATGTATTCGTGTGGCAGGGAATATTATTATTATAATTATATCCCATGGGATTATTATTATTATAATTATATCCCATACATCCCATTTGAGATGGGAAGGAGGAGAAACTGCCAGTTTCAGTCAGAAACATTCTATATTCTGCATCAGTGATGCAATTCCTGTCTGCTTGTTTCCATTCACCTGGCTTCATTTCTGCTCTGTTCCTTCTCTTGTCGTAATCCCAGGATACCATTGTCAGTTTCTGGAGCCACTCCCTAGAACAGATCCCCCAAATAACTCTCTATACTAGCTTTAAAGGCCTATTACTGGTAGAAAGTAAAGCATGACGGGTAATGTTACATTAGCCACTTCCAATGTCTTCATCCAGTCACCGAATTTTGTTGTCTTCTACTCATCCCACCTTATATCCCAACCCATCTCAATGGGTTTGGAACCAAAATGACTTCTTCTTTCTGCACCACCCCCAGGTGCTGCTGGGCTTCGGGCGCCTGCAGGCGCTGTACCGCAGCCGGCAGCTGGCCCAGCAGTACGAGGCCACCCGCGCGCGGATCGTCGGCTTCCAGGCGCTGTGCCGCGGCTTCCTGCTGCGCCAGAGGCTGGCAGAGCAGAAGAAAGCTGCGTGTGTCATACAGGCTTATGCAAGGGGCATGCTTGCTCGCCAAACCTACCAGAGGATAAAGAGGGAGGTAATGCTCATGATAGCTTGTGAATACATTGTTTCTATGAAATTCCAATAGAGATTTTATCGCAGGCAAGCGTTGCCTTAATGTAGCACTGGGTGTGGATATTCATTTTGGGGTATTTTAATTTGAACTCTTGCCAAGTGCAAAACCAGAGTGTTAAGCAGACTGATCTTGTTTACATTTGCTTTATGTGATTGTTATCCTGGATCAAATCTTCACTGATACAGCTGCAGTGACTGTGACAGGAGGAGAAAAGATAAGATCTGTGTGTATCAGCCAGTCCTACAGAGGGAGATCAATTTCTACAGCAGGGTGGCACTCAGGGAACCATTCAGAAGGGAATCCCAATGCAGTGTCTTGGTAGGTGCTACCCTTGGCAGTCCGTAGCACAGGAGAGGCCTCTCCCTGATTTCCTTTCTGTACTAGTGCTGTACAAGCAGGACTAAGCCAGTTTGAAGATTTCTGCTTGTGGCCTGTTCCATAAAATATCAAATCTTGAACTAAGCCTCTGTTGGGACAAAGTCCTGGTGTGGACAGCTTGTTAAAGGCAGAAGGGAATTGGCTCAGCAGTTGTACAAACAGTGACAGAATAGTCCTGTTGTCCACAGAACAAGCTGGAACCCAGGAATATCCACTTGAAAGAAGAGAAACATCTCATCCAAGTCCTGGGACCACTGAAAGGAAGGGAAGAAAAGGTAGGTATGCTGTTGGAGGAACAGTGGCCAGCATTACCCAGCTCACACCTGTGGACTTGCTCAAACCTCTGAGCACTGCTATATTTAAAGAAAGATAAGACATAGTTGTAACCCTATTTGTAATGATGCTTTGAAAATATAACAAGGCAAACACATACACATTTCTGATTGCAGGTTAAGGTGGCACTTTAGCCAAATATGCACAATACTATTACAAGTCTCCTGACACAAAACATTTAAAAATTTTCAATATTGTGGGATTTTCTGTTAGAAATTCTGTGCTTTTCCTGTGTTATCTCTTGTTGATTAAATTCTTGTATAATTGCACGTCATTATCAATATGCCAGCAGTCCATAAAGACAGCTGTAAGAGCAGGGCCCTGCTGCTCATGGGCCAGGTCTTTGTGACTGCTTGGCAGTCACAAAGCAACATTTGACTTCCTGTTTCAACACTGCACTGGCAGAGCTGGACCTCATAGTCACACACCTTTGTAAAAGTGTTTCATCTTCATACCTCTTCACTCTAGCAGAATGATGTTCATGATCAAGTCATGTCTATTTCTGTGTTTGAAGGAACACCTGCCAACTCAGGACAGAGAGGAGGCAGAAGCAAGACAAAGGAGGAACGTGCTTGCCAATAAACCAACAAATCATGATGTTATCAGTGACCAAGAAATGGTGGACAAAATTTTTGGGTTTTTACCTTCTATGATTGGAGGCCAAGAAGGACAAGCTCCTCTGGGTTTTGAGGTACAGAGCTGCAGACTGGTAATGGGTCATGCTTATCCCATGTGTAAGCCCACTGATTGTTGGAATTCCATCAGTGGTCAGTTCTGTTTAGTGAACTTCTGTACAGTAAAAGAATCCTCCAAATTAGTCATCCAGTCAGTAAGGCATCTCTTGCAGAGGTGAGTTCCCAAAAGTTTTTGCTCACATGCAGTTTAGGGACTATATAGCTTCAAACTTTGCATTTGTTTCTTTCGCCCAGCCAAACAGTACCACCCTCTGCATTTTGGCATCAACCTCATGCTCTGCTGACAGTGCTCTCAGTGATTTTCTGCCTGAAACAAGCTGAAAGTTCATGACCCAAGTTATACCATATTCTAGAAGGCAACATTCGTGATATACTTGTCCTGATAGCTGGAGAGGTTGGAAGTTTGTAGGAAGAGGTGGGCAGAAAAAAATAGTATGGATAAGTACAGGATGTGAACAGTAACACCTGGATTTTCCATCAGCAATATTCTTGCTGAGGACCAAGACAGGAAGACCATGTGGAATGGATGCATCTCAGAAGGACAAGCTCTGTGTCTAAATGATCTGTTGGTAGCAACTGTAAACGGCTTTGGGATTAGCTGGAAAGGCAAATTCTGGAAGATCTGTGGCCAAGGGGAAATAAAAAAAACCAAACTAAACATAAGCATATCAGAGTTCAGTAAAAGAAAATATGCTTCTTCCTCATGTTCTGCACAGGACTTGGAAACAAAGCCTAGCAAGCTGGAGGAAGTGGACCTGGACATGGTTCCCATGAGTGTGGAGCTAGAAGAGGAAGCACATGGTTTGGAAGAGTACACCTTCCCCAAGTTTGCAGCTACTTATTTCCAGGGGTCTTCCACACATACCCATATCCGGAGACAGCTGCGGCACCCACTGCTCTACCATGATGACAAGGACAACGTGCTGGTATCTTGCTCCTTGTTGTTCATGTTGCACCTGCTCTCTCCACAGCCCTGGCTTTACAGGTCTTATCATCCTTGGGTCGTGGCTCTGGCACAGCCCTGGGAACCAGAGACTGCAGAGCCAAGGAGATAGTCCGGAGATAGTCCTGAGCCATAGCATTGAAAGCAGCAGTTCCCATCAGCATTTTTGGCTATTTGCTGGCAGGCACTTCACACAAACACCTGCCCAGTGGAGGGTCTCTGGTCACCTTTGTTCTTGCCCAAAGAGGGAACTCAGGGGTGTGTTTTGACTTCTCCAGACACCCTTTGGGGACAAAAACGGACTGGAGAGAAGAAGCATGAGAGCTTATCCATGTCTCTGCTCTTGTTAGGGTTGCTGGTTTGTGAGATAGGACAGAAGGGGGAGGGCCAGGCCTCCAATAAAGGTAAAGGAAGAAAATGCTCTTAATCTAAACAGGAAGAAATGACATGGAGCCATTGGTCCTGTTGGCATTGTCTGACTGTGCTTTCTGCTACTATAGGCTTCTCTAGCTGTGTGGGTGATCATCCTGAGGTTCATGGGGGACCTGCCAGAGCCAGCAATGTTTGCCAAGAGTGCCACCACCAAGAGCAGCTCCGTGATGACACAGATATATGACACACTTGGCAGGAAAAACCAGGTCCAGTTGAGGAATGACAGCCCAAATATGGTGAGACAAGCAGGCTATATTTGTGTTTTTATTTGCTTTCCTTGGTTTCTGTGCTGTTCTACCAAGAGTGAGAAAAGCAAAGGAACTCTTTCATGCTACTGTACTTGAAATACCACAAGTGCAAAAGTCCTGGCAGGACACTCAGCTCTTTCTGGCAGGAGAGGAAAAAATAAAAACATCTTCACTTGAGCATCTTTCTGTCCTTAATGAATCATTCTTGCTGTGCATTAAACTGATTTCCTATAATGGTAATGTGTGTTGCAGAGAGAAGGCAGAAGGGATAACAAGATTTCTAAGGGGATTTCATCCCTGAAACTGAAACGGTCATCCAAGCTGACAGGGAAGGTAAGAGGTGGAAATAAATTGTATCCCTTTCTTCTTGCCTGAAACTCTGTCTTCACCTTCTGATAGATGTTATGTGAGCAATGTTCAGCTGAGAACTTGTTTCCCTGCCAAGCCAGGGCAGCCCTTTGTGGGATATGTGGTGCAGTGTTCTTTGGATGTGATCCCCTTGTGCACTAATATCATCTGTTCTCTGGCAGAGAACACAAGGAGAAATTTATTACTGAGAATTGTTGGCATTACAAAAGAGCTTGCCCAGAGGCCTGAGCAGACTGAGAACCATGTGCTTAGGGCTGTACAGGACAGTACAAGCAAGTTCTCCTAGCCAGGGATAGTGCTGTAACAACACATTTAATGAGTTATCTTTAGAGGGAAGGGGGTAATATGGCCTGGTTCTCCTGCACTGAGCAGGAAGAGTTTTAGCCAGTAAGATAGAGAAGGAATGTCTCTCATATATGGGAGAGATTCCTGCTAAGAGAGAAGATTTCTAGAGCACTCTGGGGTTCTACTCTGTTTCTTTCAGGTGACAGAGCAGCTACGAAGTGGAGAAGAGGCTTTCCAAGAGGACATGTCGATCTCTCAGAGACCTATGTCCAACCTAGAAAAAGTACACTTCATTATTGGCAATGCAATTCTGCGTCCTGCCATCAGGTAGGAAATTTGTACCCTCTTCCTAGGGCCAGGTGCCTTTGCATCAAGGAAATCCAGCATCCTTTTTCCACAGTCCTGGAGAATGACTCCCTTATTGCCTTTTCTGGTATTTTCATGTTGCAGTTTAGGCCAGCTGCCTCCATGTATGGCTTTCTGAATACCCCACAGGTATGGAAAGGGGCAGAGCTCAGGGCTGTAACTCAATAACACTTGAAGGTGGAGCACTGCCCTAGAATGAGGGAGGAGTCACTCAAGAAGAGTAAGAAATATGGAGTTAATGCATAGTAGGTGGATGAAAGGTTTCCCAATAGCCTCTTTTTGAGCACTCAAGCAATGTCCCCGCATCGGAGATGGTCAAAGGTGTGGACTGCTGAGAGTATCAGACACTAAGGAGAAACCCTGACTACAAGCAGTGTGAGGCTGGACCTTGAGCCAAGCATGGTGTGAGAATATAGCAGAAGCTTGTTCATTCTGAGCTGACCTCATGAATCCTCTCCTTTTTTATCCTAAGCACTTTTCTGTAACAAAGCCCACGGATACAGGCTGTGCCTTGACCTCAGTCATGGGCTGCATTCCTCTCTTCACAGTCACTTTGTTTCAGTCAAGACACCCCCTAAAGAAGATTCTCTGCTGGCAAAAATTGCATTCAATCCACATATCATAGGCTATGTACCTATACCCTTGGTTTGTGTTTCATCAAATGTCCTATGAGGGAACAGAAAACTCATCCAATTTATGCCCTCTCACATCAGATTTGACAAATGTGTGTTCCAAGAGTATAAAAAAAATTAAGATGATTTTTTAATAACAGTTTTATTTGTGTGCAGATTTTTGCATCTGTTTCCCTTAGGTCCTTGCTGCAGATAACTTGCATTTTCAGAAGCTTACTCTGAAGTGCTCCTTTCTCCATTTCTGTATAAGATACACTCCAAGTTTGTATATAAATATAAATAAAATATATAAATATGTAAATATATAAATATATAGATATAAACCTAAGCAGGGTGTACCCCATCCTTATCCCCAAATCCACCTACAAGCAGACAGACAAGAGCCATGAGCTACATCCCACATGCTGTAGAGAGCTCAGAGCAAGTTACACATCTAGACTCTTGGACAGCAATGCCATTTCACAGCTGGATGACCCAGCAGTTGTTTTTCCTGCACAGCCCCCTGCTTCTCTCAGAAGTTAATTCAGCATGGGAATTGCACCTGAGTAAGAAGGGGTGGCAAAAGGCTCTAAGCATGCCTGGAGCCTTTTCTACAACAAAGCTATTTCCTGAGGTGCTTTACAGGTGCTGTCTTAGCTGTTGTGGTTGAACCTAGCTCAGGTCTACCTCATCATGCTGCAAGCCTGCCAAGCTTGCAGTCTGTAGCCAAAGACAGTTTAGACAGTGAATTATCTGTTGCTCTCACATGTTTTGTTACAGAGATGAGATTTATTGCCAGATTTGCAAACAACTCACAGAAAACAGCAACAGGAGCAGCTATGCTCGTGGCTGGATCCTTCTGTCACTTTGCCTTGGCTGCTTTCCTCCTTCAGACACGTTTGTGAAGGTACACTGCTTAACCCTTCCTACTACAGCAGCTCACACGCCTCAGCTGAGTTGGTGTCTTGTGTATTTTGATGTTTTGATGCTGACAGCCACATAAAATGTTTGGCTTCCAGAGTAGCTGGTGCTGTGGTTTCAGCATAAACTTTCTCTTCTCATATGCTTATCTGGGAATTTAAATAAATTATTGCTGCATTCACATTTAATTTTTTTTTTCATTACACATCATACAGTGTGGATTCTGTTGTTGATCACAGCTCTCATTTTAGATCTATAATCTGCAAGGGATCTGGCAAATTTTAACCTCTCCAATTTTGTCTTTCCAGCCAAAGACAACCAAAGATGTCTCCAGTTACAACCCTTGTGATTAAATATATTCAGGAGGCCAGTACAAAATCACAGCCCTAAGTTTTATCAGTCCTTACCCTACATCTCTAAGCTCTAAAAAGTCAAATAGATACTTGCACTTTTATATTATTTATTAATTTCCAAGTTAAAATGGATGATAAATCCACTTCACCACAGGATAAAAACTCAACCTGTAGCTCCAACTTGACATCAGGCTTCCTCTTAGATCTGAGAGGCAAACAGGATCCATGGACGTTCATGAAACTTCAGCCTTGCTTTACTAACGCCCCAGTTCAAATAATCAATCTAATCATAAATGCTGCTAAATGGACACTACGTGGAACAAACCAGTCACAAGCCACAGGCATATTTTGACATCAGTCTTCATCCAAATTCTTGGAAGCATGCAGAATTCATGAAAGACATGACCATACCCTACCTCTAGGAATATTTTTAATCATTAAAATAACCAGGTGAATGAGGCACGCTTGCACTAAATACAGATACGTAAATACAAGTCCGTGTCATCCAAGAGCCATACAGACTCCAAAAGCTCAGTTTGTCCCCATTCATCTCTTCAAATGTCCCATCTTAATCATGGACTTCAGTTAATATTACCAGAGAACTTGGTGGAACTAAAAGTATCAATCATCATTAGACCTAATCTGCCATTAGCCCTCTTCCCAACTCTTCCATTCATACGGCATGTCATAAGACTTCGGGTTGAAAACACTAACTCTTGCTCTAACCTAACCATAAGAATAAAGTCTCCACTACTCAAGCAGTTAAACATGGTGCATAGACTGACACAAATCTTCTCTCCCTTTGGACTGAAAGGTCTGAAGAATGAGTGAAAACTAAGTATCTCAAGCCTCCTCTTAAAACACATTAATTCCAACCCTAATCTTTACTATCTTCTGGTGAACTGAAAGCTAATGGGTTATTGAAATCTAGTTTATCAGCCGCAGAAGGTTTTTAATGTTTTCTGAGGATTAATGTATCCTAACTCCTTCTCCTGCTCTGTAGTACCTGTTGAATTTCATCCACCACGGGCCCACGGGCTATGCTCCATACTGTGCTGAGCGTCTGAGACGCACCTACAGCAATGGGGCCCGGACTGAACCTCCCAGCTGGCTGGAACTTCAGGTAGCAGATCTCTTTTGACTTAATTATATTGATCTGGGACATTTTGTACTAGTTTTTGTAAGTATACTACTTACTTTGTAGTTATACTGCATTCACTAACCTGTAATAGCAGACGTTCCTAAATCAAATAATGGAAATCAATTGCACAAGGGGATTGAAGACCAGCCACCTTGGTCTGGGCAGTTATTTGGATACACCTCTTCTGGCTATTCAGTTACCCTAAATGCAGAAGAATATGTAAGCAGCAGCAGATGATTTGCAGGTGGTACCTCCATCCACTCAGGAACCACAGGCCAGAAACAACCTCCTGAGGAAAGCTCTTACTATCACTTTTGGAAAGAACTGAGCAAAGCTTATGCTTTTAAAATAAAAGGAAGAAGGAAGTATGATGGTGCTATATTGTCCTCCACTTCCTTTAAATGTCACCCTAGTAACTAAAAATCATGCCCCCCACCCCTCCCCCCACCTTTCAAGTAAAGACCTCAGTTCAGTTCCTCCCTAAATCTCAGGGACCCTATTGCTTAACACACATCTTCCTGGGCAGTGTGCTTGCTTCAGGCCATGTCTCCACTGATGCACGTAAGGCTATTCCCAAAAGTCATCAGGACAAATGTGGCTCATGAAAAGTCTATCAGTTGGCACTGTTATGTGATTATCAGCTCTACTGAGCTGTGAGGAGGAGAAAACTTGAGTCCAGTGCTACTCCAGGGATGTAATTTATATTTACAACTCACCATACTTTGAAGAAACTGTGTGGGTGTTGGTGATTCACTTAAAGATTGTGGACCAGGTTGTACAGGGTGTGTTGCTCTTAGATCTAAAAGCTTACTTCATTCTTCAGAAGAAAGTAAGGTTTGGCCATAATTTTTTTCTCTCATTTAACTCTGACTTCAGGCAACAAAGCAGAAGAAACCCATTATGTTTAATGTCACCCTGATGAATGGCCAAAGCATCACTGTCCCTGCAGACTCTGCTTCCACTGCCAAAGAGATCTGTCAGTTCATAGCAGATAAAACCAAACTGAAGGATGTCTTTGGGTTTTCGCTCTACATTGCTGTGTTTGATAAGGTAAAGTTTAGAAAAATAGAATGGAAGCTCCCTTCTTTGTCTGTGGAGTTGCTGCTGCCCACCCAGTCTCAAATGAGGACTCCTGAATTCTGGAACACCCTCAACCCAGTCCTGCAGTGAAACTAAATCAGTTCTGAATCCCAGCTGGATCTCAAGCCTGATAATCCTATTCTGCCTTTCTCTTGGCTCATCACTCAGCAATTCTTGCTGCAGCCCTCTAAGGTTTCCTATGCCACGTAGCTGACTAGTAAAAATACATCCACTTACCACATACAACTTCCATACTCATCTGCTTACCTTTCTGGAGTTTTTCTTCCCGTCAGGAGAGCAGGAGCTTTGTGTTTGTGGTCCTTTGGGCAGACCCAGGGCAGGCATGCCAGTAAACGCAGTGTCCCTTTGCGGCAGGTCTGGTCGCTGGGCGGGGGCCGGGACCACGTCCTGGATGCCATCTCCCAGTGCGAGCAGCTGGTGAAGGAGCGGGGCATGCACGAACGCCACGCGCCCTGGCGCCTCTACTTCCGCAAGGAGATCTTCACCCCCTGGCACAACTCCCGGGAGGATCCTGTCAGCACTGACCTCATCTACCACCAAGTCATCCGGGGCGTTCGCTTTGGAGAGTACCGCTGTGAGAAGGTGATCTCCTGATTCATCCTCCTAAAGAGACAAAACTATATTAATGCTTCCCACGTTAAAAAGCAGGAATATGAACTGAGTTTGTAGTGGATGTGAACAACCCTTCCCTTCTTAATGAACAATCCTGTGTCCAGGTGATTGTACCAGCTGTCACACTGCCAATTCTAATTAATACTTTTTCCTTCCTTGCAATGTGGGAGCTTGGAGGCATGTCCAAAGGGGCAAATTGGGTCGTACTTTAAAATATCTTTGCTAATAATCTCTCTGATATTATGATTTTGTGAAGTTCACCCCTCCTCATGCTGCGTGACTGTTAAGAGTTATCCAGACAAAAACTGAGAAAATCCCATTCCTAAATGGTTCAAAGTTGAAAGAGGCTATCTAGCCATTTTAACATCCTTCTAGGCCTCTTTTAATGGATTAATTGTTTCAGGAAGAAGATTTGGTGGAGATAGGTGCAAAATATTGTTATATCCAATTTGGAGATACCATCCACAATGAACTTGTGCAGAAGGTGCTCCATGACTGTATTCCAGTAAAACAGCTGAAGTCCAAGCCCCTGGAAAAGTGGGTGAGCCTTGTAACCTATGCACATGCTAAGGTAAGAGGTTTTGTCAGGCACTGCTGGGTAACCACTCTCGAGCACCAGCTTCTGCTTCTTTCACCATTTTTATTTATTAATAGTCTGTAGGGGAAGAAGGAAAACCAGCTTAGTTTGTAGATCCCAAATAGCTCAATAGGTCTGGGGGAGCAGAAAACCTTTCCACTCATAGTTCCATATGAAGAGCAAGAGGGAAGAATGAAAAAGTACATTTAAATCTCTGAATAGAGTAGCTCTTAAGGCTCTATTTTCCATCTGATGACCTAGTCAGGATGGGCATGGCATGAAGTATTGGTTTTGATCTGGAAAGAAGGATTCAGGATTACCTGAATTATTTCCACGGCATCCAAGGTGTGTTAGACTTTGAACAGGTCAGATAGGTCAGTGGGGATTTGAGGGAAATTTGGAATCCAGATACCTGTGGGCATGGTTAGCTGCATGTGGGTCCCTGGAGACCATTCCTGATTTACTTTCTCCAAGTTCCCTTGACACCAGTAACAGCAGAGGATTGTTGGGATCTCTGGGATTTGGCTTGCTCTTTATTGTCTGCAGATCATGCAAACCAGATTTTACTGAGAAAACCTTGTGTGTGTTTTTTTCCTGCAGGCCCCATACACACAGGACCATCTCTCCTCTCAGACTGTGAAGGAGCAACTTGTAGATTTTGCTCGCTTTCAGTGGCCTTTGCTTTTTTCCAGATTCTTTGAAGTCACTAAGTTTTCAGGTAATACCTGGAGCCTGGGAGTAGAGGACAGATACAAGATGAATAGGAGAAGACTTGTATAGCATTGATAAGGATTTTTTTTCTGTATTTTCAGGACCCAGCTTGCCTAAGAACCACTTCATTATTGCTATAAATTGGAAAGGCATCTGCTTCTTGGATGAGTCAGAAAAGCGGCTCCTTGAGCTGACCTTTCCAGAGATAACTGGCATCCACACCAACAGGTGAGGGCTCCAGAAAGACAAGATCTGAAGATGGCATCTCTTCCATACTCAGAAAGAGTGTACCTTCTCTGCCACCTCCTTAGGTGATTTGATCTGCGCCTGGAAAGGTGGTTTAGTCTAGGTCCGGGAAACAGAAAGGGAAAACTGAGCAGCCTGTAAAGGAAATACTGAGAGGACTGGATCCTTCCAGCTGGTGTAAAGTGATCCTGTTCAGTCAGAAAGGTGGAAGGAAACACAAGCAGGCATTAAGACAAGAATGGCCCAAATAACTGACACAGTTAAGTCACTGTCTGTTGTGCATGCTGGGAGTTCACATATTTCTTGGGTGTCATGGACCAGAAGAGGATCACTGAGAAAAGCTGTTAACTACTGCTTGCTCATGGCACACATCCTTGCATCAGGTCACTCGGAGAAAAGGGTCTTACATACACAAAAAAGCCCCCTGTGAGGACTGCCAGAGATTTAATTAGTTGTTGAGTTACTCCAAAAGAAGGGTGGTTTTTTTTCTATATGAAAGCACTTTTGTACAAAACATGGTGGAGTCCAGAGCAAAGCTGAACCACTTCAGTCCTTCACACCTGCCAGCTCGTGGGAAGTAAAATTAGGAACTACCAATATTCACTGTAAGGAGTTATCTGCAAGGAGATGTGGGTGCCTTGGCTGTGTTTACAGATGGGTCTGTAAGTTCTTCAGATGCTCTGGTAACAAATTGTTCAATAATACATAGGGCAGTGAAATCATTTGGACAGAGCTGCACTCTCATCACACTCCGTGCCGAGGAGTTTGTCCTGACGTCTGTAAACAGCGTTGTCATTGCTGAACTGGTGGTGATGTTCCTGGAAGGACTGAAGAAAAGATCACAATTTGCTGTGGCAATGCAGGAGAAAAAATCCCAGGGTAAGTCTCATAACTTTTCTACAGATGTGGAAGAAATCATGAGAGAATCCACAGCACTTGTTTGAAGGTACTCAAAGAGGAGAGGGAGAACTTCACCAAGAGTCCTTTTGCTCCTGGGGGGATGCATCAGCACAGCAATGCCAAGCATAAAGCAATGGGATTCAGTAGCTTTGCACACAAATAACCTTTCCTTCCCCTTTTCCTTCTTTATGTATTTTGTTTAGATGATATAGTGTCCAGGGACACAGTTTGCTTATAGTAGGAAGTTGGATCTGGGCTCTCTGGAAATACTTTGCAGAAGAATTTCACAGAAGCAGTAAACCGGAATTTCCTGTAGAATAGATGTAGCTCAAACATGCATGTTTAAAATGTAAACATTAACTTCAACTCCCTACAACTACCGAGTTTGTTTCCATGCTTTGCTGCCAGTCTAGACACAAAAGTCAGCATTCATGTGAATCAAACTGAGTTCTGCCATTGCCCTCAGTGGATCAAAGTCAGGGTGTCAGAGGAAACAGAAGTGATTTCTCTAAAGTGTTACTGGAAAATTAGCCATATTTACACAAATCACTTTCTACTACTAACTGAATTCAGGCCTTCAAAATACAATTTCCTTGTCTTTCACATTGCAACCCCTTTGCATTTTCTCACACTGTCAAGCCTGAACAGTACCCCTTTATTCTGTTTTCCAGAAGATGCTGGCATCCTGTCCTTCAAGAAGGGAGACTTGCTAATCTTCACCGAAGACAAAAGGCTGGATGCAGACTCTGGCTGGATCTGTGCCCAGAATGAAAGGACAGGCAAAACAGGGAATGTATTTTTGGAAGACATCTACATCATTCCTTCCCTCACAAAACCCTCTAGTCAAGTGCTGGTAAGGAAAGCTAAGCATTCCATGTGAAAAGACTGGAAGAAGATAAAAATGTTAATATGCTTCAATTTATAACTGGAAGATAATTGTCCCTCCAAAGTTAGACAAGTTCTATACCTCCCATTGAAACAAAGCATTTAATTCTGTCCTGTCTGAAAACAAAACTAAGCCTAGCCCAGACTCTAAGGAGAAGACTGCAGCTGCTCAAAGGCAATGCCTTTAAAAACCCCCAAAACCCATTCTATTCACCACGGGAGATTTCAGTGCCTGCAACTGGTAGCAATTAAGGGGTATGGGTGTGCAGTTTAATTTTCCTGCATTCACTCTGGACTTGAGTGGTAATCACATAATGCCTCAAGAGAACCTCTGAGTGCATCAGGTAACTTAAAGAGAATATGGTCTTTGAGGGAGCCAAGGTTTCTCATTAATGACTCTGCTAGTAAGTTTTGTCTTTAGTTATGAGGATTCAGTATTTTGGACCCTGTGCTAACAGATAAAAAGCAGAAAAACTGGTGGCAAAACACACTAGAGAGAAGCAGGTACATTGTAAAACACGTGTTGTGCTTTGGATACTCATATACACTTTAATGTCCACTACTGTTATGTCTGTATAAATTGCTTCTTTGAGTCAGCTGTTCCCAGCTCATTGAGTCTCTGGAGATGCTGCTTTTGAGACAGGAGGTCTCGAGCAGCACACAGGGCTACCTGCTGAGTAATCCCTGACAGTATATGCAGACACCTGTCTCCATGTGGCATCTCTGTGTGGCTGTGTTGTTCCAGAGTTTGCTGATGATGTCTCCAGACCAGAGGAGGACAGCTTCACAGAACTCCTTCATGGAGGAACCTGATGAAGAGGATATCAAGGTGAAGCCTTACACCCTGGAGGAGTTCTCCTACGAACACTTCAGGTGAAGCTCTCTGTGTAGAGTATGCCCTAGAAAAGGTCTTGTTGATCAGTAATCCTTAAAGCCTATTATGTAATGGCATCTCCAACTTCTGATTGTGTTTCTTCTTTTTGTTCCCTGTAATTGTGACTTTGGATACAGAGATTCTGGCCCATGGCCTATTGTATCTTAAGTCTGCAGAAATGAGAAGGGGAGAACAGACTGGGCTGACTTCTTCCAGCAGGCTCTATTTTTACTTCTCACTCTTTCTTCAGCACTTACCTGCTAGTGAGGATATACAACACCTCAGGCTTCAGAAAGTAAAGGGAAAATTAGTTTTCTAAAAAACCCTCTTTTTTTTTTTTTTGTTTGCAATTCTCCTATCTTCTGGATATACAGGAAACTACATCTCCCTGCTCTTGTTGATCTGGAGAATCAAAGGAGATCTGAGATCACTATCTTGTGAAAGAACAGATCTAGAGATATGACTTTATGATAATGACCTCCTTTGTTCATAGCAATACCGATCCAGTAATTTTGTATTGCTTACACCTGTCTTCATTCAGGACTCCTGAGAAGGAATCCATCAGCAAAGCTGTTCTCCAGAAATCCCGTGGGCATAGTCAACTGTGGGCACATTCCAAGGAGCCTCTGAAACAGCCATTGCTGAAGAGAGCATGCACAGACCCTGATCTTCGGGATTTGGCCTGTCAGGCCTTCATTGATATCCTTTCTCTCCTCTCTTTTGGCATCTAAAGGGGAAGGAAGAGTTAGCTAGGTCGATGAAATAATGAAATTACCTCTACTGAGATATCTCAGCCACCTTACAAGGGATACATTCGCATAAAGATGGAGTGGATCAAATCTATTTCCCTTGTCTATAGGGAAATGTTCCAATTTCCTCCCAGTACTCCACAGCTACTGATGGCTCACTAAACTAATAACGTGGCTTTAGGAGTGAGAGAGATTTACTGCATATGCCCAGAGAATGCAGCTGCTAGCACAGTACAAATCACAGCCAAGCAGCAGCTGCTGCAAAGGCAAAGAGGGTAAGGGACAGACAGGGAACATGCTCCAGACCTTCCTCCCAGTATTAGCCACTTAGACATCAACAAAGTCACTAAAATGTTAGGATCCAGATGAAACTTCCCATTTGCCTTCCAAAATTTCTGCTTTTCTCCTTAGCAGCACGTTCACCCATCATGAAATTCATGGGGGACTACCCCTCAAAACAGGCACACTCCTCTGTGGAAGTCACTGACCAGATATTTGTGCCAGCTATCCAGGAGGAGGTCCTGCGAGATGAGATTTACTGTCAGATTATGAAACAACTGACTGACAACAGAAACAGGTATTTACCTGGGTGCAAACACCCGGCTCCTGCAGAGCCAGGCCTCAAGTGCAAGCGGCATCAGGAGCCCTTGCTGCATTTGTGTGCAGTGGGGGCAGGGGGAAGGATAAACAAATCTTGGAGTAACAGCTTCCCTTCTCCATTTTGCCAAGCAGTGCTTACCTTTGTGGAGTGCTCAGGACCCTGGCAGGGAGAGGCCAGAGAGCACCATCAATCATCTCCCCTGAGCTGCGGCTTTGCTCCCATCAGCATTCCATGCTCATCTCCTTGTGGTGTGAGTCAGGCAAGGTGTCACTGAGGCTCTCCTGCTCCCCAAGCAGTCTGTAGGGGAAACATGGCACTGCATAGTCCTTGCATCCCTTCAGTGACTGCCCTGACAACTCTCCATTTAAATTTCCCAATGGCAGCATTCCCCTCTCACAAAAACATAGTTCACACTGGATTTTTACCACCAGTGAATAAATACTTTTGAGTAGTTTTATTAATTAGGTTACAAAACTGTCTTGCAGAACAGATTGGTTACAGAGGCACCTGCCCACAAGAAAGTCTCTGAAACAGGCTGGTGTTTTCTTCCCCACTCACAAAATGATAATTTTATCTACTTCCAGGGAAACTGAATTGCAAAAAGCAGCTTAAAATAATATTAATTATTAACAAAATTGTTTGTCCATTTCTGGATGCATTCTGTTTGTTTATTTATTTTCTTTCTTCTGTTCCACAAGTATTGCACGTAGTGGAATTTTCATCATGTGTGTCACTGTTGAATAGTAAATTCCCTTGCAGGCAGTGAATCTTACAGGCTATTTAATGCATAGTCTGTAACCATGGTGCCAGTGCCATGCCTGATGTATTCCACCAATGTGAGTGGGATCACTGATGTGGAAAAAACAATGCTTGAAAGCTGGCTATTTGCATACACTTTCATTAGAACAGCCAGAGCAACAAATCTTTCATCCTTCCCAGGCTGCTGTGTTGTGGACCATGTCCTGCTCTCACATAGACACAAACACCACTCTACAGAGTATAAATGAGATTAAAATAGTCTGTCTTCATCTGCAAAATTAGAACAGCAAGTGGGAATAAAGAAACCAGAACCTCTTTATTGATGCCCTTCCAGAGTCAGACATGCTGACTTTCCCAACCAAAACCACTTCACACCAGTGAGCATTTCAGAGCAATCTTGGACAGAGCTGAAGTGTGTTCTGCTCCTGGCTTTGAGGTAGAATGACTGACCACCTCATGGCTGCAGAGCCCTTCTTAATGGCGAGGGCAAGGTGCCAGTAGAGCTTCAACTGGCAGATTTTACAGATGCAGAGGCTGGGAGAACTGGATTTCCACCTGAAAAGTAGTACCAGCTTGATCTGAAACATTTCAGAACTGCATCTACCTCACTACATAATGCTACCAGCATGTTCATTTTTCAGAACAGGAGTACATGTAAGGGGAAGCCAGTGCACACAAAGTGTTCATGCCCTGAGCAAAGCTGGCCAGTGCAGAGGGCAGGTGAATTCATCCACTAAGAAACTAGGATCTGAATATATGTGAGCTTGAACACCAAATCAGCAGTGGCTTTCCAAGAGGATGGCACCAGGGTTACTGCTGCTAAGATGTCTGCTAAACTGGAATTTATATTTATCCATGAGATCTGCATCTGTCATGAGTATTTCTCATGCAGGACTTTGCAATGTCTTCACATACAGGCTGTGGTTGTTCCACAGCAAATGAATGCCAGAGCCTGGGTGAAGGCTCTGTTGATTTGCAGCTCTCTGCACAACGGGACCACAATGGGAGAGTATTTCTCTTCCCTGTAGCTGGTGTGTGGTCAAACAGAATTATATGTGGCTGTAGCAGAACTGTTGGCTTTGTGTTCTCAGGTACAGTGAGACCAAGGGCTGGCAGCTCCTCTGGCTCTGCACTGGCCTCTTCCCACCCAGCAAGTCACTGCTCAAACACGCCCAGAAGTTCATAGAGACACGCCAGAAAGAAACACTGGCCCCAGAGTGCCGTCGGAGGATTCAGACGGTAATGAGGTAAATAATCTGGCATATAACCAGCTCAAAGTGTTCCAATAGCAATAATCAGGTCCCAAAAAACACAAGGGCTAAAACAGTGTGACTGTCACTTTCCTTTTTCTCTTTACATCTTGGGTTTTTTTTAAGTGATCGTTATTTTTAACTTTCTTTATGGACTTTGAACCACTGAAGAGAGGTCTATGTCACAGTTTCACTTTTTTCTTTCAGAAAAAACATTTAAAAAATTTTTTTTAAGCAGCATTTTAAAAAGTTCATCCCCACACATAATCACTTGACTCCCAGAGCTGGGTATTTCAAACATCCTAAAGGGCATGCAGCTTGGAATGATGTCACTGATGATAACCTGACCTTACTTTTCTTTGTTGAGACAGCATGTCCTTGTTGAAAGGATCAGTACAAGCAACTCCTATTCTTTGAAAAAACCAAAATGAACAAAGCCCTGACTTCTACCAGGCTGGTCACAGCAAGGCACTTCTCCATCCACTTGGCAGGAGTGTTCAGCCCAGGCTGAAGCAACAAGACCACCAAAAAAATGCTTCTTGAGCTTCCAAATGAGTTGTTGTTCTAAGGGACATGACACAACCAGAGAGAGGGGAAGGGCTAACAGGATTTCAGGAAGGATCAACTGAACTGTAGGGAAAAGATTTCCCTAGATTCCTCCAAGCACTGGAATAACTCAGCTTGCCCCTCTGAGAACAAAGCTTTGGCATCGAGGTTGACTCCAGCCTTCTCTCTTTTGATGGTGTTGTGATTTACCACTTGCCTGCCATTGACCTCATCAGTAAAGAATCTGCTCAATGATTTCTCCTTCCAGCTCCTGTATTTTTCCCTTTCCCTCAGGCTGGGCCACATGTTTGGTCTGTGAGCCCCACGGGTCAGGCTCTAGGGGAACACTAACACAGTGGATATCCCCCTTGCAGTGGATGGGGTTTGGCACTGCTGGGGAAATGTCACCACACATTGAACTTGCTTTTGAAGTGTCTGAAAAATGCATGGCAAGGAATGCTATTCATTGTTTATTTCTATGGAGAAGACTTAAAAATTCCTGCCTCCCTATATCATGCCCTGTTGAGCTGTACAGAGCTTCTTTACAGGGAGCAAATAGGGAGGGGAAAGCAGAATGGGCTGCTTGGAAGGAGCATTTCATTTGCTAAACTGTCCCAGGTCTGAAGCCTGGGGGATGGGAAGTGAACAAAGACAAATCTTGTCTTCTAAGAGTGGTTCTTTTCCTAAGATTAAACTTGCATCTGCTTAGGATAGAATAGAATAAACTATTTCAGCTGGAAGGGATCTTCAACAACCATCTAGGCCAGCTTCTCCCTGTTAAGTAACCTGGTCTCTTTGGACAGGGTAGAGCAGGCAGCTCAAAGGATTGACCTAAATACACACAGGGGAACCCAACTGAGCCCTTGGGTACACACCTTATCTGCCATAAACCACTTTACAGCTTCACCCCCAGAATCCTGGCCAGGGAATCACCCTGATGAGTGTTAAGCAGATCTCACCTTGGCAGTGAATTCCTAGCTCAGGCTGCATGGAGAGGTGGGTAGCCCTATGCCAAACTGCTGCAATTCCTTGAGCTCCCAGGGCCTCCCTCTGATGCCAGGTCACAAACAGGTGACTGAGTAGGGCAGGTCCACACTTTGTACAGTGCCTGCACAGTACAAAGCACATGCTGTTCAGCTTGGTCACAGTCAAGTTTTCCTTCTCCAAATGGAAATGATCCTTTATTGAATGGAAAAAAAATTAGTTTTCAAATCCACACAATTAAAGCTTGGATCCAGACTAACCTTCTCCTGAGAGACAGACCCCATGTGAGAGGCCCATAAGCTATGGTGTTCAAAATACCTGAACAGCCTGCTCTGTGCCACTGAGGATAGGAACTTACCAGCCCCAGGAGGTAATTTGCTAGATATGTTCTAACTTTAACTATGCCAAGGTTTCTGCATGACTGAGACTTCAGAGCCAGTTCCTTTGCTGTAAAAGGCAAAGGTTTGCTCTAAGGTCTAATTTCAAAGAACTGGGTTTGTACAGCTTAAGCACCTCCTAAGGCAGTGATTGCACTCCAGCTCTCCTATAAAATGCTTTCAAGCGCCCTCCAGACCTTTTTGGTACTTGGGCTCCAAGTACCAAAAAGTATCCAAATACTTATCTTTTTGCTGATGCAGGAATTAAGTAAAATGTATTTCTCCTTGTAGCCATTATATTCACATCAGTAAGGAAAAATGCTGCTGAATCCATAGAAGAGGCAATGGTGCTGGCTAGGAAGGTACCTTCTTCATGCAAGCTCCTTGCAGAGCAGAACAGACTTTCACTTTACAGGCTAATAAGACCCTCAGTTTCTTGCTGTTAATACACTGAATTTGCACTGGGGTGGAGGTCCATTGCAGCCTGCCCCATCACAGAGTACTGGCCTTTTGGAGGGTGCCTGCTGTTTGGCTGGAATACTGTTGTTCATTTCCTCAATGATTAAACTGGTGTCTCTTATGATGGTGGTGGCATTTTCCAGGAGTGGCTGCAGGAAGTGGGCCCCTCATCCTGTGGAGGTTGAGGCCATCTTACAGAACAACACTAAGATCTCACACAAGATTTGCTTCCCCAACGAAACAGAACTGGTGAGCACTTGTTTTCCCAGCCTTGACCATTATTCCAGCCATGACATGCTCATCCAGGAGCATGTGTGAAGACATTCAATATTCTTATTTCTTCCTGCCCTCTGTGTAACAAGAGTCTTGTTATCTCATAGACATTTGATGTGGGAACAAACACCAAAATCCAGACTCTGTGTCAGAACATCGCTTCCAAATTGCAGCTGCACTCCTGGGAAGGTTTCAGCCTCTTTGTGAAGATTGCAGACAAGGTAACTGCTTCTTGACTCTGGCAGGGTAGCCAGGCTGCCCCTCCTCTCTTAATATGTATTTTTTACCAGGTAGTATGTATTTATATACCAGGCCACCTAAACAACCATACGAAGCCAAGGAGCAGAGCAGGTGATTAATGCTTCTGTCCTACTGAGGGGATACAACCTTAACTTGAACTTTTAGCACCTGACAATTATTTTCAGTCTCTTGAAGGGGCTGGATGGAGATGCAGAGGTTCTATCATTCTGTCAGTATCCAGGTGGCACTAAAAGCAGAGATGCAGGCTTTCCAGCAGCTGCTAGGATGGATGCATACGGCTGGATTCAACCCTTTTTCACTCAGATTTGCCCAGATGTGCTGCACGTGTACAGTGCCCACTAGGATTAGGGAAAGCAGGGGCAACCAGCACCAGTTAATCACTCTCTGGTTTGCTGGGAGCCTGCCTTGCCTGAGCTGAATCTTGGGCTGGCTGTCTCACTGAGAGGTCCCTTGTCTCTGAAACTGTGATTAAGGCAAAAGCAGCACTGAGCCCTAGCACAGGGAGTTTCTGGTGTGCTGCCTTCCTGAAAAGAGAAACCCAACACAACAACACTTTACAAAGAGAGGAAGACTGGGAATTAGGTAGGCATCCTCACCTTGATTTCAATAAGCAACCTGGAAAGCAAAAAGCAACAGATGCAAAAAAGATCCCCATATGAAATATAAGTAAATTGGGCCTTTCTCCTCCTATTTTTCTACTTCCTTCCTGCTGTAACTCTGCCCTCTCACTGTTGACAGGGAAAGAAAATTCAGCCTGATATTTGGGTATGTGGCACATGCAGTATTTTATATGATGTGCTAACCCCTCCTTTGTCTCCTCATCCTTGGCCTCTGCAGGTGATCAGTCAGAATGAAGCAGACTACTTCTTTGACTCACTAAGGCAGGTGACAGACTGGAACAGAAGGAACAAGCCAGGAAAAGATGGTAAGGAGAATGCCAGCATGACAAGAAGCTGCATGAGATGTTGTGTTGAACTGGAAAGCAGCTGATCCATCCAGTAGGATTCACTCCATCCTGGGAAGTGTTTAGCAGAGTCTTGTATCTTTTTTGTTTGTACATACATTGTTAATGTCTGCACCAGCAGCAGATCCAGTGACCTGATGCAGCCAAGCACCGGCTATCAAAAACACCTGAACATTTCTGGGGGGGATCTCTCCAGAAATTTTAAATTGGTACAGAAGATTTTTCTGCCCTGTTGTATCCAAAACACACAGCTGGATACATGCAAGTTAGATAGGTCGATACTCAAATACTAAGAATCAGCCAATACATGCAAATAGGTTCTTTACAGAGTGTCACTCACATTTTTTGAGTTGTTAGAAACTTTTTAACCAGGTTATTACCTGGTGATACCCAAACATGTTATGTTGTCAAGAAACCATTTTGTTACAATAAAACAATGAAATAATAATAACAACAGCAATTCCTTCCACTTACCATCCCCCCCCCCCCCCCCCCCCCCTTTATAAGGATCTGTCAGCCAACCTGGCCCCATCCCATCCCTGCCCCATATACATTTTGAAATCAATATCAAACTCAAACTCTGTATCAATTTGTCCTCACCTTTGCATATTTCAGGACAGCTGAGGTTCTACTCCCTGAAGCTCTGGCTATGTATCTAAGACCTTCTAACTTCTCTTCCCTCAGCTGATGTAGCTGCTAGGAGCTCTGAAAATCACAGTATAAAGATGTGGGTGCAATAAATCACAACTCATTTGTAGAAGCACAGCCATCAGGAGATGTATTTGCATCTGATTAACAGAATTTGGGTGTACTGCACACCAGCATGTCATGAGCACCAATAACACTCAATGGTAGTCCCTCAACTTCTACTCCATCTGATCATTGTATGAGCAGTGTCCAGGACCTGAAAACGGATAATTTCTTTTGCAATTTAAAATGGCTTTTTGTGTTGTTTTGTTAGCAATTTTGTTTGTTACTATTAAAACTATAATTACTTTTCTGAAGAAATTCACAAGCCATTTAAAAACTGTAGGACTATCAGTAACACAGAGAACACTAACAAGATCTGATCTCCTTAGGGGCTGCTCTGTCTGTGGCCTATGAGGTGTACTTCATGAGAAAGCTGTGGCTGAATGTCACTCCTGGCAAGGATCTGAAAGCTGATACCATTTTCCATTACCACCAGGTAAGCAGCTCCCTAAAGAAGAGGTATCTTGTGATACCTTAATTTCTTGTGAGAAATTAAGTCTGTAGGAGCATTACTGTCTCCCTCTTGAAAGCCTGCATTATAGAGCCTCCAGAAGAATACCTCCTCAAGAGGGGGCACAGCTCAGCCTCAGAACAGATTTCTCACAGGGTTCACAGCTTAGCAATACTGAACATGTTAAGAGTACAGCTCCTTTACCTCATTGTACTGTGGAATTGCTTGTCTTGCTCCATAAATCAGAGAGTCACAGAAAGTTTCAGGTTGGAAAGGATCTTTAAAGATCATCCAGAGAACCTTCAGAAGGAGCTAGAAGTTCTTAGGATGTCCTTGGAATGCGTTTGGCAAGACTTGCATCCTGACCTCACAAATTTAGAATATTTAAGTCAGTGTTTGCTTTAGCCCATTCTGTCTGGATTCAGAGCTGGTCTCTTCCAGGAGCTGCCAAAGTACCTCAGAGGCTACCACAAGTGCTCCAAGGATGAAGCTGTGCAGCTGGCAGGGCTGATTTACAAAGCACGCTTCAACAACGACCGCACGCAGCTGGCAGCCATCCCCAAAATCCTGAAGGAGCTGGTGCCAGACAATCTGCTCCGAGCAGTGACACCTGATGAATGGAAGAAGGTAAGAAAATCAGCTTTCATTAGGCATATTATGTTTACAGAGCTTTAGTAGAGAAAACACACTGAGCCACACTACATTTTTGATCTGATGGTCTTTGAAAGTACCCTGGGGGGCTGGTATTGGGTATTGCTGGATTTGCCAGTAGGATAGCAAGAGGATTTACCTCTTACAATCCAGATTTACATACTCTACTAAAATTCTGCAAGTTATCTGCAGGCCTGGATTGCTTATCTTTCTTGGAGATACTAATCTATTTCTAGCACCCAGAAAAAGAGTTAGAGATAGGAGAGCCAGTGATGGGACTGGGAAGTTGAGGATATTGGACAGAAATAGAAAATTAAGATGTCTCATAAGTATTTCTCGGTAGCAAATCAATCTCCTTGCACCATGTCCATGCTACTTACAGCAAAAAGCTCTTTTATCCACAAAGAGGGCAAGGAGGTTTCAGCAGGTACTTACCACTTAGTCTGCTGAGAAAAACACAGGACATTCTTTCAAATACAAAGGGAAAATTCACCCTCCATTTTTCAGGCAAAAATGTAATTTGTGTCTGTGGGTGTTGAACACTGGCTTCCTGAGTTTTATCTCACGTTGCCCCTCTGCCCTGAAGTCCATTTCCTCAGGCTGCTGGGCTTCCTTCACCCAGCAGAAGAGTAAGGAACACTGGAGGGTTCTGGCTTCACCTTGCCCCACGGCATAGCAGCTGTTTTAATTTTCAGTTTTCTGCTGCTGGGGCAAAAAACCTGACAGTGGTGATGAGCTGATGCTGTCTTTAGTGCTAAAGGCAGGCATTGGAAACCTGCTCGTCTCCAGCTCAGCTGGCTTTGTATCCTCTTTTCCTAAACAGAGCATTATTGCAGCATATAGTAAACATGAAGGAAAAACTGTGGATGAGGCCAAGATTGCTTTCTTGAAAATGATACACCGGTGGCCAACGTTTGGATCAGCCTTTTTTGAGGTGAAGGTAGGTTTGAAGGCCTGTGTGAGTGGATTTGGTAGTAGATCAGTACCAAGGGATACAGACTGACTATAATCCCATATCTGAAAGTAAAAATATATTATAAAGCTGAATTCCTGTAATCTATAGAGGAAAACTCAGTTCCTTCCAAGTTGGGAGATGGATTCTTTATGCATTTTAAACTGTGCTTGTTTTTTGCTGGCAATGTTGTTGCTCTAGTTATAATACCTCTACTACAATTGTGTAGTAGCTGCAGGGGGCTAAATTGTCCTGTCATTGCTCTCCACAAGAAAATGCTGCCAAATCTTATCTCTTTGGTGACTCTTCCCTCAGAACAGTACAAATCCTCTCATTCTAGAGGGGATATCACAAGAATAATTTCCATGTGTTACCTTTAATTTCTCCTCACTAGGCTCTTAAATGGTTTGCAATCAATCATTAAACCTGTTATCAGTATAGTAAACAATGGACCTGGTTCTGCTGTAATGTAGCATTTGCTCAAGTCATCAATATATGGCCAAAATGTTTATGTTCATTTGGGAAAAAGAACAAGAATGACTGGACACTGTTAATGGTCACTAGGCCCCTGATAGAGATAATTTCTCAATTTTCTGCTTATCTTGCTGTGTTACTCATTTAAAGCAAGCCTCGGAGCCCAATTTCCCAGAGATTGTACTGATTGCAATCAACAAGCAAGGAGTCTCACTGATACATCAGAAGACAAAGGTAACAGCTGCTTCTCACAAGTCCACCTAAGGAAGGATTGAACAGACCCTGCTAATTTAGGGACAGTGATAGGACCTTGCTCAGGAATGACAGGAGAAGATAGAGGCTCTCTAATAATTTTTTCTGTGTGAAACTGAAGGAAACGTTACTGTCTCAAATAACTTCTTTGCAGTTTCTACTCTGGAAAGGAATAGGATAGAGCATCTCTGAAAAAAGACATGGGAGTCATGGTACACCTGGCAAACTGTAAGATCAGGAAGATGGATGGGCAGTGCACCCAGGAACCTGCTTCAGAAAAATGCTTTGCAGGAAGCCCCAGCTATCTAAGAGACCAGGCTGAATGGCCATGTTTAGCTGCAGTCTAACCCCAACAGTCTGGTCTTACCAAGGTCTCAGGAAAAGGGAGTATCACTATTTGCTTTCAATGACCAAACAAATTAAAAGATAGGTTTAGATGATTGTAAATCTAATGGCAGTGTGCTAAGGCAAAGATCAATATATAATGAAAGGGAGTCTTGTGTGTGATTAAGATTTACCTGTTTGGTGAAAATACAATATACCAATAATCTGGATGCAAGAAACACTTTGATCCATGATTTTTATAAATGAAGAGGGAAAGAACAAGAATTCTCTGGCTCTACAGGTTTTCTTATGTAACAGCCTATTTTCATTTGAGAAATGTTCTACAGATCACTTTGTTTCCCCTTACAGGATATTTTAGTAGTCTACCCCTTCAATAAGATCTCCAACTGGAGCAGTGGGAGCACGTATTTTCACATGACCATAGGGAACCTGGTACGAGGAACCAGGCTCTTATGTGAGACGTCTCTGGTAAGAAGAGTTTTGCCAATTAAGACACAACAATATCCTAATTTTTCCTTTCCAACCCTGATTGCTACAAAAGATGGTGTGAAAACAGACAAATACCAGTGCAGCATTATACCAAAATAATTGTATCATATATACCATAATTATACCAATTATACCACAAATACCAAAAGCATTCACTGCTGTGTCAATAAACTGCTATTTAGAACTGGTTCACCAGTTCATATATGCTATCTATGCAAAGATGCATGACACAGGACACAAGGAAAAATAGTAATTTCCCAAATTCTTCCCATACATCAAAATTCTACCATTTGAGAAGACTGCAAAGCTACATAGAAACTTTTTGTCTTGCATGTCTGCCTCCAGTTATGTAGTAATGCCAGCCTTGTAAGATTTCATATTTTCCAGGGAGTTGCACCATCTTTTTAACAATTAGTTAAAATAGGTAACTAATAGTTTCAGACTATTCACAGTCTCAGAGAAGCATCCTGTATTAATATCTAAAGGTAGGTTTGGAAAGATAACAAAGATATTTAAAGGCTAAATACTCTGACAGAAAAGCTCAGATTCTTAAATACAAGAATCTTAAGTACAAGTCAAGCTGCAGAGTGAGTACCAAGGAGACAGCAGAGCTATGGTCTGTAAAGTTTTGGAAATCTATGAAAAGCAGAGGAAAGAATGGATAAATTATAACTAAAACAGGTCGTGGAAGAAAAGATGTTCATGTAAGGAAGAACCTGAGAAGATGATAAACAAGGGAGGAAACGATAGTTATTTTTGCTTCTGGAGCTCCCTGAGAGATTTAAGACTGTTTTCTTCCCTGACAGGGTTACAAAATGGATGACCTGTTAACATCCTACGTACGCCTGCTCATGAATGCTGTAAACAAGCAAAAGAACCTCCCAGCCTGAAAGTGGAAATAGAGCCCATCACCTGTACTTGTGCCAAACTCCCTGTAACTTCATATCCCAGAAGAAATGCCATTTAAAAAATATTAATCTTGTTGATCGATCTTCTGATCACACACTGAATGAACTGAGTTGCTGAACACTACAGCAAGAGAAACTCAAGTGAGCATGTGCTTTCAAATATCTGTAACACTTCTATCTTAGATTTAGTATGAGAATTCCATTCAGATACTGGATTTACAGAAAGTTTAGATGGACTTTAATGTTCTGTGGGAGTGGGAAAACCCTGTGAGGGCTCCTTCTAATAGCCTGAATCTCCTCCATTCAGAGATAGACACACATGAAGAGCTGTCTTCCTTTTGGAAAGAAAATGCCCCTTATTGTACACGCTCTTACCAAATGCACAAACTTCAAGAGTCTTTGCAAACAAAGGTAATTTTTTTCCTCCTCTGGCAATTTTAAGAGTGGAGAAATGCCCTTTAGTAGTACATAACTGGACAGTTTGAAAGGTTAAGATGCTGTCCCCTGACTTACCAGAGTATTGCTTAAATTAAATAAGTCTTCTTTCTTCCACATGTTATAATGCTCTTGGAAACCAACAACTGCTTTCTACTGTGCAGTACCTAGTAAGCTCTGAAATGAGTCTGGGGTTTGGGCCCATCACTTTTAGTTGCTCGTATTTCAAGATATAGATGAGCTATTCAGTGCAAACTGGAATTGAAGAACTCAGTCTAACAGAGGTCTGTTGAAAAGAGACTTTTCTGCTCCACAAAAATGTTCTGTTTGGAGTTATGCAGACATTCCCTCACAAGACAAGAATAATAGCTTTAATTTGTCCTGATCTTTTCTGCTTCCTGTTTAGCAGACGGCTTGAGTGGTAAAATTTGATTTAGCACTTGTTCATCCCTAAGAGCTTTGTAGAAACACAGCTTTGGTGCCACAGGAACCAGAGTGTGCTCTGAGTGTGTAAAGCAGACACAGACTATGGTGGGAGCAAGCTTAGCTGCTTCCCCCTCAGATCAAGTACTCCTCCCTCACTCCCAGTGAAACATGAATATGTCTTAAAGCATTCACACCAAGTTCCTTGAGACACAATCTGGCAGTGCTGGAAAAGCAGCTCTGCCTGATCTCTCAACTTTGCCAATGGATGCACAATGGTTCTCTTGTTCCCTCAGACATGTGTGTGCAAAATTCAAATGCTGGTGGGAGTTTTGTATATGGGTGGCAGGGAAGAGCCCACTCTCTTTGTGCATCTAAATGAGTGCCACACCTGTCAGAATAGCTGATCTTTCTGCAAGCAGTTAGATGCTCCTGCTGTAATGTCCATTGCTGGCAATGGAAATGCTGGAGTCTAATTACCCAGTGGTTTTGTCACCCAGTGTCTGATCTAACTAACTAGCTGTAAGAAATGTTCAACACTTCACCTGTATAAAGAGAAATCTTGCAGCCAAACTGCATTGTTTCTGGTTTTTAAATAAAGATGCAGAAAATCAACCACAGTGTCTTTTTTGAACTGTTTGCTCCAGATCCATGTAACCAAAATCAACCCAATATCCATTACATCCTGGAAATGATCACAGTATCCCATCTGCTCATTACCTACACAACACAACTTGTACAACACAGCCACGGAAAGGGTGATACCCCTTTCTGCACATCCTCATCAACCAACACATCACCACAGAAGCAGCACAGGTCCAAAACATGAATTCACCACAACAGTGCCTCAGGTTTCAGCAGTCCCAGAGTTCCTTGGAGTGGGCACGTCTCTGGCTAAGCACTGAAAATATGGTATTAACTGTACACTATACCATTTTTTTCTTTTTTTTGTGTAAAGATTTAAAATGTATTACAGTTAACTTTAATACAAGAACATACAAAGGCACAGTATTACAGCATTTAATCTACAATCATGTGCTTTGATTAGACAGCTCAAACAATGTGTGATAAAGTGAGAGCTCTACATGGTGCAGAACCCATCAAGGCCTGAACCAAGGCAGGGAGCTGCTAATTCTTTGCTCATCTAATACCCTCAGCACTTAACAGTGCTTTACAGGCTAATATAACCATGTTTATTACACGCTTGCCTGCAATCTATTCCTTCCCCAACCAATCACTTCTGAAAGAATGTTAGTCATATCACCTAATACCAGCCATGCCACATCAGGAATTCTCTCTACGAAAGGCTGACCAGTGTTTGCCAGCACTGCACAGACTGCTGTAAAAACACCAGGACACAAATCTGGAGAGAGGATTAGAGCCATAAAGAAACACTGCAAGTTATTAGCAGACCCATAAAAACAAGATTCACATACCATGCTTTCTAAAAGCAAAACCATTTTCAAGTGTACTCAGTGAGTGTTAGTGATTTTAATTAGGTATAAATACGAATTAGGTATAAATATGAATGTATAGTATGAGACATCTTCTATTAAGATTTCAGCAGATTTCTGAGCCAAGCTCAATCTTCATATAAATCTCTACTCTCCAGTGGGGTGATGCTTAGGAAGTATTTGGCCAGCAGGTCTACTCACAGCAATGGAAAAAAGCATGCAGTATATTTCTTACTGACACCTTGACTATATTAATTAAAACAAAACTCAACTTGTCAGCCTACCAAGGCACTAAGGAGATCTTGTGAGTTTGCACTATATTCTACATGGTTTTAAAAAAGTAGACTGACAGAAGTAGAGGAAGATTCATTTTTTTAAGCCATTTATAGTTATTTCTCCTACTCCTTCAACTCCGTTCTCACAAAAAAAGTGTGTTGGTAATATAAACTACTGTAACTCTGCACATTGCAGGCTATGGGCAGCAGAAGTATAAGAAAAATTATTGTGAAAAATTAATAATATAAGAGAATATCACCCTCCATTAGTACAGAGATCAGGGATTACAATTATTTTGTTCACCAATTAATTTTGCAAAACATCCTGAAGATAAGGACATATTCCAAATCCTAGAGAACTGAACAGCTTATCAAAGAGAATGATATCAAATCTCCTTAGAATCAGCTTTCTAGGTCTGCCAAGTCTCTAACATGAGACAAGGTGAAAGCACACATTAAATCTTCACTGGCAGCACAGCAGTAATGCCATTCACATACATGCATTTTCCACTGCTGAATGTGAGTGGCTGCTGAAAGAATATTACCTATTGGCTGCTAGTTACATAGTCCTCCCATATTTACCAGGAATGTGTGGCTGTGTGTTCCTCCAGGAACCACTTCCCAGGAGGCTGGGCATACACAGCTGCTCAGATTCAGCATTACACAGGGCACGTGACTGAGATTACAGGAACAGACTGGAATGTTTTATGCTGAGAAGAATCTGCATAACATACTGAGCTGCACCTAGGTCAGAATTCAAGTATTTTATGCTGTGACAAAATGCCAAACAACAGGCTTGATTGTAAATGGGGGTCTTTGCAGGGCCACCCTACTTCACCAAAAGACATGCTGTTCTTTGCGCCCTTAACTCAAAGACCATTTTAAGGCTGGTGAGGAACAGTGAATAGACACATGTTCTCCTAATGCAATGACACAAGCAGCTACTGTTACTGGAATTTACTGTGCAAATTGGTCAGGAGAAGATGAAAGAGTTTACTGCTAAAATTAGGCCAACCTCTCATCATTGTTAGAGTGGATACAGCATAACCCAGTTAAAAGATTATGGTAACTTACAGCAACAAAAAAGCACAGCAGCTGAGGGAAACTGAGTTAGCAAAGGCAGAGAAGCTCTAAGAGATGGTCTCACACATGGGATTCTGATCACTTATCCAGGATTTCCTACCGCTGCTTTGGCATCACTGGTGCAGTTCCATGGGTGTTGATCCAGCAAGCATGGTAACACAATTCTAAAGCAGACTATTGCCCCAGTCCAATTGCTGCTCACACATACAAGAAATGGGGAAGCTATAACTTCTTGCTACCCAATTCAACTGTGGCTGCAGGGTGCTGTCTAGGCACAACTGCTGTGCTCATCTGACTGACTAAACCAGCCACTTTTGGAAGATTTAAATCATGCAAAGGACAGTAGTCTTCCAGTGCTTGTCAGCCTTGCAAAGGGGCAGGCACAGTCTCACAACTGTTCATGGAAAGGGATGTTCAGGTTGCTCAGCTTCAGCACAAGGAAGTATGGGGGTCACCTCTGGGGGACTCAGCAGCTCACTGGTCATACATCATGCAGGTGGGCTCAGGAACAGTACAGCTGATGGCTCACCTCTAAAGAAGTATTGAGAATATCCAAAACCAGTAAATTTCTCAGCACCTTGGGTTGTGGTAGCAGAGATAGTAGGACCAGTGAAACCTCACTGGTGACAGGCAAAATTACAGAGGAGGACTATATCCTTGAGATATTAGCATCATGTCTGAGATCATCTCCTTAAGTAAACTCAAGTCTCCAAAAGAAAGATGAATGGGACTCTTATTCGGGAAAAAAATTTAAGAAAAATGGAGGTTTTTTCTGCATAACACATTTGCTACAAACTGTAAACATTAGAAACACCTTCATGTAATTGAGCTTTCTGGAGCATGACCAACAAGCATATCCTTGGCTGGCAAATAAAGTGAAAATGGGAAAACTGAAGTGCCTAAATTGGTACTATATTATTTATCCAATTGCCTTAGGCAGAAGAGTAACCAATGCTCCAACCACACAGCCTCAATAAATACCAGCTATGCCAATGGACAAGACATGCTTTGTGTTGACCAGCCATGCAGCAGTAGAGAACAGAGAAAATTAGTGTCATTTCTAATAAAATGTTTAGTTTCCCATAGCCACCTTCTCCTTAAGGAGAACCCGACCATTCTGAAGAGGTTCAATGGCCTTGACAGCTGAAATCTCCTTAGTACTGAGCACAGAAGCAGCAAAGGAAAATTCTTAGCTGCCTTAACAGTGGGCCTGACTGGGCAGTACAGGTGCCATAGCTCCTGGATCCTGGGCTTGCCCAGTAAATCTACAAACAAGAAGGACTGGGATTTGGGATATGGGATAGGGCACCCATATATTGTCTGTAGCAATCTGGAGAAAGACCAGAACTTTTCGCATGTAGTAAAGAATGACAACTTTCAGACTATTTGCCTAGACATTAAAAAACCTAAAAATTGCTTCAGCCAGAGTAAGAAAAATTCTGATACTCTGATTGAGAAAGAGCAAATCTGACATTTCTTCCAGCCCTACATTTAACCACTTTTTCCTAATTCCTTAGACTAGTCGAGTGGAAAGAGTAGTACAGCTCAACTGAGGAAGGAAAGATTGTGTATAGCTCCACAAAGGCAAAATGCAATGTTAGTAGCAAATTAATAATCAGCCTGTGCACTGCTCAAGCAGAACTCATACTCCTCTTCCTGCCAGTGTTAATAGACAGTTGCTTGGGAAAAGGGACAGTCTAGATGCAAGAGACAGCACCAGAAGCAGGGGAAGGTACTGCTTATCTTTGGTTCCACTTCTTAGTAATTGCTTCTGTAATCAACAGCTGCAGTGAGCAGCAGCTTGTGTTAAGAGTGCAGTCAGGAGACTGACAGACCTGTTTGCTTTAAGCAGAGTTTAAATCTAAAGCTTTAGGATGGATCTTCTTGGATGCCAGCTCTGACAACTTCTTCAGACGTTTCTTCAGCTCCAGAGGGAATTTCTCATAGCACTTCTTGCACACAGGCTTCATGTCAAACTCCACAAATTTATTCCTTTAACACAAAGAACAGTTATTAAAATGGTATTTGCAAACTACATGCTTCACTAATTAAAATTTCCATGCGTCTACATCACTGCTGTTGCAAGGGTTCTATGCCATTTATAAAACCACTCATTTCCTCATCTGGTGATGCAAGTAGAGCAATTGGGTTCTTATCAGTGAACTGAGGTCTTTTGTATTGCTAGGTAGAAAAGGAGCAAGATTTTGCTATATATTTACATGTAGCAGTCTAGCACAATAATTTTGTTACTGCAGAATACAAGTATCATTTCAGAGGTTCCCTTTGGGATGAATCAGAGCTCCTTCATATGGCCAGTGGAGCCAACCCAGCAGAGTAGGATAAGGATTTGAACCTGAGAAAGGAAAAATGTAAGACTGTTTTTTTTTCTGCCCCTCCTTCTAGATACTTGAGGTAAATAGAACAGTATTTTATTTCAAAATAATCTATGCAATATCAAATACTGTCATTGAGAGGAGCAACCACAGTTAGGAGACATGGAGGCTACAGGTTTTTCAGGACAGGAAGTTCCTCAAAGTTTAGAGCCTTCCCTCTGTACTACTGAATGAGCTCCCCTCTTACCAACTTCCTTACAGCATAGATTAATGAAGGAAAATAGATCAGAGAGGATGCTGAGTGTCAGCTCCCTTTCAGTGCTGAAATCAGTGAAATTATAAGCACTTGATCCCACAGAGAAAAGGTATATTGGCCTTCAGAGAGGCAGAGACCCACAGCTCCTCCAGGCTGATACCCTGCCTTAGGGGCAAATGTCTCACATGATCCAAAATACAAACACTGACTTACTTCAGTGTGAGCTTGACATTGCAGGTGGAGCAGGAGAAGCAATTCACACACCAGGCCTTGTTAAGAGCTGATACCACTGCAAAAGCAAAAGCACCGAGTAAGAGGAAACTGATGGACTGCTTGAATTCAGATTTATATCCAAATTCAAATGAGGCCAGATGTGAAAACAAACACTGTTGTCTTACAACTGTGGGACTGCAACAGCTGCACTAACAAATGAAACAAGGACAGCAACCCAAAGCAAGGAGAGAACAAATCTTACCATCTCCCTCTATCACGTGGCTGCAGTTGTAGCAGACATCTCCAAAGAGCTGCACAGAAAAAGAAATAAGAATACAAACTCATGTGGCTGACTACTCATGGTCCCCAAATCACACAGCTGGTGTGAACATTAAATACTAATAATCAAAGAATTCCCAGATACAGCAGTGGCCCCCAAATATACCAATTTAAATCTTCTGAATAACTTCTCATACACTTGCCGAATAGTCTACGTTCCTTTGGATCTCATACCACTAAACACTACAAAACCTTTTTTGTTGATGCCTCACACTCTAGCACTGTTATGGGATCTTAAAGTCCTGTGGAGAAGAAAGGATGAGTAGAGTATGATGCTTAGTGTAGACAAACATCTCCTGATGCTCAACTACAAACCCCAAAATAGAACTATTGCTAAAATACAGCTACTGTCAGAACAGCAACACTTACCTCTTATGAGAGAGCTATTTATCTGACAGAAGAAAATACCAAACCAAAACATTATTCAGTCGAATCACACCGAAAAAAACAGGGTTTGATTGGTTTTTCTGTTTTGTTTTTTAATTAATCTACTTTTCTATGTTTTAGACAACACAACAGTTGCCTCGTGCCCACAGAAAGAAGTAATTATCGAAGAAGCCCACACAAATACATTAGAAGTAAAATCACAGGGATTTTAATCTCAACCCCTGGTCAGTGATTTTCTGTCAATGTCACAAATTAAAGTCAGTGTCCCCAACACACTTCTATTCTGTTCTCAGCATCACTTTTCTGCCAATAAAAACTCTTATTTTTCTGTTAAATCTGACTAATTTCTTAATATTTCATTGCATCTACAAATTCAGATTATGCAAAATCTGCATAGCTTTGCATATATAAAACATGAAAAAGGATTTGCCAGACACAACAAGTACCTATGTCACAGATGGCTGAACTTACCTGATTATAATGAGTCTCACAATAGGCCAGCCCTTTTTTTTCATAATGTCGGTGCCCCAAGAATGGCTTCTCACACTTGGCACAAACAAAATGCTGTAAAAGAAAAAAAAAAAAACCCAACATTCCATGGCAGGCAAAACAACTTCCCCATCACCAAGTAAAAATATGGCAATAAATCCTAGCTCAATACATGACACTTCATCACAGAACAGTTTGGGCTGGAAGGGACCTTAAGGCTCTGATTCCAACCTGGCCTTGGACACTTTCAGGGATGGGGCAGCCACAGCTTCTCTGGGCAGCCTCTGCCAGGGCCTCAGGGCCTTACGGGGAAAAATTTCTTCCCAGTCTGTAACCTAAATCTACCTATTTTCATTTAAAGCTGTTACCTCTTAATGCTTTAACGAAGCACAGACAGGAAAAATCTTTATGGAACCAAAAAAAGAGGAGATATTTAGTCTATATATAGGAATTAAGAGTTGCATTAATGATAGGTGAAAGACCTGCTGACAGGGCAATCATCTTGTGTCTATCCTGATAGACTTGTGGACTATTATCTTGCTTGTTCCAGGGAAGAGAAGCAGGAACATAAACAGAGTTAGT